AAATCATAGATCCTTTTAGTGCCGCTATCTGACTGCGCTTCACTCTCGCAACACGCTGAGCTTCACAGTGCATTCTCGTGCGCTCTCGTCTTTGGCAACATGTCTACTGCTCCCGTCCATTCACAAAAATGTCCAAATTGTCTCACAATCCAGTTTTTTTGTAGTTTCTCTGCTTGGCCGTATCATTACACCTTGTGCCGAGCAGCTTGGCTACAAGGGACAGATGCGTAAGAATTTGGAATTTTTATGAATGAAGATTACAGTGCGTTACCTGTCACTGCAGATGGAGGCACGCAGTGACGCGCACTTGGCTCAAGGCGTAATGATATGACCAAACAGAAACTACGAAAAACTGGATTGTGTTACAATTTGGACATTTTTGTGAATGGACAGGAGCAGTAGACATTCATTACCTGTCGCCAAAGACTAGGGCGCACGAGAATGCTCAGTGTGTTGCGAGAGTGAAGCGGTGCCGGGCTCGCAGTCAGATAGAAGCACTAAAAAGAGAAAGTGATTTAGGAATTTGGATATTTTCATGAATAAGGGCTAAAGGATTGGAATTTTACCTGGTCATGGAGGTCAGAGCGCCTTACACAGGCACCCAGAAATGCGTGGGTCTAAGGTTTGAGAACCTGGGATAATTTTGCTCTTTGTTTGTGTGTGACTTCAGCAGCAAGAGAACCGAAAGCGCCATGGCTCAACACGCAGTGTTGTTGACATGGAGCTCGATGATCCAGACGATGGCGACGATAATGCTCCTCTCTTCTATCAGCCGGGAAAACGTGGATTTTACTCTCCAAGACCAGGCAAAAACACAGAGGCCAGGCTCAACTGTTTCAGAAACATTGGGAGGTGAGAAGTTTTTTTTTTAGAATGTTAATTTTTTCTGGGAGAGTTATCCATATATTAGTTTTTCACGAATGTTAATCTGTCTGTTATTGACCAGTGTCTGTTACACTGTTGGATTTTCTGTTGATTAAATGATCTTGTCATTTGCTGCCACATATGGTGTAAAAAGACCGTCACAAATGTCCACAGCTAGCTCCTTAGCTAGCCTCTTGTACAGTCTCCATGGATACGAGAAAAACGAACAAAACAAAAACAAAAAAGCTAATTTCACAAAATCCAACAGTCTCTTAATTGTGTCCTTTGAGCTGCACATGCTGCACTTTTTAGGGGGTTAAAATTCCATGATATGCTGTCAGAAACGGCTCACTGTGAGAGCCAGGTAGCCACAAAAGCAGCCAACCACTCTGTTGTTATTTGAATTGAGCAATCATTTTAATTTTAATATATTTTTCTTTGCAGAATACTGGGGTTATGTCTACTACAGAATGAACTCTGTCCAATCACGTTAAATAGACATGTCATCAAAGTGCTGCTGGGAAGAAAGGTAATATACTTTAAATTATTGTACGTTTATCTGATGAAAAGGATGCTTTTACCCTGACAGTCTTTCTCATACTGTAGGTGAACTGGCACGACTTTGCTTTCTTTGACCCTGTAATGTATGAGAGCCTAAGGCAGCTTATTCGCCATTCTCACTGGTGAAGCAGAGGCTGTGTTTGCTGCGATGGACCTGGCTTTTGCCATAGATCTCTGCAAAGAAGAGGGGGCTGGACAGGTAATGTTTTATAAAGCTGGCATGACCTCATAGTTTAAAGTTGCTTAAACCTGGCACAGATCGTTCTAAATTAATAAGGCCCAATAGGCTCTATTCACACTTGCGTCACAAACCAGGAAGACGTTTAACCAACCATACCTCAGTTTTCATCATTTCCCCATTGACGCACAACTTCGAGCGCACTGGTTACATGCAGTTAGAAGAGTTTAGGGCGCCAAATTCAAGATTATTCCAAACCTGCACCTGCATGCAGTTTTCATTTTACTGCTGATCACACATTTTATCACTGTCTGTTTTAATAGATCCATGTTAGATCAGCCCATTGTCTGTAGCTACACCGGAGGTTGTTCCATAATTTCTGGACAATAAGTCGCTACTTTTTTCTCACACCTTGAGCCCTGCGGCTAATAAAAAGATGCGGCTAATATATAGACTGATTATATGTTTTGCACATTCTCCATTCATATATACGGTCTATGGTTTGGCAACACAGCGGATCAGCACAGCCTGAGTGTGAAAAACACATGGAACTAGGGTTAATGTGAAGTTGCTACACTAGCTAGTGATATTGTTAGTTGGTTTATCACTGTGAGATAAAATAAAGTTATGACGCTAAATTAACATTAGTGAAGGGGATACGTCTTACCCGTATGTGCAAATGATGGGAAGAAATGTCTCAAACTTCAGTAGCCGTACATCCACTTGTACCTGATTGAACTAGCCCTGTTCCCGGGAGAGCCTGAAATCTGCTGAAATCCAACAAGACACTGACATGATACAGACAGGACAGTGGCTCTCGCAGGAGACAGGCGCCGTAGAGTGCAGGGAGAGACAGGGGTGATGTGCTGAGGATTGATGCTCGTTTGATTGTGTTTTGAACAGTTTGCGCTTCATACACACTCTCCTTAGGGAAAATACATAAAGAAATGCAGATGATGCAGCTTTTAAGTTAACAGCAATTGATGTGGCTGTGGAAGAAGGAAACGGAGAGCTACTGCATGTGAGCTCGGCATCAGTGTGTCGATGGTGAGGTTTTGGCGATGGCAGCATGACTGACTCAATGCAAAAAGACGACAAAAGGTTTCAGAGGCGATTAAAAACAGTTGGCCCGAACTTGAAAATGTTCTTGAAGACGTGGACACCTGTGGCTTATCTTCAGGTGCAGCCTATATATGTACAGTTTTTAAATTTTGTTAAAATTTTGTTGATGTGGCTTATATTCGGGTGCGCTAAATAGTCCAGAAAATACAGTAACTGCATCTTTCCAAACGTCTTCCTAGTTTGTGATATAAGCGTGAATAGAGCCCATTGTCATTTTTCTTCCAACTAATACCTTGTCCATCCTTTAGGTGGAGCTCTTGTCTGGAGGAGTGAACATGCCAGTAACTCCCCTAAACGTTTATGAATATGTGAGGAAGTATGCAGAGCACAGAATGTTGGTGGTTGCCGAGCAACCTCTTCATGTAAGATCCATTTCCATCAAAATATTTGGGTGACAGAAAATGTTTATGTACAATTACTTTTATTTTTTTTAATAATGGCATAGTATTTCCATGGTAATTACCTGTTACGGTATTGTGATATTTTTAGGTTTGTGGTATTATGACTTTTTGAGAAAAAAAAACAAAAAAACTTTTGTCATAAGGTCTTGAAACTATATTGCTTGAATTTTTCATTTTCACATACCTTGTTGAAAGTTGAATGTAATTTATAAAACTGTATTTTTTTAGGCAATGAGAAAAGGTTTGCTTGATGTGATCCCCAAAAATGCTCTTGAAGATTTGACTGCTGAGGACTTCAGGCTCCTGGTGAATGGCTGTGGAGAAGTCAATGTCCAAATGCTCATCAGCTTTACCTCCTTCAATGATGAGTCTGGTATGAAATACCTTAAAGGTTTATAATTTAACATTTTCTTAAATAAATGTAAGTACTTTTGGGTACTGGGGAGAACTAATGACTGTATTCCATTCTGCAGGGGAAAATGCAGACAAACTACTGCAGTTCAAACGCTGGTTCTGGTCCATAGTTGAGAAGATGAGCATGACAGAGAGACAAGATTTGGTTAGTGTTGTGTCTGTGCTATCATGCTCCACCTTTATATATTGTAGAATCTTTGATTTAGTTAAGTTATTCTCTTGCCTTAGGTGTATTTTTGGACCTCCAGTCCATCTCTACCGGCGAGTGAGGAGGGTTTCCAACCGATGCCCTCCATCACGATACGACCCCCGGACGACCAGCACCTGCCCACAGCCAACACCTGTATCTCCCGTCTCTACGTGCCACTCTACTCCTCAAAGCAGATCCTCAAACAAAAACTGCTCCTAGCCATTAAGACCAAGAACTTTGGTTTTGTGTAGACTGAAGAGTTTAAAAAAGGAAAAAAGAATAACATGTTTACTGTTGTGTAAAATTAGCTCCATTTTGTAGATTTATTTTTTGTCTATACAGTTTTATGAAATTCAATATACTGTCGCTTTCTCCCGGAGCGGTAATATTATTTTTATTTCTATTTTTATTGTTTTTTTGTGTGTGTTCATAAAGAAGAGGTCCAGAACATTCCTGTATTGGCACTGTAAAAAGACCCCCGCTCTGCTATCAGCTTAAACTTTTGCTTCCCAGGAATTTGGTTTGACAGTAAATTTGTCATACCAAAAACCCAGCCAAAGATGACAGCAGTTGACAAATTATTTAAAAGAATAGAAAGACACACTGTGATAATTATGAGTTTTTCTTTTTCTCCTTCCCTAGAGAAGTACTATCACTGACTGACAGATCACTGCTGCCTTTGTGGAAAAGTCCTTTTTTCTTGTACAGGGGGAGTAGGGAATTTCAAAATAAACTTGGATGCAAATACCTGTGTTTAGACTCAATTAGTTATTTTAACTTGTGATTGGATTTCTTCAAATTAATTGTTACTGTAGAATATTAAACCTGACCTAGATCTACTCTTCTAGCGCAGGTCTATCTTTAATATATTCTCAATTTGTCACAACAGGGAAATCACCCCAAAATATAAGGGTGGCTCGGTAAAACGGCAGAAAATTCTCAATTTCTCATAACTATTTAAGAAAAAAAAAACTCCAAATGAAGCGTTTTGTTCGAATACATCTTATTGATTTTTAAAATACAATGATACCTTCACGTGTAGCAATAAAGTAGTGAAAAGGAACATCACATTCATTTACTATAAATTCAAATTCATCTAACGCTTTTAAAGTTCGACATGTAAAATATGTCATAATGTATCCTTGTAGAATTAGGAACATATATTCATGTATGGACGTTTATAAACGCTAAGATTTGCAAAGAGAAAAGTGGGAAGTCTTGATGTATTGTGCGCCAGATTTTTCGAGGAGTCGTGAAAGCGCTGCAGTTCCTCCAGTCAAATGGAGCCATATGAGGTGAACCTGCTGCTTTACACCAGTGCAGTCTGTGCATTGTGGAACAGCTAACGGGGCCTTGTCATCGGACCAAAATATCAGCTAACCGATAGCCTGGTTGCCTTTTAGCTGGGTTATTTTATCCCATCTGCGGTGCTAGATTTAGCCGGGTGGCTGAGGGCGGCAGTAAATCGATGTTGCTTGTGGAGTGGCGGACGGAGTTTTTTGTTATGCACGATGTCGTCGAAGCCGCACCGTTATTTCTAGCTAGCACAGAGAGGCTAGGCTAGCCCGCTAACAGCAGTCAGCAACGCGTGTCTAATCGGTCTGTTATCGCCAGCAAAGTATTCAAATGGAGCAGTGGCAGGATGTGGTCTCCCATCAGCTCGAGCTAATCACTACCCGACTCACTGAGCTACTGTCCCGGGGTCAGCTTTGGATAAAGACCGAGCTCGGTGTGGATCTAGGGCTGAATCCCGAGCTCATTCCGCCATGGGTGATTCTCTTAGCCGCATGCACCGGGTTGGTACTGATGGTGATTCTGTGGGCCTCACTGTGTCGTGCTGCGTTCAAGAAACAACCCGTCAGCAAAGCCGCGGAGGATTATGTCACTGGCGTAAAGCGAACGGCAAAACCAGTCAAAGATGAGCCGAAGAAAAAGAAGAAGAAATCAGAGAAGGTAAAAGTGCGATCAGGTCGAAGCTAACTAGCACTCAGGCTAAGTGACAGCTACATCTGCTGCTATGCTATAGTACACAACTTTAGAGGACTTCTCTGATTATAACAGTTTATGGCGTCCTATGTATTTGTCTAAGAGTATGAATAACTTGATTGAGAATATGTTTTTGTTTGTTCTTTCCAGAAATCTCAGCCCAACGGGAGAGCTGCGGTTGAACCTCAGGAGGAAGAAGCATTAGTGCCAGAGGAGATAGTGCCACATCACCATGAGCCGCCCCCTTCACAAGGCAAGACCGAGAAGGCAGCAGAGGCAAGTCAATCTATGACCACGTTTTATAACACACAATGTTAAACAGCACCAGATATTTGTTGTGTCATTACTACTGTAAAAAGCCACGAAAACATCCTATCGGACATTTTACGTTCATGTAGTTTAGAATCTAGTGGTATGAATGAAAATTTCCTACTTCCTCACTGTCACATAACCGTGACGCAACCACTGTAATGTCTAACCCGTGTAATGTATCAGTTTAAAACATGCACAAGCTGCAGTGTCCTCAACGAGGCACCCTTGTGAAGGCCACGCAGTGGTTATACTTATGAATTGGATATAATTTTTATTATTTCTAATTGGGGGAAAAAAAATGTCATGACACAAAATTAGTGACAAAAATGCATGTAGTTGCATTTATAAATAGTCGCAGTTTTTTGTATGATGATTTAATTAGGTGTCCATGATTGAAAAGGTGCAGTATTCCCTTCCACGGTTGCTTTTTTGGACTGGTATTCCTATCACTCCCCCTTTCCCCAACGACTAACTGAGTTGTTTTACTTGTAGGTAAAGAAATCTAAGAAGAAGGCCAAACAAGCAGTCAAGGAGCCAGCTACAATTGTCACAGATAGTAAAGAACCAGAAGAAGGTGAGTGTGATTTGTAAACCTTTTATTAAATGAACTATAAATTATTTGTTATGCTAAATGTCTTGTGGAAGTTCTTTTGTGTGTGTGTTTTTGTTTTTGTTTTTTTTACTTGAATCTGACCAGAGTTTGGGACAGGTCTAGATTTTAACTGACATATTGTGAGGCTGATTGAAGTTTTCCTCTATAGCAGTGTTGCTCACTTCATGTTTTTCATTCTTGTTTCCCATTCTGCACCTAAGACTAATCTCATTATAAAACACTTTGTAGAATTAAGCACTAATGCTACACATACTTATTAACGTACTTTTCAGGCACATGGGAGACTAAGGTTAGTAACAAGGAAAAGCGTGAGCAGCGTAAAAAGGACAAAGGCTCCAGTGATGGCTCCTCTAGTCCAGGAGGGGTTGATTCTCGAGTTAGCATTGCCACAGAGCAGCCGAAGACCTCTCCTGCTGTGTTACCTGCAAACCAAAAGAAGAAGAAAGGAGGTATAGGCCCTGGAAGCCAGTTGTTAAGTGCAAAATTGGCAAATAATTCTGTTGTTGATTCATTGACTTTTTCCTTGTTTCTTTGCAGGAGAAGTTAAATCAGAGAAGATTGAGGCTGAAGTGCCCAAAGGTATTTAAAATTACTAAAAATATTAAAAAATAAATAAATATTTTATATAATATGTATCCTGTTTCCTTTTCTCAGCTCCTGTGAAGGCTGACCCAACTGCTGCCCATGTCCCCATAGCAGTGATGACAAAAGTCCCTCCTCAGACTGTGGCTCCAAAGACTGTAAACTGGACGACTAATCGGGAGCCTGCTTCATTGTGGAGCTCGGAAATTGATGGTAGGTTTTTTGTTTTAAAGTTTAAACTGTGACTGTTTAGTGGGCACAAGAGCTAATCGAAAGGTTTTCATTGTTATTAGCTTTTAACTTAGCTGTGAAATAATTTTTTTAACTGTTAACTTTTTAATCTTTACTTGCCCAAAATAAATGCATAAAATGAATAAAAAATAACTGTTTTCTTGGGATTGATGAATATTCACACCATTCCACTTGCATGTCCTGTATATTATGAAACATGTGACACATGCACATACTTGGTTTAAATTTTTATTTATTTTTTTATTAATGATCTCCTTTTTTCTTTAGGATCGTGGACTGTTATTGATCGCAGCAGTCTTGGGACCTTCACTGCACTTGGGGTGCCCTCTACTGGCAAGATTGCATTTTGGATTAAAAAATATATATATATTATTGATGAAGTTATCTACTTAAACATGCATTTTTGTTTTTGTAGAGTCCAAGCCCATGAGTCAGCTGCCATGGTTGAATCAACCAGCTGTGGATGATGAGTGGTCTGGCATCAGTAAGTAGGAGATTGAAATTTTGTATAGTTTATTTTCTCTATTTTCAGATTGTCCCTAATTCTTACTCAATCATCTTTATCAGATGGTGGCGGTATTGATTATAACTCTGACTGGAATGCTCCCTCTGAGGTTTGGGGTAACTATGAAGAGCCTGCTTCCCCTGATCCTGTCCCAGTGCAGGAGCCCCCAGTCCCAGAACCAGACAAGAACAACTTACTCATCGAAGCAGCTGTAAGTTCACACTAACTCTTCCAATTCTCTGAAATGAATAGTTCAGGGACTCTATTACCCCCAAGGGGCACTTTGCAGCAGCAGTACACACATACAGATACAACAGGCAGCAGGAATATTTGGCCTAACATTTTAACCCCATAGTTATTAATGACCACTCACATCAGTTTGACACAAAATAACTTTTATGGCATGGTCCGTGTCAACAATACAAACACAGTGCCCCTCATGAGTTTAAATGTTTTTCCATGACGATTGCCTTTAATGGCAGCAATACAATTGTTTTGCTTATACCAGCTGCTAGTAGAATTTACTAGATATATTGTTTGTGTGTTAGCTGCCTTTAAATACATTTATTTTCTGTTAGAATGATGATAATGAGAAGGAAAAAGAAGACATTACTGGCGATGGAGCAGCTAAAAGTAAAAGGAAGAAGAAAAAGAAGAAGAAGGCAGCTGAAGAGGGTGCCACCTCTGGACAGGTATTATAAACATGCATTAGATGCATTATGTCATAAAATATATTGTCAAAGGGACATTTGCACATTATTCTCCGATAATTTGTCTCAATAATTTGTCTGTCAAATGTTTGTGAAGAGTGAAGAGCCTGAAAAGGATGCCCCTGTGTCCTCAATGAAACAGCCACCTCTGGTTCAGGAGATTCAAGCCTCAGTCCAGACGGTTAAAGTTACTGCTACTGAGGTGAGTGTGAACGTATTCATATGAATAATTTTAGCAAACTATATTGACTGAAAATATGAAGGTTCTGAAAGTTTTCAACAAAATTAGCTCCAGACTGAGACCAAATGCTTGAGTGTTTTTTCAAGCTCTAGTTAGTTAAATCAGTTAAGTCATAACTGCTTTAGTATTTACATTAAATGTGTAAAAAAAATAAATAAATAAAAAATTGGTTTATGTCCATAATGAAGCAAAAATACAACTCTTGCTACACTGTCCCCTGGCCTTTGTAATAGATAAAAAAAAAAAATCAACATTTTTAGATTGGGACTTATGGTTTGTTTTCCAATTTTGGATTTTCCATTTCCAACTAAACGGCCAACAGATATACGGACAACAGCCAAAATGTCATTTTTATGCATTCTGTTTTGTCTTTGATTGTTGTGAAGAAATTTGTCATGTTAACTTTATTTGAGCTCTTAAACCTTGTCTTTTATTCAGGTGAAAGCTGAGCAAAATTTGAAGGAGAATGTAGTTCAGAAACCTCCAGTCACACAAGTGCCACAAAAGCCAGCAGACATGGAGCCCACTGCCAAGAGCAACCCTGCTTCAACACAACAAAGTAAGTAAAATATTTACATATTGACCAACAAAGAGATTATGGGATGTATCACACATTCCAAAGTAGGCTCTATTTTACCATACATTTCAGGGCTTCTTTGTGGGAGTCCAGAGACATGACAGAGGGGGCGTTAGTCATCACACAATCCCCCAGCGTCAGTAAGGGGTTAATCTCTTCATACGAAAGCACAGCAGAGGAGTGGCACAGCCTTCCTCTTCTTCTTCTTTACCGCAGTGTTTTTTTTTTTCATAAAGCACCAGTTGCTGATAGGAGACTGACTCATCCTCTGTGCTGCAAAGAACAGGCAAGAGAGATGGAGAGAGCTGAGGAGGAGAGGGGCAATCAGGGACTCATATTTCAGGTTAATTTAGCTATTTATAGAGTGAAAATGCACCAGGAAAATGTCTGAGAATGGAAATCTGTCATAGGGCTAAAATAAGTGCTGCTAGCGTCTGGCTGCTCTGGTCTTTGAAAGTTGTGCAAAACACTTATAAATTCATTGTGTTGAATAATTAGATGCCAAGAATGCTTTAGGAAAGTGAGGAATAACTTTGGATTGCTGCAAGTATTATATATTATTCTGTTATATTTTTCTTTGCCACAGAAAAACCTGAGGAGAGCCAAGCGCCCAAACCAGCTAAGAAGAAGAAGGCCAGACGGGAGACATGAGACAGGACACACTCTACAACAGACTCAATATCCTGTTTATGCAACTCCTTTTGTGACAAATTTTGAACTTACAGACTTGACATTTGTCTGGATTATTTTTTTTTTTTCGACTTGTTGATTGATCAATCAGCCACCGGATGTTCCTAAACTGAACCTAGATGCAGTGCAATCTAACTTAATGCTGTGTTGCTGATTTTTAAATATGACTTTGATACTCTTGATTCCACCATCTAATCAAAAAGTGCTGATTGAAGGAGTTGTATTGTAGTAGTATGTATGATCTTGTCTAGATTATGTTGCGGTGTCAAATGGTAACTCACAATGTTTGCTATCAGGATGAATCCATTTGGGCACAACTTATTGGCAGTTTTATTTTTGTTAACTGAATGGTACAAAGGTTACCAGGGGCTTTTCTGGTGATATCACAAATTAACATTTATGTTAATGCACTGAACACACAAGCTGTACACTGTAAAGGGAACGGGAGATTTGGAATTAGGAATGTCACAACACAATTTAAAATTTTAATGTTACTGTTGTGAGAAGAAACATCATGCTTTAACGATCAAACATGAATAAAAGTTGTGAAGTCTATAATTTGCTTTTTTTCCCCATGCTGTCTAATGTTAAAACAAAACTTTTAGAAATCATACTATATTGAAACATAACTGCAATTGATTACGTCTTGACATCTTTATCTGTGAGTAAGTGTACTGGAGAATATTTGTCCAGTTTGGTTGTATTACCTTCTTTTTGTTAATTGGTGACTGTTTCATGGCCTGGGAAGACCTAGTGATCCTACAGTACAGTAATTGTCCCATTGTCATCCACTGGTTGGTTCAAAAAGTCAATCTTTTTTACAACCTGTTTATAATAAAAGAAATGTGAAAGCCATATGTAAAAAGACTAAATAAAGATCTTTTTTAAAGTTTTGAGTTATAACTTTTACATTTAACTTACAAACACCTTTTGAAAAACACTTCTTTGTAACATAAGATTTATTCATTTTAAAGGCACACTGGCTGATGTTACATGGTTATAATCTCATTTGGGCTTTTTTGATGATTTGAATGACTTGAGAATTGCAAAATCTGAAGAGCACTCAGTGGGACCATTATCAGAAAGAAATTACATGATTTTGCTGTCATGTTTGTCATGACAGAAAAATAATTAAGTACATAATATCGAAATGCCACTGACACAAAAATGTAGAATTATCCCCCAAAAATTATTCTAAATGTACAAAAAGTTAAACACAGATTGCAATAAATAAATAGCAAAATGAGGCACTTTAGTTTGTATCTTTTATGAGTCATAAAAGTTATGTATTCAACTGTGTACAGCTGAAAACTTACCTCAGTACAAAAATGTAATAAAAAGACTAGTACACAGAAAAAAGTACCACGACAAATACTGACAAAATACTGTCTCATCTATCATATACTGAATAAGTTGACACAGTATTTATCATGACATACTTAATTTTTTTTATTTTTTAACACCAGAAGTGATAATAACCAGATTTTGAGTGTGCGTTGTTGTGTTATAATTTGTAATTTTTCATCATATTGTTCACTGAAAAGTCTGATCCTCTGTCTGCCCTCTGTGTCTGTGTCCAGGACTTGTGTCACTCTCACAGTGATGAGGCCACCATCAAGAAGATCTCCACCATTATCCATGTCTTTATCAACTCCTCTGTTTTTCCAGCTCTGCAGATCGACATCCCACCTGACCAGGCTCAGACTCTCCTGGAGAACCGCCACAAGTTGGGACCATACATCTTTAGAGAGGCTCAGGTCACACTTCAAATTCACTCTGTTATGAATTTTAAAAAATGCCCAAAATTGCAGGTCCTGAACCAGTATGGGCTGACTTTGGTGGTATGTAAGGACTTCTGCAGATTGAAAATGAAGTAAAATTTTTATTTTTTTTTAAAATTCTGCTTGGATTGTGCCATAACATGTAACCGTATTGCTTTAACCTGGTTTAATTTATTCATGTTTTGTCCTCCCTTAGGTTAATTATTATTTAGTCCTTGTTCAGGTTCAAAGCATGATTTAGTCTAATTCTAAACTTGGTTTTGCCCTAACTTAGGCCTGATACAGACTGGGCCTATCTGATAGTACTATTAAAGCCAAACATGATATTAGGTGGTACTTCACCTGAAAGAGGAGAAAGAGGAGAGGAGGACACTGCTGAGGGAAGAGAGGAGAGTAGGGCACTGATAAGAGCATAAATTCTTAACCACCAAAAACCACCAATTCATCAGCAAAGCTGTAGAGAGCAAGTATTAACTAAACACATGTGTCTGTGATTTGGTTATGGTCATATTATGCAAAGAGAAAGTAATTTCTTTAGATGCACTAAATACCCCTTCAAGTTTTTCTTTAATAATAATGGGCCAGGTTTTGATGGATGTTTTTTTTTGTCTGCAGATGTCAGTGTTTAGTGAGCTATTGAGGTTTTGGCGCCAAGTTTGAGAATCTCAGGAGCAGTTTTCGAGAAGAACAGCTGCTGCAACTGCTTGAGAAGTAAAGACTGAAGTACAGAGCCAGAGTGAGATGACCGAAATGCAGAGAGGAGGAAAAGGAGGAGAGGAGGCGACAGGTGAGGAGGAAGACGAAGGAGGAGGGTACAGGTTAGGGCAGGGGGGAGGAGGAGGAAAAGCAGGAGGACAAACATAAGGACCTATTGTCTTCTGAGTCCAGTGTTAAATCACCTTCTTAAATCTTTTCTTTAAAATACTGTAGATAAAGTAAACTTTTGTTGATTATTTTTTATTTGAGGCTCGTATGTATGGAATCTCTCCTACTCTTTTATGTGTTCTTAAGAGTACAACAGTATTTCTTCTGTATAGAAAAAACATTATATTTCCACTCACTTATGGGAGTTGTTCAGCGTAAAACTAAGATGCACAGTCATTTCATGAAAGTTTGATCTGATCCAGACCGCTTCTCATGAATCTATGAATTTTGGATTTCTGACACGTGAAGTAACATTGAAAATACTGTCCTGGCTAAAAGTTATTTTATTATTATAAAACTATTATTAGAGTAGTGGAATTAAGTAAACTTTTTTTGTATTTTTTTTCAGGAAGAGCAGCAAAAGCAGGAGTATAGCTTCAGAGATGAGTATGAAGAGGCTGATGATGAAGAGGACTTTTCAGACAGTCCAAAGACTGTCTAAAACCCAGGGTAGATTGCAGTTCACGCCATCTCCGGCCATAAGTATGAGTTCAGTTTTCATAAATGGACCAATCATTATAGGCATGTTGGTATAACATTGTATCTCTCAGAGCGGAGCCAAAACTAATGGAAAGATTTCCTCTGATAACTGTCAGTGATTTTAGTCCAACTGGGGAGCAACTGTAGCCGCTAATTTTTACGTATTATGTATTTTTATGATCGAGTTAGACTGGATTTGCACTATTGTGTAAAAGACACTAGATTTTCTAATGACTCAGAGAAGAATGGACTGTACAGTAAAGATGAGAAATAAATGGAGAGTGTATTAAGAGCTAAGATACCAGTACAGTTACTCTAGCTCTTTCCCATTCCACAATTGTCCAGAAATGTCTTGGTTAGACCTGTCATGATAATAATTTTTAACTATATTGACTTATGGTTCAATATGTGAAAGCTGGAACTATATAATATTTTGGGTTTCAGTATTTATCGCAGGGACTTTTTCTTTGCAATAATGGGGAGATTTTTGTTGTAATGAGTTGTAGAGGTTTGAATAATTAACTTTTATGGCCAATTATAGTTTCAATCTGCTAATTATTTGTTGCAGCTCAGGCCTTTTAATGACAGGTATATGTTAAAATTGGTTTATGAGGACTATTCTGCTTCATCGTGGTATTTCTCTGTAATATATTGTGCTTGAGAATGTGTTATAGTGACCTAGGCCTAGTCTTGGTCATAAACTCATAATGTTGTGTATTCACACCGTCCACATACAAATGATTTCCTCTCTCTACAATAATAAAACTATTGTATGTCCTTTTAGTTAACATGGTCTTACTCCAAGTACATGGCAGCTCTGAAGAGAGAGGAGATCCTGTTGAGAAGGAAGAATCAGCTGGATACCTCGTTCTCTACTATTTCAGGTGAGTCAAACTTCCACTTTTTAGGCCAAAAATTCTGAAATCACATTAAACTTTTCAAACAGTTAAGTCCAAGGTACATTTTCTTACTGCCAGCTTAAGCTTCAGCTCTGTCAAACCACTATTCTCACTTTCTCATTAACTCAAATGTAAGCCAAAATCTCCCTTCAACCTGTCCATAAGTGTCCACGGACTGGGCAGAACTTGGGAGTTATATTGAGCTCCTAAATGAAGCGTAAAACACAGGTCTGAGTCCTAGCCACAGGAGGGGAGGGAGGGGGCAGAGCTGAGGTGTAGTGAGAATGAAGTTTTAATGTGATCTGACAGTGAGGAACAGATGGACATCATCACGGCATTTTGGTGCAGAGAAGCAGATTTCTGTGTGGACAGTTCACAGCAAGAAGCCAGGAAACTGACTTTTAACAACCAATACATAAAGTATAAGAGGAAAATGTGGAGTTACAGAATAGAAAAGATTCAAACTGTTGAATGTTACATCTAATATAATGCAAATCTATGCAAGGATGTAGTAGAGTGGTATAGCCTTGAAGTATTTGAGTATACACTATCAGTCAAAAGTTTTATTAAAAGTTTTATTACTTTCTATATTTTGCATACATACAAAAGACATCAAGTATATAAGCAAGACATATGGAATTATGTATTTAAAAAAAAAAGTTACTTAACTTTGTTCCTTTGCTACATAATTCCATATATCTTACTTCATATAGTTGATTGAATGAGATGGTGTATCCAAACTTGATTGGTAGTGCATATTTTAGCTAACTGAAAAATGTAACTTTCAGTTACAATTACCCACGAGCATTCAAAATAATGCAAAGCTTAAAATAATTAACATCCAAATACAAGTCACTGATCACCGTGACTTGTCTTGTCAGTATCAGGATGTGGTCACTGCTTTGACACAATAATATGTTCTAAAGCACCTGGTGGAGTTTTTAAACATGCAAAGTATGTTTATTTGTCAGTGGACAATCTCACTGTTTCACTTCTTGTCATATGCTTTTAAATAATGACTAAGAGTTGAAGTAAGTTAATCCTGTTTAATGTAATGATATGCCAGGACCGTCCATGGTCACTTGTTTGTTTAGGGGAACATTTTAAACAGGTGACGGATACTGATCTCGTCACAGAGTAAAGAACAAAAGCTCATTACAAAAATGTTAGTCTTTATATAGTGGCTATAGCTATGTTATGAAAGAGCTTTGATAATGCTGGATTATAACCCTCCGCGTCACAAATGGATGCAGAGAGTTGTTGTTGCTTTATATTTGTAGTTTTTGACTAAAGTAATTTTCCAGTACAACTTGAACTGGTTGGTAACCACGTATTTCCATGGTTACCATGTTGTTTATTTTTCTTTTATTGTGAAACCGGAAGTCCGCGCTTCTTTCCGTTCACTTCACCCCCTCCGCTCCAGCTCTGCGCTCATCTCAGACCGTGTATAGTCTATGGTTACTCTGCTCTGAAGCGCATTTAAAGGACGCCCACTGCTACTCGGCATCTCTCTACAGGCTCCACATTAGGACTGAACTAACCCGTGAGGTTTTTTACTCTCACAGCAAACTAGACCGATGTAACGTTATTTTCTGAAGCATCAGCCAAGGTAAATGGGAAAGATGTCGCTGCTGTCGCCGGGGCTCCGGTCCTCTACCAGCTGCTGCCTGTGCTGCCATGTCCGCACAGGGACCATCATCCTCGGTGTCTGGCACATGGTGAGCACCGTCGCTTCTCCGTTTATTTAGCATGAGTACAGCTTTGTGCATTTGGCCGAGATAGTGCTGATAGTGTTGATGTTCATTAACAGAAATGTGTCCATTGTGGAGGAAAAATGCGTGCTTCTGTTGTTGTGCGAATCCTGTTTTCATACTGCCATTCACATCCTTAAAGGTGCACTGCGTAATATTTCTAGTGAAGAGTCTGCTACCTGCTTGTCTCCATGGAAATGTTATTGCTTTGTCTAGAATGTTCCGCAGATTAAACCATATACAGTCTATGGATTAAACCCATTTTTCACGAGGGAGACACAATAGTAATGTAGCGTAGTTACGGCACTACACGTCAGATCTGTGGAGTATAAATACATGCTAAAGGGATATGTTTAATGTCATATCGTTGCTATGCCAAAACAGGACGATGTTAATGTTTTTTGTTTGTTTGTTTGATTTTTTCTCAGTAATGTTATAGTCTTATTTATGCGCAATGTAACTCGGGCAGATTTAAGACAGCTTGACCAAATCAGATAAGCTACTGGGATAACTATTGTAATAGATTGTTCTGCTCTTTCAAACTCATCTTGTGGAAAAATACGGTGTTTCTCCCTCTATGAATAAATTAACAGTAGGCCTCCTCAGGTAGCAGGTGAGCAGCTTCTGTGTCACACTTTATTCAAGAAATTTCCATTGCTTCTCGTCAAGGGGAACACTCTTAAGTTACAAACATGTTTAGTTCCAAGGGCTACATCAAAACAAAGGGTTATGTCTCACTTTAGTGGCCTCATCTTTCACCAATGTCCAGGATTCATCCTACTCAGTGATTCCTTTTTATTCATTTTATAGAAGTTATAATAATGCCTGTCTTTTGCTTTCTAATAAAGACAGAAGCTACCAAAAACTCCCAAACTGATGGAGCAAAGGGCACTTTTTATTTATCCACTCATTTGGCTCTACAAAACCTAAGGACAACTCAACTTATGCAACTTGCGCAAATTTTTACAGCTTTATCTAAATGGTTTCTGCATCTCTCCCTGCCTTGGTTATTGGAAAAGCATGCAGACACAGTTGCCTTGTGAAAACATGTGCAGATGACTACACCATAACGCAAAACACTGCTGATGTCTTTGTATTTTCAGCTTTTCAATGTTGTGGTGTTGACCATCGTGCTCCCTGCACTGTGGGATCCACACATGTACCAACTGATCAGCACAGAGTTTTCCAGTGGCCTGGATGTCATAGATGACGACAGTAAGTACTAATGGACGGGACTGGATAGCACGTTAAATATAAAAAAAAAATGTGAATAAAAAAGCAAAAGAAGTTCACTCCCTGCTTCTTGTTCAGTGTAAAGTTTTCTCATCACAGCAGGTGGGCAGGGAATGCACATCTTGGAGCAATATTCTGCTGCTGGCATTAAATTGTGAATGATTATAATAACCAAGATATTGAGGATTTTTGATAATTTTGATGACTTCATCTTGACAAATTGTCTCTACTCATGATTAATTATAAAAATCTAAGTTTATGTATGTATTTTTTTCAGATACATTATACATTGTCTCAGCCATTTCTTTGCTGATGATAATCATAAGTGGAATGGCTACATACGGCGCTTTCAAGGTAACTAGTTTTTCACACTAGTGTTTATAAATTATGAATAATAATCTTAAAATATTCTATATTATGGATTGAGTGTACAAACTAAACTAATCTTGTAACCTAACAACTGATCTACTAACAGCCAGTGCCATTACAACTGAATAGTATCACCTTGATGTTTTTTGTTTCATGTGGATAGGGTGAGTAATTTCAGATTTTGAACATAAAACACATCTACTATCTTTTATGCAGTTGCGATCATCTTGGATTATCCCATTCTTGTGCTATGAGTGTTTTGATTTCTGTCTGAACACTCTTGTGGGTCTGTGCCTTATTTTTAACCCCAGCACCATCCAGGACTATGTTAAACAGCTGGTGAGTAGTATTTGTTTGTTTGTGTGGGAAATATGCACAAAGAACATTCCTGAATTCTTTTTTCAATTGTTGTAGCCCAATAATTTCTTGGACAAAGAAGTTGACATGGATTACATGGCCGACGCTGTGGTGTTTTTTATCGCCTGTATTCTCATAGTCAAGGTACAATTCACTTAATTTTTTACTTACTGACACAGGGTTTTCAGTGTGTAGTGTAGTAGTACAAGTTATTACATTACTCTCCAAAAATAAAGCTCTTCAGTTATATTATTTGAACCCCAAAATACACATTTTATTTACAGTCTAAAATCTACAATGGCAGGGAAACTTGAGGTTAAACTGTTTGGCACAAAAGCAAACTAAAACATTGAAGATGCAAAAGAGTGAATATTGTAATTCTGCTTAAGGCCTTGTTTATTCCAGTTTTTATTAGCTTTAGATTAGGTTTTTGTGTTACTTGAAAACACCGATATTATCTGAGGTAGTCCTTACAATGTCAAGTTTGTAAATCACTGAGCAATATACTTCATTTCATTTTGTTGGTATTTTTTCACAGGCCTACCTAATTTTATGTGTGTGGAGATGCTATATGTATGTGAGCAGCTGGGGCACTGCAGAAACACTGAGTTATATCACCACCAATGACACCACAGTAAGTATCCTTCACTAGTTAAGAAATGGAAATGCTGTACGGATAATGAACCAGAATTTCAAGCTATTAAATGGTAAATACTTTTTGGCTACTTAAGTGTGTACAAAGCTTTTATCCATTTTAGTGTAAACAAAGTAGACTTTCATATGGTTAAAACTTGATTGAAACTTGAGTGTGTGCTGTCTCCAATAGCCACAACATTTTCTAGAGGACTGTAACATCACACACCTCTGCTCTGATTAGAGCCCATACTGCTATGCATGTGATTTCATAATTAGAATTTATTTAAAATGACTTTAACAATTTAAACTTACTTTAACAATTATTTACTGTAAATTTAAAGGGGAGCTCAACAATGCAAAGTTTTATGGGCTAGTAATTGTGTAATTATTTTTTTCCAGAGAGAAATTGCCAACATAGGCAAAAGAAACTTAAGTATCACTTAAAACTTGTACTTGACAGTGTAGTTACTAAAAAGTTAAAGGTGAAATAAGTAACATACTCCCTAGTATCTTAATATTCAGACAGTGCCAGTTTTAACAGTCATTTTTGGGATCAGCTGTAATCTAAAACAGTGTCCGCAATATGCTAAATTACGAGCTATTATAGGGTCTAATCCAAAGCACTGTTTTGTGTGTGTGTGTGTGTGTGTGTGTGTGTGTGTGTGTGTGTGCGTGTGTGCGTGTGCTATAAAAAGTCTGTCAGGCAGCCGTAAAGTCATTATATGTAAAAGCGATAGTTTCACTGGTGCTGGTGCAGACATTATAACACAAAGTACAGTTGTACAGTGAGTCAGATCAGGTTGCTCTGTCTGAGTACAGTTGCCCCGGTTTGGCCCTGCACCACTGGTCCCACATTTATTATTTAGTTTAATTGGAGAAGACAAAGGATGTGGACAAAATAATAATGAATGGTTTCAAATGTTTTAGAATATGGGGACTTTTCCATTATTGGCAGCTTCTTGGACCTCTGCTCAGGTCAACATACTACCAGGTTTGAAGCTGTAGGTGAATAGTTTCAATCTCAGCTCCTCCTTTAATAGTTTGAGTAAAAAATGTATTGCACACATAAAAAAGGGTCTAATTATTATAACAAAGGTCTGAAATTCTCTTTTTTTATATATAAATCAGTCACTAAGAAAACAACGCTGGGCCACTGGAAGCTTAATGCATTTTACAGATTTCTTTTGAAACAGACTCCAACTTGCTGACGTCATGTCATGTCAAAGCCATACAAAACCAACCAAATTCCATTTCATAACATTATTTTCACCTTTGCACTCCTACGTTCTTTCTGTTTGCTACAGAGGTGTGTAATTAGGTTTCCCCACAGACTACTACACAAAGGTGAAGGAGTTAATCTATTCCAGATGAGGTGAATTCTTGGCCAAACATGTGCAAAATGTATCTACTACTTCCATCCGTATAGTCATTATTGCTTTTATTTAGTAGAATAGTTACTTACTTATAGAATAACCACAGGTCTAGATGTGGTGCATTTTATTTAGATACTTCTGTCAATGACTTCTTAGATCTATAAATTTCCTTTTTTAGTCAACTGTTGTGGCAAGATTTGGGCCAGTTTGTTTTGACAAGAAACACTGTTGCAATTATCTAAAATAAATGAGCAGCCTGATGCTCATTTGTCAAAATAATTTATTTAGTTGGTATGTATATATGTTAGGAACAAGTCATTTTGGTCAATTACGCTGTGGTCGGTCTTGGCCTACTTTTCACTAATAAAAACCCCTTCTGTGTTGTGTAAATATTCATGTTGTGTCTTGTTTGTTTGGGTAGTGGGCACTAAGAACACTATTTCACAGTTCCAGTGTTTAGTCTTGTAGCAAATTAAGGTGATTCTTTGACTGTTCTCTTGCAGATGCTGATTCCTCCATATGACGATACTGTGTCTTTCCCTCCTGAGAAGTCTCCTCCTCCTTCATACGCCACTTCTATCTCAGCTTGAACCATAGGCATATCCCAGGACCCGGTCTGAATAAAAACCCAGCAAACATCTCACTGCCTCTCAGTTCACCTCACAGGAAGGATATATGGTTTATAATGGGCACTGAGGTGACACCCCTCCAATAAATCATACAAATTACAGTAAATTAGTAAAATTACACTAACATTAAAATTGTGAGATAGTTTGGTAATAGTGTTTAAATAATACAGGATTTCTGTCATCAACAGTTGTTAGAAAATATAGCCTGCTTGTTTAGCATTGGAAAACAAAATCCTTTTTAATTTTATTCTGAAAATATTTTACACATCGAGTTGTATGGTCACTGTAGGCAGTTTTACATGGGTGGCATGTTTAGGTTGAATTTAAGTTATTTTACCCAAAAAGGTTAAATCTGTGGGGAAAGGATTTCCAAGCATGAAATGTTTTTTTAAGTTCTAAGTAATATTCAATGCAATTGTAATTTTGGATTACAGGCAGTGAAAATTTAACAAAAGATTAAATTTAACCATTATATTCTACAATTATGTTCTTGTACAATATTTCTCCTGTCACACAACAGACAGTTACTGCATTTAGTTTAAAGCTCTGTAAATGCAAATAGGTCTAATTTACTTTAGTACCTGTATTGAGTTAATCACTTTTTTGATGTTCTTGGCTACAACATAAGGCTAAGGTATTTGTGTTTGCTCCTGCTCATATTGTATTGCCTTCATCAAAATCTTTCACTGACAATGATGTGAACTTTAACTTATTTATAAGTGTCGTATTGACCATAAGCTCCCAAAGTAAATGGACCTGCCCAAATCTGATGTGATGCAATGCACAGCCTAGTATACACCAAACATATCATGCATAATATTATTTTGTTTGTGTTGAGTTGACCTCCATAAATTAAATATATATATTTTTTTGTTTATTGTAAGAGTTTCTGGGCTACTTGTGTATACCAGAAGTCACTGATCTGGCATCAGTTTGTCTATAAAGTCACATTGTGCAGACTGTTGTAAGAGTTGCATGTTTTAGGGTCCAATAAATATGTAATGTTCAGGTAATTACGGTTCTTTGAGCGAGGGGAGGATGGAGAACTTATGTTTTTACAATTAAAGTGAAAGGGAAAAAACTGTACATTATGTAAACAGAAAGGCCTCTTTCACCAGAGGTACTGGCAGCTGTTCCTACCACAGGAGTTCAACAGAATGAACAAGTAAAATGTGACGTGTGTTAATACAATTAAAATAAAGTCTAGTTTTATTGAAGATGCTTGTGGGTGTTATTATGTACATGTTGTTATTAATAAATCTAAAACCCTATTCCTGATGTGGGCCTATTTGAGTAGATTCTTTTGTTTTGTTCTTAAATAGTTGGAATAAGAAAACTGTGACCACTGCTATATGGCAAATGTGACTGAACTGCTTCATGTGAGGTACACTGGGAGATCCACGAAGGAAGTCTTTACACAAACTACTGTTTCAATGAGCCCTGAAGGAGACAAATGAAACCTAAACACACCTATTATATTTAGAAATATACTCCGCTCCTATTGTTTCTCTCTCCAAACTGATGCTTTGGAAAAGTGTAGTCATGGCTGCAGGTTATACTGGTACATTATCTGTGCTCTGCTGTTTCTGCCCCTTCTGTCCCCACTGCACTTTTAATGAATTACTACACAGGATAACTGATTGTATTAATACTTTGGAGAGACATGATGCTGGGGATGTTCTAAATGTAGATACCATGATGACACAAAGCACATTAGCAAACACAGCCCAAAATGTTTTGTGACTGTCTGAAAACTAAAAAAAAAAAGGAGCCAGTGATCTGTACAGGCGTTCATGGTCCTGTTTAGGCGTTTGATTTTCATCAAAAAGGTGAGAGTGACTAACTGAAAAACTCTTGGCTAATGCTAGGTAGCTTGGGACTACAATTTTATGATGTGAGACTCTTGTTTAACAGCACAAATCAGTCAAGTAAGTCAGCTCTTTCTGGTCAGATTGGGTTAAATTAAAGATCAGATTAAAGTAGGGCTGGACAAAAAAAAAATTAATTGCATGAGTTCGAGTTATATACGCAAAACCAAATGAATATGAATGAATGAATGAATATGAATGAATTTAATGAAATAAAAAGTAGCGTATAGTGCACTTTTATTGGAAATATAAATGAAAGAGCCATACATGTGTTGTGCAAACAGCATTTCTTTCAGAGGGGAACCCTCAGAGCCTTCAGGGTATTCAATGAAGGTTCAAGATAAAATATTTAATGATTTTTTGTACTACTAATATATTTTTTTATTCAGTGAGTAATAAACACTACTACTAGTAATAATTTCTAGATCATTGTTATAAACTTGGACTGATATTTCTTGGGAAACAAAGGGTTAATATAATGGAATGGAAATGGGCCAATCACAATTTTTTCTTCCAATGGTATCTGGGTAAATCAGTGACTCCAGCACTGAACTAAAGAAACACCTGCAGGGTCTTATGTGGCTGGAACGAAGTTTGAGATTGACAGTTGTCTGAACCAATCATATTACATTGAGTTATCGACGGGATCATATCACAAAATCTTCTGGACCTTCACGGATACCCTGTAATAGTATTATGTAAGTGAGTCCGCAACGACGAAAACCACACTGCACAATTCTATTTGGACGGAGAAGAACGAGAAAGACCCTTGAACCAGAGCCTGTTGAAGCTCAGAGCCCACGGCTGGTCTGGTCCAGCTTGGCCGGAGTCGGATAATTAGTTAACGCAAAAATTAACGCATTCACATGCCCGGCCCTAGATTAAAGTCTAACTTTGGGTGACCAGACATCCCTATTTACCTGGGACTGTCCCAGTTTTGAGCCCTGTGTGCCCTGTCCCAGTGGTTTTATTCAAAACCAGCAATTTGTCCCAGTTTAATAGGAGAAATGTCTCAGGTGTCCCTATTTTTGACTGATTTGAGACCTGGCAATAACAAAGAGAGGCATAAATTGTCATTAGTTTAGGTAAAATACAGAAAACTGCTTAAAAATGACCAAACCCCCCACCCCCCGAACCATCTCAAAACTGCTTAGTCTGGCCAAAGAGGTGTTTCAACTTAGAGTAGGAGGAGGAAACCACAGACGTCTAAGCAGTGTGTCTGACTAGAGACTATACCAGCACAGTACAACAGCAGGTACTACTTCTACTACTACTTCACCACTTCATTACTTCTTTTTTTAGGCAACATACTGGAACATATATATCAAGACTTAGAAATACCCTATTTTAGCACAAAAAGGTAAGGTTTTGGTTTTATTCTATTGATGCATGTACTCTATATTGATATTATTGGCTCAAAAATGTAAATAAAAGAACACAAAAAACAACCATTCCCAGTTCTGTTCTCTCTAAAACAGTTTTATATTTATTAACTTTTATTAATTCAGTATTTAGTTTGATTCATGATTTGGGACATCTACATACTTTGCATGTGTTCCTTGTTTACTAATACAGAGGAGTTTCCTCCTCCGACATCCCACAAAGCCATTAAACTGCCTGTAATGAGTAAAACAGATACTAGAAGTCATCCTGATCAGTACATTTTGTTTGGTAATTTGAGCACTATCTCAGGAGGAAAGTTTGATGGAAAAACAGTATTACAGATCCCCTGAAGTGTTGCATGGGTTTGTCATTCTGTTGATGGTTTGGAGTGACAGACAGGAGCAGAGACACTTTAACATATGTAAGGTCAAAGTTCAACTGCTCCTCTGACCCTTGGCTGGTCCCAGATAAGCTGTAATTGAATACATGTGAGTCCAGAGGAGTAGGTAAACTACATCCAGAGCCTTGTCACTGGCTATCGTCACCATAAGGTGTTAAAAATGTAATTTAAAACTGCGTTCACTTCAAAGTATACAGAGGATGCATAAATAACTGAGAAAATAAAGTTCAGGATTTGAAGCTTTTTCAAGGCAAGGCACATAGCTGGTGTTTCAAAAGTATTGTTAAGTTTCAGCAGCTCATTGTTAAACTTAAAAATCATAATGTCACTTTTTTGGAGGTGCTTTATATAACATTATTTATTCACTTCACGTGTGAGGGTATACTACTGTATCCACAACTGCTCTGAAGTAGACTGACAGAAAAACCCAGGGAAAAGACAACAGCATACACTACAGACACTGCTGCTCCACTGCTATAGTACCAGGTGTTCTGAGCGGTCTTCCACTTCCATTCCTGTACTAACCAGGCTTCAGAGAAGTAGTTTGATCATCTCAGTCTTTTAACCAGCACCAGTACTTATTTTATAGCTGGTGCATTGTTTTTGTGGAGAACATGTGCTATGAAATTTATTCCAAGCCAAATAGTGATCTATAATAGTCACAAATCTGAGAAGGTTCCTCCCTGGACATTCTTTATTTACCGTAGTTTTGGATGTGTTTTGATGCAGAGAAACACGTGTACTTGGTTCATGGCACTGAAGATGACAGCTCATAAATGTCTCTCCTGAGGACTGGACCAGGATCTGAACCAGACCTGGAAACAATCTGGGTCTTAAATCACAGTGAAAAAGCAGAGCATGGTGCTGTGTGGGCTTTATATAAAAACAGATGGGATTGTAATCATGCTACTACTCATTTAGGCAATGAGAAAATATAATTAAGCAAACAGAGGGAGGTCCCCTGATTTTTGCTCATGCTTCAACTTGATATAATTTTGATCAAATTTAAAGCTTCTGGCATTTTCCCACTAAAGACATAGTTGGTTTGTTTATTTATGCCAACCCTCATTCAGGAGTGGTCCATGATACCAATTGATAGTTTTGAGCTTTGAAAATACTTTATAGATAGGTTCTCAATTTGTAATTTAACAGATGTTTTAAAATGCATTTTCATAAAATGTAGGCTACTCGTGTAATTATTGAGGTATTGTTTAGTTAGTTAGGGTTATAAGGTAGTTTCACCTTATTGAAATACATTTTAATGGTATTGTTGTTTTAAATAAAGCTGTCACTAATATGTCTTATTATTTATCTAGTTTTATCCATTGTAATTTCTATAGTACCAGAGTGGATTAGCAAAATCTTCAACCAGCTCTAACGGGTGGTCACTTGCTGAAATGTAAAACTGGACAGGTCAAATATGCAGGAGGTGAAAGTTCCTCCTATTTTTATCAATAACCATTAACTTACATATTTCTACTAGCATGGCACCATACTTCCAGATTTGAGATCCCAAGGTTTTTGAGGCCTTCCTTTAACTGGTCCATCTCATCAGGAGGAGTAAGCACACGCAGGGAACCCCATGCAGATCTAGAACTTGCTTCTGGATCTTGGTCAAAACCTAATAAAGGCAATATAGAAGTTAATATTGGTTTTAGGTTGATGAGAGAAACACTGAGTAATCTATAGATCAGGAATTCCAACCATGTTACTATTCTGTTTCTTAAACTAATTTTCTCAATTGTTCATGACCTAGCCAGACTAAGTACTCTACAGCAAGTTCTCACAGTCTCATCCATCAACCATCAATGCTCTTTTATTTCTTTCTTTTTCAGGATGAGGTGCTTGGTCCTCCTACTCTGCTGCTTTCTGAGCTGTGATGGGTTTCTCTTTCAAAGACGGCGTCCAGAATCAACCTCTGCCCCACGTCAAAATGAGATCCAAAAGCACAAAGTCAAACCAACAAGTGAGTTTTTTTTTTCTGTGTCCAGTCCTGTGTTCATTTGATTATTGATCAAATAAATAATTATTGATTATTGATTATTAAACCCAAATTTAAATAAACGTTCCGTGTTAAAAGTTTTAAAACTAAAGATTAGAACTATCCCCAAAATCGAACCCTAAGGGCGCATCTTAAAAATAGCCTCATAAAAATGACTCATGAGTTCCTAACCCACATGCGTCTAATGTTTTTTGTTTGTGTTTTTTTTCAGCGGGCCAGTGCAAAATGATGCCACTGGACTTCGTCTTTGTGATTGATAGTTCCCGCAGCATCCGGCCCAGCGACTACGAAAGAGTAAAAACTTTTATCATAAACCTGCTGCAGTTTTTAGACGTGGGACCCGACGCCACTCGCGTTGGTCTGCTCCAGTACGGCAGCGTGGTCCAGAACGAGTTTAGTCTGAACAAGTACCGCACCAAAAAAGAGGTGGAGAGAGCCGTCAAGAACATGGAGCATCTCGCCACTGGCACCATGACGGGGTTAGCTCTGCAGTATACCATGGACACGGCTTTCACAGAGGAGGAGGGGGCACGCCCGGAGGAGCTGCTCATCCCACGCATCGCCATGGTTGTGACAGACGGTAGACCACAGGTAATGTCACGATATTCTCCTTTTTTAGAAAAAAAAAACAAAAAAAACCTGACAAATCTTCATCATTTAGCTTAGTCATCATTACTAGGAAAAAAAAAAAAATCCATACTAACTTTGGCTAAAAAAAAACAAAAAAAAAAAAAACCTAGTTGACTATCACCAGACCTAGCCTACATCCAGAGTAGATCTTGCCAAAATTCACTGAAATTGATTTAACCTGTGCTTTGTTTCATTCATACATGTCTGAGTAATCCTTTATTTATAGTCTGTCTACATCTTCAAATCTCAAAATGCCTTGCGATGTCATGAGACAGTAGTTTTCATGTTAACAGCTACCTTTTATCTTTAGTTCAGTAGATATTGGCAATTCCAAGGCTGAAATCATCTAAATGATTTTAATGAAGGTTTATGGAGTTTAAAAACACATTGGAGCACTTCTTGTATTACCACATGACATCTCAAGGTGTAACAGAGTGCTTTCAGTTTGAGAGAAGAACTCAACCTACATATGCAGAATATGTGTGTTAAACATGTGTGAATGAAACAGAACACAACTCCAGGTATGTTTTTGATGGGGAAACAACATTATAATATACTGTAGATGAAAAAATAACGTAATATGGGCCCTTTAAAGGTTTGTGGGTTGCCACTTAAACTACAATCTTCTGTCTGTAGGTTGTATATTTAAGTAGGATTAGTTATTATGTAATTTAGCAGAAGACAGAGTAGCCTTCATCGGTATTTTCTTAAATGCTTATGATACAGTAAAATCAAATCAAAATAATCAGTCAAAATAATTGTGCCCTTCCTTCCCACAGGACGAGGTGGAGGAGGTGGCTGCACAGGCGCGTCAGGCTGGCATACAGATCTTTGCCATTGGAGTGGGCCGAGTGGATATGAACACACTGAAGGCGATTGGGAGCGAGCCACATTCAGAGCATGTGCATCTTGTGGCCAACTTCAGTCAAATAGAAACTCTGATCTCTGTGTTTCAGTCCAAACTGTGTGGAGGTAAGGCGTCTGGGTGCAGTTGCCTTCATGTTCTTGACTTTACTGCCAATTTGTATTTTGTTTCTGTATCTGGAATCAACTTGGTATCAAATTAATTACAGACCATGACAGCTGTGGTATGACTCAGCGGACTACACTTCATTTAACACTTTTTAAAACATTTTAAAAAGTGGCCAACACACCTGAAAAATAGAAAAATTGCAGGCACTCCGACTACATTAAAAAGTTCTTTAATGTGAAAATGGGACTATCCTATGCAGCCTTCTTCAGTATGCCCTATTTTGGCAGTCAGAGTGCCTTGGATTTTTTCTTTGCTGTCTGTAAATGATGTTCCCATTGCGATTCTGATGAGCACCTGACCTGATACTTAATGGAAGCACTCATCTTTCTAATCATATACCTGGTATTTCTTCTGATTAGAGAGAGACATGTGTGAGGTGGTGGACCATCGGTGCCAACACATATGTGTGAGCAGCCCAGCCTCGTACCGCTGCAAGTGCAGAACTGGGTACATCCTAAACCCTGATGGGAAGACATGCAGAGGTGAGAAATAATTAGGCTTATTCTTGTTACAGCAGATATGGACAGGGCCTAGGCCTGCCCTGGCCAGGGCCCAACAGCCTCTCACGAGTCTCCTCTCTCCAGTCATCCCTTCTCTCTTTCTGCCCCAGAGCATCTGAGCTGAGTATTTATACAGAAATACAAGTTACATACATATCAAAGCAGAGTGACTTTTGTTTCAGACTTGTGCTTATCAACAACAGAAGTTACGTTTGAGAACAAGTACAGAGCAAATTCAAGAGTGTTAATTCAACTCGTATATTGTTAATTTTAACACTTTTACCATGTCATATGGGGTCCACAGTAAAATGAGTTAAAACTACACTTTCCAAAGTGTAGAAGGCTCAACACTGGTAAAGTGATGTAACCACACTCCTCATAGTTGAATTTGACACTGATTAAGATTTGATTTTTTTTTACACTAGTATATAGTGAAAAACTAATAACTTTATATTGCTATGTTTTAACACTTTATGAAGTAGAAATAGTGTAGAGTGTTCTTCATGCTACACTCTTCAATAGTAACTCCTTCTTCACTATATACAGTGTACATGCTGTGGTCATTCTAGTTCATAATCCCTTTTACAAATGTAAAATAATGAAAACCACCACAAAATTCCATTTCAACTTAACTTGTATTAAAACAATGCACATCATACAATAAACACAATTTAAACAATTCATATGACACAATACTATTTTTGCAAAATCCAACTGACAGCAGGACAGGTCACAATGATTGTCATTTATTTTTTAAAAGTAGATTTTTCAATGCAAGCAGTCGATGGATGAATCAAGATCTTGTTTTGAATGGAATTCAGGCATGCTCATCTCCAAAAATGAGAGGAGCATGTCTGACAGTTTGAAACAAGATCTTCTCTCCATTATATAAACATAACAATGTTCACAATAGAGGCAGTCCTGCTAATTATGAAACATTAACATTGCAAAAAAAATGTTATCTCAGGAGTCAGTCTTTCACTCTTGGGGTTTCTTTTGACACATCTAACATCCATGTATGAAGGGAAATATGTTGCAAAATGAGAGAGTGTGTAAACTTGATTCGAGAACTTGTAGAATATAATGTGAGAATGTGTAGAACAAAACTCTGTACTTGTAATTACCTATTTTCATAAACGTGTGTATACGTTGAATTTGCAGTTACGTAGAAAAAAACAACAACACACGAGTGCTTGAAAAAAATGTGCGCACTTCCGGATTGAAATTTTCACTTGTGGAAAATATTTACACACGCTTCGGACGGTGAAATGTGGCTTCCCTCTCGGAGTGCAGATGGAGAATGGCAGAAAATTCCAATGTTGGGGTTTATATATGCATATAAGAGATATAAACTTGTTTTGATTTAGCTTTACATTTAATTTGAGGAGAGAGCTGCTGTAAAACCATGTAAAAACTATGTAAAACCCGGACAACAGGTGACAACAATGAAATAAACGTAGGAGACATTACTACTTTTTACTTAAATATATTTTTTGAAGTAACGTTACTCTTACTTTCTTACTTTTGAATTTGCTGTGTAGTACAACAATGGGCTTCCTGAGGGTGGATACACTTGTGTCTGTTGAGCCTTTACACATATTAATGACTGATCTGGTCTCAGGTAAACATCACATTCATTTACACAAAGACTGAGAGAAATATTTTCTTCACAATAAAAATTTCCATCACAGCATAAACACAATAGAAACAACTTTAATATAATTTAAACCGAGTAATCTGATCCAAAAAGGTATGTTTTGAGATGGGACTGGAAATGGGGAGTGGCAATACTGTACATGGACTTATTGTTATTTTTTCATCTGTGAAACTGTACATTTGGTGAGATAATGTGTATCTATTGTGTGATCTATTGTGTTGTGTATTGTGTAAGATAAATCACCCCTTTACTAAAAATAGTAAAGGGAATATTCTCATGTTTCTGAATAAAAAATGTTTTCATGTATGTCTTGTAGCTGAAGATATCTGTGCTGAGGTGGAGCATGGATGTCAACACATTTGTGCCAACATCCCTAAAGGCTATGAATGCCGCTGTCGCCCTGGATACCAGCTCACCATTGACAACAAGACCTGCAACCGTAAGCACTGAGACAGTTTTACAGCTCCTTATTTTGTGATTAAGGAACATTATGTAGTTCGTGTATGTAAATGCAGAGGAAAAGTGACCAATTAAATGAGTTCCAATATAAATGAGAATTAGTAGTCCCTGATGTGGTGTATGCTGACAGAAAAAAGTGGGTGATTTCCTGAAGGATGTGTGCTGTTTCAGTCAGTCTGCTGCTGCCTGCTCATGTCATCGTTTGACATCAGACTTAAGTGCACATGGTTTAAGAGGAGATTGTTAAAGGACCTATATTAAGCTATTTTGTGATCTATGTTATAAACTTTCCTCATCAAAAACATACTTGGTGTTGTGTTTTGTTTCAGACAGAAAACACTCTATTCCACCTTGTGATGTCATTTGCTTACTTGCTTTACTGTGTTTTTAAACTCCATACACCTTCACTAGAATCAGTTGCATGATTTTAGCCCTGGAATTGTCCATCTCTACTGAACTACTGATTAAAGGTAGCTGTTAACTTGAAAACTACCACTACATGACAAAACAAGATGGAAGAGAGCATTTTGAACTTACAGCAGACAGATAGACTAATAAAGCAGGATTACTTTAAAGGACCTTTAAGTTACTGATAATTCAGTCGTTCATTTCCAATTGCATAGGACAGCACCTCCACTCCAAACTATGTTTTTTATTTGTATATACAGGAGTTCCATTCAAAAGCATGAACGAAATTATTTGAGGAAACATCAATATGACATGTAGGCTGTGTTGCTTGATTTGGTACATTTGTTTGCTACAGAAATAGACTACTGCGATCTGGGCCTCCATAACTGTGAGCAGGACTGTATCAGCATCCCTGAGTCCTACATCTGCAGGTGTGGGAAGGGCTACGTGCTCAATCCAGACAAACACACCTGCAGGAGTGAGTATTCAAGATACAACGTAGATCTTATGTGAATGAACTAGAAGTGGTTTGTAACACCATGTTTGTGATATTATCTCTCAGAGATTGACCACTGTGCCGATGGGAAGCATGGATGTGAACAGGAGTTTGAGAGCACAGACAAAGGCTGTGTTTGCAAATGTAGGAAAGGATATCAACTCCGACCTAATGGAAAAACATGCCAAAGTAGGTTCTAATACACTCTGTATATGACCTTTACATATATCCACAAAAAACAATTACTGCACTAAATGTTTATCTAGAGATTTCAACTTCTCTAGAGATTTCAACTTCTCTAGAGATTTCAATTTCTCTAGAGATTTCAACTTATCTAGAGATACTTATCTAGATCTTTTCAGAATAATTACGTCATTATAGAGTCTGTACAATCAGTTTGATTTCTCTCACAGAGATTGACAATTGTGCAAAATACGGCTGTGAACAGGAGTCTATGAGCACAGACCATTCATGTGTGTGTAAATGCAGAGGGGGGTACAGACTGCGACCTGATGGAAAAACATGCCAAAGTAAGTCAAAAATGAACATATTTTCAATATTGTTTCCTCTTTCATGATTGTAGATATGCTGCATAATTCAAAGTTACATGAGGTCAGATTTGATCTAAACCCTGAATACCTTCTGCAATACTCTTCTTAGGATTAATAATCAGAATAGCATTGGTGGTCTCTCAAGATATCAACACATGGTCAAATAAAAATGGCATGCAAATTTAAAAGTAAGAATTAGATTTAACTAGTGATGTGCTGATACATAACATAGGGGCAATTTGAGTGAGTAGTCTTCATGCAGTAGTTGTATTGGTCATTACCAGGAAGGAAGACTCAGGTGGTCCCCTGTCAGGGCAATTTGAATGGATTTCACAGTTTTTATTTATTAAGAGTCTGTTTTTTACAAGCCGTCTATAAAAATTCTAAATTAATTTACTTATCTGTGACATATTCAATCTCAAGGAAGTTTACCAATTTTCTTTTTCATTGTCTTGTAGAAATTGATCACTGTGCTGATGGGACCCACGGATGTGAGCAGAAGTTTGAAAACACAGAAACCTCCTGTGTTTGTAAATGTAAGAAAGGGTACAAACTCAGAGCAGATGGAAAAACATGTCTAAGTAAGTGGAAAAGTATTTATGTTTTATGTTAAGTAACCAAACTGTCCAAGCCTTACTGATGTACATGCCCTGATCATTTTCCTCCCAGGTCTGGACCTGTGTCAGACTGTAGACCACGGCTGTGAGCATCTGTGCGTCAACACCAATGACTCGTATGTCTGTAAATGTTTTGAAGGGTTCACACTTGCAGAGGATCAAAAAAGCTGCAAAAGTACAATTTGAATCTCACATCAAATATTGTATATGCATTTTGATTTCTGCAAAAATACATACTTAGTGATTTTACAACCTATAATCAAAATTAACACACTTGTTTTTTGTTTTTTTTTCTTTCCTTCTCAGAGCCTGATTGCAACAGTGGTGTCATAGACGTTGTATTTGTGATTGACGGTTCTAAAAGTCTGGGTCCAGCCAACTTTGAGCTGGTGAAGCAGTTTGTAAGCACCATTGTTGATGCATTCGATGTTTCCAGGACAGGGACTCATGTGGGTCTAATCCAGTACTCCACCAAAGTCCGGACTGAGTTCACCTTAGATCAGTTCAGCTCGGCCCGTGATGTCAAACAGGCAGTGTCCCGGATGCAGTACATGGGAAGGGGGTCGCTAACAGGATCAGCTTTAAGACACATGTTTGAGACCAGTTTTTCACCAAGAGAGGGCGCTAGAGCCAATGTGCAGCGTGTGAGTATTGTTTTTACAGATGGGAGGTCCCAGGATGACGTGTCAGAGTGGGCTACCAAAGCAAAAGAATCTGGTAAGGGGTGTAGAAAGTGTTCAGTTCACTTACATTTATTTTATTTTATTACAGTATGTTCATTGTTTTATGTTGTACCACACTGCCAAACCAAATTCATAGTTTCAAAATTCTGTGTCAATTCAGAATACTAATCTTTTAAAAGTGGTTTACAGTACAGGTCTGTGCAGCAGTGTTATAATTAATAACTACTAGTACTTTTGCACTTAAGATAATCTTTAAAGGTCCTACATTGTGCTATTTTCTGGTCTACTAATATGTTATAATGTTGTTTCCTCATCAAAAATATACCTGGAGTTGTGTTTTGTTTTTTCATTTAAATTCATTATTACATTATTGTGGCAGATCAAAAGACTCATATAGATTTAAAAAGTGAGACACGAATGTGTTTTTACCTGTGCACTTCTGACTCTGTTCTACTGGCTCTTCGACCTCGTCCATTGTGTGACTGACGCCGCCAACATTAACATGATGTTTACATCGCTGTTACTGCGCACGTTTTGTGTGGCTTTCCGGCAATGAGTGGAATTACCGAAATAAAAAAATGTATAAATGTGTTTTGTGTGTGTGTTGTTGTCCCAACAACACATAAAAACAGGTTTTATAATAAAGAAACTCACATACAGAAACACTAAAGTTAGAGATTAAAAATGAGATTAACGCGATTAAAAAACATAACGCGCTAAATATGACTGTAATTAATTAATCGCAATTAACGCGATAATTTGACACCCCTAATTATAACATAGCTCATAATAGTGAGTTTTGTGTAATACAGGAGTTTTAACTGTACCTTAGTAAAAAAACAAAACAAAACAAAAAATACAATGATTGTTCTTTGTTTTCTAGGAGTCACCATATATGCTCTGGGCGTTGGTAAAGCTGTTGAACAGGAGCTGAAGGAGATCGCATCAGAGCCAAACGAAAAACATCTGTTTTACACGGAAGACTTTGGAAAAATGGGAGAAATCACAGAAAAACTCAAGGATATGCTCCGAATATGCAAAGGTACAGCAGGATCTGATCTCTGAGCGTGGTTTGCTTTATATGACGTAATACTTTATTCTGAGTAAAGTATAGTAAAGAGTAAAGCAAAGACAAAAAACACTTCTTTTGCATTATAAAGATACTGGTAATAATGGACAATGTACTTTAACTGACTGCCCCCTCAATACCAAACATGTAACATGAATCAATTGAAGAGAAGTGATACAACAGCAGGCGTAGTACTAGTACCACTTGTGGACCCCCTCACATCTCCTGTCACTAGTTTATCTGAATGAGGACTTCTATTCTCACTGGTCTTTGTGTTTGTCTTTGTTGTCCACAGTGGATGAGAGCATGTGTGAATGTGAAAACATCATCCTGTTCCAGACTGACGCCAATGAGAAGTTCAAAATGATGATGAAGAACAATATCCTTTTATATATAAAATACTACAGTAAATTTACAACAAAAAAAAAATGTTTGAGCAAGTATTGAAGTAAGTCTTACTTACAAATCAAATAAATTATCTAATGGAGCTAATGCTCCAAAGTAGATGTCAAGTAGTATCACCCAAGAACTTTTATCCTGTGTGCATTGCAATTGTTCTTATTAATTTGGGAGAAGAGTCTGGAAATATAGACTGTTAATCCAAGTAAAAGTGAAAAGTCAAATGTATGTTAATTTTGTTTTAATTCACTAGGTTCAGAATGTGTTACAATGCTGAATCATTTCCATCCTTAACCTGCACACTTGAAGCTTTAACAAAGAAGGTGCAGGTGTTGGAAAATCAAGTCGCTCGCAAATAGACTTGTATGACCAGCGCCGAAGAAATCACCATCAAGTCCATTAATCAGAGTAACACTTAGAGCAGGGGTGTCCAAGCTTTTTCATCAAGGGTCACACATCTAATCAGACGAAGCAGAGGAATTCAAGGGCCGTAGACTGGTGCTCAATACAGTGAATAAATGGAATACATGCATGTTTAACACATTAGAATGAGCCATCAGCCTTTATTCATGCTATGATCCTTAAACCCACACACTAAATATTCAATATTAGCTTTATCAAGGTAGATTTTCAAAAAACATGCAGTAAAAAGTTACTTTTAATTGATGTAAAGTAATTTGGATCAAGTCACCTGGAAGCCTGAGGGCCACGAAAAATTTGTCCGAGGGCCGCATTTGGCCCACGGGCCGTAGTTTGGACATGCCTGACTTAGAGTCATACTAAAACAATGGCAAATACAAACTATTGTACTTAACTATTAATGCACTTTTATAAGATTGTGTGTGTATTTTTGTCTGTATTATAGCAGGTGATTTAATATTTTTGTACAGGTTAATAATAATAATAATAAACATGCTACTACATCTCTCACCCTTTGTATGTATGTCTGAGGTCAAAAGAGTAACTGTATCTTTGTTATGTAACTGGAGTAAGTAACGACTGCAGTCGTCTAAAAGTAAATGTTATTAGAAACAAATGAGAGCAATAGCAGTTCCGTTCGTGTTTTTCTTAGTTTCGCCACAAGGAGGCGACACTTATGAAAACACAGTGCAGCCCGGAGCACATGTGCAGCCTCATGTTCGCGTCTCCGCCTCTTTCAGTGTGTGTGAATGGGTGTTTTGGGCTGGAGGCAGGGAGCATTCAGGACTAACTAGACCCTACTGTGGTTTAAATGAACATAAGAGACCGTTGTTGGGCACATGAGGCACAGCTGGACATGCATGCGTAAAGACAGTGCAAGTAGACGTAATGATGCTCAGTTATGCTTAGGCTGTGAAAAGATTTGGTTGTTCTATTGCCAAAGTAGCCTTGTCCAAAGAACGCAATTGAGTAATCTGTCTCTTCTCAGAAAGTTGCCAGTTTTACTTTGTTTATAGTTTTTTGGCCAAAATGGGGTGCTCCTCATCCAGTGCGCAGACTGTGGACCAGGAGAAGAGACCCGGAACGAAGCCTGAAGTGGCCAACGGCTCTGTGGGTAAGTAAGCGCCACAGACTAGTTTAATGTTTACCAATAGCGTGCACTTTTAAAGAGAAAAGATACTGGTAAAGGTACTGAAACTGAAATATGATGTATAGAACCACAGAGTAACAGGGAAGTCTCTTTTTGGTGAGTCTAGCTTCCAAAGGGGTGTGTGCAGCCGGTTAGGACACAATGTGCTTTCCTCACTCGGGTCTGCCTACAGCATATCCTTTAGAGCCCATGGGTAAAATGGTTACTTTGATGTCGTATGCAAAAAAATATTCTATGACCCCTGATTCATGTTTATTTTATGAAGTGGTGGTTAGTTATAAGAATAATAATAGGCCACAAAACGAGTGAGACTGACTTGCAAATCTATGTAGCTTGTAGTTACAATGTCATGAAGTCCTTAATGCAAAGGCTGGTGGGGAATAAGAAGAAAATGATTTTTAACTTCAGTTAACACACCGTATGGTTAAAACCTTCCTTTCTTTTATTTAACAGATTAGGCTATATGTAGTAGCCTAAGGCAAGTGTGACCGCAAGACCAGTTTTGCATCTACGTGTACATAGCCTAAGAATTTAAAAAACGTCATAATTAAAATCTGTAATTTCTCTACTTATACTTAATGGCAACGTTCTGTCAAGGGAGTTCAGTAGGCTTATTGATTATTGTCAACATGTATTTGCAAATGGAAGTGTAACTCTAATCTGGACTAATATAAATGTGTTCAAGTTTATGAGGCAAATGCAAGAAATAATAGACAAATGAAAGGTATCTGGATAACACTGCACTTACAGGAACGACTCTTAGGAAATGATAAAGAAATAAGCGTATTTAAAGGTACAGTAAGTAACTTGCTACATTTGGCACATCACCTGTATAATTCTATTGAAATAGAAAGTTAAAACCATACTTTGAAACATTCTGCTGGGAGACATGTTTAATGCCATACTATGAAAGAAAATAGTCAAAGGAACATTTCCCTGGAAACAAGCAGGAGGAGGCCCTCCTCTAGGCCAAATATGAGTCAGGTCTGTGGAAATGCGAGCCTGCCCACAATGAAAATGAAAAAACAAAAGAAAAAACATGCTTCTATCTTTGTCTATTTTTTGTCAAAATGTTACGCAATATTGACAAAACCAAAATATACATACTACTGCAAAATATATTTTTGATTATAGTTAACAGTTGAAATCCACGATTTTCACTCTGGTCTAAATGGACTACTTAGACTAATTGGGTAAACATCATGAGGTCATTTGTTATCATGGGGTTCAAGTCAGCCTTGGAACAGTCCTTGAGTTTGTGGTCTGATTTGAATACATGTTGTCACCATATCTGCTGTTTGTGTAAGGAATTGTTGTGTGCAATTGTAATTGTAAAGGCTCTGTTGTCATGACAGCAGTAGGCCAGTATCATGGAGGTGTTAAACAGACTCTAATTGTCCACACAGAGAAGTAGTCTCTCTCCATGTGTTGGTTCATATGTGTCCAGCTGCAGCAGGACAGTATGTTCTGGCTGCGTCACCGCCCCCTCACGTGCACATGGCATGACAACACCCACTCTGTCTATAGGGTCTGTTTATCAAAATTTACACTGTCAGCCTACATTTATCAATCAAAATCAAATCTTAAACAGATATTTTAGCTGCAAGATTTTAAAGGACTCCAGTTTTTGTTATACTTTTGTTATACAATATCTACTAAGTAAATGTGCTGTCTGTAGTGGATCATAAAGCTATAAAGCCTGCTAGCCCTTTAGTTTACTTCTCTATAAACATGTTGGGAATGCATGTGAATATCAGCAGTCAATATAGTCTTCACTCAAGGGTTTTTAGGTATTGCTTAAAAAAAAATATGTAATTGCAGAAAATGATGATTATTTATAAATGTTATTGAAAATTAGTGACACAAAAAAAAAGAAACGTACAAGATGCATTTTACAAGATGCAGATTTATTAAATGGCCAGTAAACCTCGATAAATAGAGAGAGCTGTGTCAGTAGGGGGCAGGTATGCAAAATAAACTTTGTCAAACCTAATAGAAGAGGTTTCAGAAAAAGTGTCAACAAAACTCACTCACATAAGCACAATCTTGTAGCACTACTTTCTTTTCATATTGCTTTTAATGCTTGAATACCATATATTCATTATTTAAACTTTATAAATGTTATATGAGCAGCTTCAGCCATTCCACAAAATCTGTTAAAAGGCTGTTGATGGAGAGAGGTAACATGTACTGTATTTTTGTAATTAAAAACCAGTGAAAGACCATATTAGTGGCAGTCCAAATTTATACAAAATGTCCTCCACCCCTTTTTATGACTCTGTAATTTTCAGGGTTTATTTTTGGCATGGGTCCCACCCTACTACTTTCTCTTAATGCACCATACTTTAAGGTGAATCTTCTCATTCCATTATTCATGGACAATGGAATTTGTTATAGGTTTTACTGTAGTCATTGCATAGATAAAAGAGGTTACAGTTATATTTAATTTCTATATAAGGTAAAACATAATAGAGGTAATAAGTAATCAACTAAGCCTGTTACTATAAGTATTATATCGACTTATCGTTCAATACATAACAGATAGAACAATTATATTTATATATTTATCATGGCTAATCTGCTAATCTACTAATTCTTTTGCAATATGATGAGATTTGTGCACTAGAGGGTTGAACTGTGACGGTCTATGACTCATTATAGACACAAAATAATTACTTAAGTGCCATATTCTACTATACTATTTATTTATTACAGCACTTAAAAAAAAAAAAACATTCAGTTTTTGGGGATAATTCTTCTTTATGGTTTAATTTTAGTATTATCATTTATCATCTATATTTACTTCAACAATATATTGAACTTAAATGTTTTTATCGTGACAGACCTAAAATCAACTGGCATAAGTAAACTTCACTCATACAGTGGTCTGTCTATAATTACAGCTGTGGACAATACAACTGCAATGGTCCTAGTGCCCAGACCCCCTCCTCTCTTCCCTGTCTTCTGGTCTAGTAACTCTGTAAAAGCCCACTGTTTTGACTAGGGTCTCTGTCATCTTTGTCTATGGATCCAAGTACAACTAATGCGTCCATTACTAAGAGTGGGGATGATGCCACGATAAAATGCTGCTATACTGATATCAATTGAGTAAATGTGGAAAGTATGTATTCCTTGACAATACTTCTACTTCTCCAATTACTACAACTTACTACCTTTGTTTAAAAGCAAGTATTAATACTGTGACCCCCAGTATGAAAATTACTTTACATGAATACAACATTTACACTTACCTATTATTTGCACAATTAAAAGTTTGACAAACCTCTTCATTGGTAAGTCTTGTCATGATAACTCAAATTTTGATTTATCGTTCAATACATGACAGCTGGAACAATGCTTGAATGTTGGTTCTTATTCTTTGCAAGTGGGGAGATTTTAGCCATTTTTTATGGAATACAATAAGATTTGAGCTGTATAGGGTAGAATAAATAACTGCTATGGCTAATTATTGATTCATTATGCCAAATATTTGTTGCAGCTCAGACTTTTTAATGATACTATATTTAAAAATGTGTTTACTGGGATTATCCTGTGGCATCAAGTAGTTTCAATATTATAATTTATCGCAGTATATCTCTGTATAGCAATATATCATGCTTCAAAATTTGTTATGGTGACAGGCCTATTCTTTGGTTGCAGATCCTTTGGCCAACCCATCACATTCCCTTCCACTCATCACTCTGAGCTTGTTTTACCTCCTCTGACAGACACATATCAACCCAGGAAGTTCTGTCCAAACTAGTTTGTGCTAATGCTTTTGCACAGATATTCACATTTAAACCCTCATCATTGTAATTTCTTTGATAAATAAGATCTTGACATTTGAGGATGCCTGTTCTGTAGCATTCATTGTACTTTCACTGGCAGCCTGTAAACACCTATTGTAATGTGTCACAGTTGGGGCTGAATATTGAGTGACTCTCCAAGGACCTAAATGCTTTTGTCAGAAGGACTTGATTTTCACAGACCAGTTTAGACTGTCCCTTAGGCATTTAGTCTACAACCAGGAAATGAAAAATGTGTTTTCTCCCCTTTTCAATAACTTTTCCTCATTACTAACTTCCTTCCTTTGTGGAGCTTTTTTTTTTTTTTTTTTTTTTTTTGCCACGTATAAGGTTTATTAAACTGGCTTTCTTCTTTAGAAACAGCTATACAAGTTCTGCTCTAAAACTCTGTCCATTCATAGCATTATTGACTGTGGTGTTGACTCTAGTATTGGCAAGTTAGTTCATTGTTTGTAAATATAATAAAACCAAGTGAAAACTACATAAAAAATGAACATGTACATTTTAGATAAGATTTTCAAAGAGTGCCATGGGTATATGCCATCTTGCTCCATGCTCTTTGTGGTAATATATTTAAATTTCAGCAGTGTTGCATCATTCAAGACCACTCATTTTGGATGGCAAATATAAAATCATTTACATATCATGTACTGAAGTCCTAAATAGTAGTTTATTCCCAATCCAATATAGTTTATTTCATTTCAAAGGAACCATATACAGAAGCATTAATCAAAGAGACACTGAAAAGATGCTTTGTACCAGACCGAGGTCCCCGAGACATACAAAACACAGAATGCACAAACAACAATGCAATCAAATAATCAGATAAATTGTGATGATTTTAAAGATGCATCATGGGGAAATATTGAGCATATAAATGAATGTAATGAGACTGTATACCGATCATAGATGGCCCAGAAATCCTCATGATGTTTAAATTTTATTTATACAGTGTTGTTCTGTAGTTACTAGTGCATAAATAATGGCTTCATAACTCAACTCAAGTGAATTTAGGTTTACTTTCACAAAGCTTCTTAAACGACCAGCTCTGACCTTATATGTAGTTGTATAGATAAACAGCAGTTTTATGCTTAATCATACTTCAATCTGATTCAGCACATTGTCCTGCAGTGTCCCCATAGTAACATACAACAACCTTGAGGCTTTGCTTGGTATTTGCTATCAGTCATTTGTTGTCACACATATTTAAAGCAAGACAAGAGTGATTGAAGGTTTACAGTGTTATGTAATAGTAATTTATTAACCATCTATTTAAGTACTGGGTTATAAATAAGATTAGGGCAGGTATAGACCCCACACAAAGTTAGGGGATGCTTGAGGGTTGCTATGTGTTACAAATCACTTGCAACTATGTGACTTTAAAGGTCCTGTATTTTGCAGAATTAACTCGTGTGAACTTTAAGCCATGTTATAATGTTGTTACCTCCTCAAAAACATACCTGGAGTTGGAATTTAGTTTAATTTACACATGCTTGAGTAATCCTGTCTGCCTACATCTCCAAAGCTCAAAATGCTCTGTTCCACCTTGTGTTGTCATTAAGTGGTAGTTTTCAAGTTAACAGCTCCTTTATTTCTTTAGTTCAGCAGAGATCGGCAATTCATTTTGGCCAATTATTATAGTGAAGGTGTAAGGAGTTCAAAAACACTGGAGCACTTACTGTATCACCACATGGTATCACAAGGTGGAGCAGAGGTTTTAGTTTGAGAGAAGAAATTAACCTAAATATGCAGGGTTTGTGTGTTAAACATGTGTGAATGAAAGAAAACACAACTCCAGGTCTGTTACTATGTATGGATGAGAAAATAGTGTAATATAGGCCCCTGAACTGCATGGAGAAATTAAGTTTTAGATAATTATAAAACTTTGAGTGATTAATTCAATCCTGGTTGACTGATTATGTATTTTAATTTCTCTGATTGCAGTGAAGAATGGTTACATTTCCGAAGATGTCCACACCATTGAAGCCCAGGTGCAGCTGCCCGTGCAGACTGCCCAACCCTGTGACCTCCACCCCCCCGGGCTGGAGGAGGTGATGGAGCCTGTATTATTGGCTCTAGAAGCACAGGAGGATCTGGGTTCTGGGGTGGACCTACTCTCCTCTAATGCCACTTTGGAGGTGGTCGAAGCCTTGCCCCTGGTGGAGGAGGCAGCCCCTGTTGAAAGTGTTGTTACAGAGACAGTCCAGGAGGTGGAGACACTGGTTCAAGTTACAGAAGATGTTACTGAAAATGTTGTTGCTGAGACAGAAGCTCCAATCTCAATAGAAGAAGCGAGCGTAGTTGAGGTTGTGTCTGAAGTGGCCCCTGCAGCTCTGGTGGTTGAACCTGTAGTGGCGGCAGATGTGGCAGAGGTGAAGGAGGTTGTGGTTGAGGAAAGCAATGTTGAGATTTTAAAGGAAGAGGCAAAGGAAGTAAGTCATCTGGAACCAACACCAATTGAAAATACCCCTGCAGAAACCTCTCCAGTAGAATCTACACCACCTAAAACTACCCCTGTAGAAACTACCTCTGCTGAGATTACCACAATAGAATCTACCCCTGTTGAAGTTACACCAGTCTTAACTACTCCATCTGAAACAGACCCAACAGAATCTACCCCTGCTGACTCAGCCATATCTGACTTTACCCCAACTGAAATTACACCAGTAGAGGGTGGCTCAGTTGAACTTTTCCCACCCGAACCAACCCCAACAGAGACAAGTCCAGTTACCTCAGCTGTAACTGCCCCAACAGAATCTACCCCAGAATCCATGTCAGTAGAATCTACCACAGTCGAAACTACCCCAGCTGCCCTTACAGAATCTACCACAGTTGAACCTACCCCAGCAGAACCCGCCCCTACAGAATCTACCACAGTTGAACCTACCCCAGCAGAACCCGCCCCTACAGAATCTACCACAGTTGAAACTACCCCAGCAGAACCCGCCCCTACAGAATCTACCACAGTTGAAACTACCCCAGCTGAACCCACCCCTACAGAATCTACCATAGTTGAAACTACCCCAGCTGAACCTGCCCCTACAGAATCTACCACTGTTGAAACTACCCCAGCTGAACCCGCCCCTACAGAATCTACCACAGTTGAAGCTACCCCAGTTGTCCCTGCCGCTACAGAATCTACCCCAGCTGCCCCTGCCCCTACAGAGTCTACCCCAGTTGAAACTACCCCAGCTGTCCCTGCCCCTACAGAATCTACTCCAGTCGAAACTACCCCAGCTGTCCCTGCCCCTACAGAATCTACTCCAGTCGAACCTACCCCAGCTGTCGCTGCCCCTACAGAATCTACCCCAGTCGAACCTACCTCAGCTGACCCCGCCCCTTCAGAAGCTAACACAGCTGAAACTGCCTCAGCTGCCCCTGCCCCTACAGAATCTACCCCAGTCGAACCTGCCCCAGTTGCTCTTGTCCCTACCGAATCTACCCCAACTCCATCTGTTCTAATTGTGGATGCCCCCATCGGTGACCCTGACACTCCAACTCCAGTAGAACCAGAGGTATTGCCAGAACCAGCATCAGAAAATACTGAAATTGCAACTCCCAGTGATCCAGCTCAGTCGAAAACTGAAGGTGAGCCACAAGTTGAAACGCCAAGTGAACCTATTGCCACTTCTACTGAAACTGTCGAATCTTCTCCAAATGTTGAAACTACAGCCACAAGTGAACCTACAAGTGTAGTCCACGCAGCCGAGGTAGTTACTGAAAGTGTGCCATCACAGCCAGAAACAAATGTAGATGCAAAACAGGTAGATGCTCCCCAGCCTGAAGATCCAAAACCAGTTGAAAATGTTGAAGTTGTGGCATCAAATGGTCCAGATGCCCTTCCAATAACAGAATCACAAACTAATATGGAAATCCCAATTGTACCATCAGTAGCAGTAATAGACTCTGTGATTGATCAAGCAATCGCAGCTGCTACAATACCTCATCTGCCTCCATTGTCTCCAGGAAAAGTCCCGATAGTCGAGAACCTGGAAATTTCCACAGCACCAGCTACACTTGGGCCACAATCTTCCTCTCAAGGTAAGACTATTTTAAATAACAAATGAGTGAAAATGATTAGCCCAGTTACTCTGAGTTAACATTTAACATTTACATTTTTTAAAGTTTTGCTGATATCTGTTCATGAGTTATGTATATATCTAGATCTGGATAATTTGCAGATTGACACCAACTCTTACGTTCAAAAGTACAATAGACTATTTACAAGTTTTACATTTTGACTCTTGACAGTGGAAAGTAGGTATTATTGTGAGTAAACATGATATGCATTGTGATATGATATGAAGGCGTTTTCATACAAGCCAGCACCAATCAAATGAGAATTGACAGATCTTTGCATTATGTGCTCCCTGTATAACATATACACACAGCTCCTTCATCAATTGTGGATACTCCATATTCAACACATGAAAATTCTCATGAAGTCGTGTTATAATAAATATTTTCTATTTACCAAAGTGACATTCCTCTGTTAGAAAAATAAGATTAAACAATTTGATGCAAACATTAGCTGACAGTTCTGATTACTATTCTGAACATGTGATTAAACACTGACAAAGCGTTTTCACGTGCTTGACAATGCTCCTTTTCTGACTGATTTTATCTGACAGTTTTTGGGTGAAGGTGTGAAAACTTCCCAGTACCACCGGCAAAAATAACTTTCAATGCAAAAACAAGTATGTATAAACTTGTAACAGTGAGAGCACGAGGACACAGCTCTGTGTCAATAAATACATATTTACATACAGTTAATACCCAAATGGATAGAATGATTTACTTTTGATGACTATAATCTCCAAATCTAAGGCCAGGGATGGAACATAACCTAAAACATTACCTGTTATTGTGTGTAAATAGTTTGTGGTCCATGAGTCCAAAAAACTATTGCACAATATGTTTCACCTGTATTTATTAATACCTCCAATAGAAATGTCAGTACTTTGTAGTAGTATTTAAAAGCACACCTATTTCTGTAAGTTGTAATTGTAGCAGTATTCATATTATTGTTTCTAATATTCAACATTCAATGCAGAATTTGTTAAGATATTAAAATATCTGAGCCTTTTGTTTTTTGAAATTGTATTTTTAATTAAATATTTTTTATTATTCATTTCCATTACTTCCTTGACTACTTTTGAGTGCTTGTTCCACCTCTGTTGGTTACCAACCTTGTTTCCATAGCACAGTGATGAGAACATCCTCACTAAACTTAAGTATCAGCTATTCACTTAATGAACTATTTGTCATAAATGTTCTTGTTTGTGATTGGACTGGGCTGGGAGAATAGACAGCAGATTGTGTTACTGAACAAATACAACAGTGTCAGTAGCCACACATGTACTTTCAGTGTTAGTGGGGAGAGATGGGGAGAGAAATGTAGGATTGTTCTGACTGTGTTGATAACAGCCCATAGCAGGCCTATAGAGACACAAACTTGATGACTCCATTGTGATTAACCAAAGCCATGCTGTCTCCAATTACATAACAAATGTAAATGTCCCAGCAAGTACAACTAGATTCTTCTGGTAATGTGCAATGTGATGTAAAAGCAGTTTTTCTACATGTTACAATGGAAATCTGTCACACAAAATATGGTCAATAGCACACGCACAGATAAAAAAGTGCTTGGTCAGTCAATAGTTCATTTAAACATTAAAGATGTTTAAAAAAAATGAAAAATTTGGTATAATGTAACATTTTCTGAGCGAGTGTGATTTATGTTCTAATAATAATGAAAAAATCTAGTTACGGCTGAAAAATTTGGTATAATGTAACATTTTCTGAGCGAGTGTGATTTATGTTCTAATAATAATGTTTTGTTCCATGTTTTTTGCATGCATAAAGATTGAAATATGAACTGACAAATTAATACAAGAATCACATTTATTAACATGTTTGTACTGATCTAAATCACAGGGCAGTGTTTTGCAGAATAAGACAGACTTTTGTTGTTTGTGGAGGTTATTATGGTACTTCTAAAACTGAAGCTGTTGGAATTTGGTAATTCTGCCCATTCAAGAAGATTTTGATTCAGTTGCAGTTAATCTTGCAGTCCTATTGTCAGATGTTTTAGTAAGATCATAGGCTTCAAGTTTGTATCTGAAATATTGTATTGTATCTGAAATGCAATTGTATTGCATAACATGCTTATGCCTTTCTGCACAATGGACATGTTTTATATTAACATGTAAAATGCCATTTGCTAATAATTTTGGAAACATTTGCATTTACAGATTAAAGTTAGCCACACACTTATAAGAATTATTCCATGATCTCTGAATATATACTATACTATTAAGCCAACAGTGTATAGTTCATGTCACATATTACATATACTGTACATATATTTACTCTGCATATTAACCCTTTACTGGTGTCAGACCTGCAGTCGTCCCTGTCTGAGAACACCCTGTACTTTTGTAGGGCTGTGGGACGCCCCTGCTCTCTCCACACGTGGTTTACTCTAGAAATGCTATTACATAACACTTGGGAGTCTTTTTCTTTAGATAGACTAACATAGTGGCTAAACCAGTTCTATGGCAGGTATGCAACAAAACGTGGGGACAACTCCATGCATACTACTATGATTTCTCAAGTGATATTACTTGAAAAGTACCATTTATGAAATAACTACATTAATATATAATGTTATGACTAACATGTCATCTATTTATTTATGTCCATTTATTTCTTATTCAGTTCTGAGTCATTTCTAGAGGCCCCAGTATTGAATCATACATGTGGCTTGATTTGACTAAAAACACTGATTCACTGTTTTACAGTGACTGAGGGTGCATCTCAGGCAGAGGCGGAGAAGGCCAAAAAGGAGGACTGAACTGGTGAGAAAAAAACTCTAAACATTATTTAATACTAGGCAATTACAGAATAATGTAGACATGCACAATAAAGACATTATGTTGGTCAAATATTGCTAATTTACTTTAAAGGCACAATGAGTTTTCTGTGCATTAAATACCCTTAAAATTAATGAATGAATTGAAAGTACAGACTGTCTCAATCTGAGCCTTTCTTTTAGGCTGTGAGCTGCCAAATTGAAGATGTGTTTCCAAAGATGTCAGTCATAAAGGGGCTACTTGAAGAACAAAACTACAATTTCTACATTGCCTTAAGAGAGCACACACCAAACCTTGATGTCGTCATCCATTAAAACATCAGTAACCATTGGTGCCTTGTGTCAAGCACAAGAAAGTGCTAAAGAGCCAGGGCTAACTTTAGAGAAGAGTTTGGGCGCAGTATTTGTTGTAATAATTAAACAGATTGATTTCTTAAAATGTGTGTTTATCAAGGAGAGTAACACTTGTAGTAAACAATTATGTAGCTGCTTCAATAAAAGGAATAAAAGCCAACTGTGAATAAAAAGATGCAAGAAAATATGGGTAACAGACCAAATACAAAATCTCACTTTCTTGACCTTTAGTCTGTTTTAAGTTATTAAGGTTGAAAACATCTTAATTATGCCATCAATATCTATGTATTTGTTGAATGCACAATTAAGTGCTAATTAATACCTTGTACAGTGCAATGCCAATAATCTAGCAAATCTGTGTTGCTTTTATTTCATAAATCAACAGTGATTGTTGCTAAATAACTGGATGAATATGTGAGGTTATGTAGGACATGCAGGCTGATGGTGACGTGATCCAATTTGACTCCAGTGCCTTTTGTGAACGGTACAGTTGGAGATCACTGCAGCTGCTATGATAGTAACTTATCAATATTTTAGCTTTCATTATTTTAAGGTGCACGAGTCAGGATGTTAGAATGATGGATGTGGGGGAAACTAGTGAATATCTATGTTTAAGTATGTCTTTTTACTTGTTTTCTTATGTAATATATTACATTTCTATTCTACTGTATTTCTTTCCTCTCATTCCTTAACATGATCTTAAATAAAGCTTTACTGACATGTGTTGACTTGTTTTATCTCTGAACATACACAAGATGTTTTTACAAAAGAAGTTAATAATAGTTCGATTTATTTACATTGTAAATCCTTAACCAAGGAATTCACTTTGCACATGCATAACCTGCAAGAGGGCAAGAAGAAAGTATGTTCAGTCTCACTATGAATAAATAATACACATATAATTAATGCATTTATTGAAATTAAAATGAAATTTAATCTCATTCAAATGAACAAAATGTCTCCTACCTTAAGCATTATTGGCAATATTATATGGCATTATTAGATAGCCTTCAGTGTATTAATATAAAAAAACTGCAGTTATATAATTTATGAAAAATGTCATTTATTTCAAAGTGACAGCATAATTAATAATGGACATTATGAGGCATCAGTAAGGGGGCCCAAAACCGCAATGGCTTCAATTTCAACAAGTCCACTCTGAAGATAAAACAGCATTTGAAAAGATTATGGATAAAAGTTGAGTCTTTTAAGGAGAAGCATAAATATAAAATAACAGCTATAATTACCCTGGGAAGAGCAGCAACCTGGTAAGCAGCTCGGGCAGGGAAGTTGGTGCTGAAGACTGAGGAGACATATAGTCTAATGAATTCTCAAGATGCAATTAATTCATAGACCAGCACACAGGTTTTATAATATTGTGTGTGTAGGTTAAAATTAGGTGTCTTCACATAGTTCATTTCAGATATTTTACTAAAAATAATTATATAGGCATACAGTACAATAGCAGCCTTGCCAGCATGACAGTCAGGTTTGTGTAGTCTACTTATTACAAATTGGCTAGCGACACCTACAGAGATTTTGAGGAATTACAACTAGTTTTCCACAACGGCACCGGGCTCCAGGCGCTCACACAGGTGTTTTCATTAGTATGTGCTTGATAAGAGTCGAATTAGTTCCTGCAGCTGTGAGAGGAGAACAGCTCTGAAATCTGGAAAAGGTAAGGACTGTACAATTTATAGTGTAACTCTTTGAAACTGAATGACAGTGAAGTCTTACTCCTTCAGCTGTTGTTCTGATTTCCATTTATTTTGCAACTTGTTAATGTTTTTTTTAGTTAACACAAGTTTTCCCTTTTGTAAAAATGACCAGTGTATTCAGATAAAAAATAGACAAGTACTACTAGACAGGCATGGCCAGTTTAAGTGAATGTACTGTACTGTGCTGACCCCCAATGGTTAAATCTATCACTAGCACTAGGAAAAAATGATACGCTGTACACTACTTACATTGTTTGTAAACATCATTGACATTTGTGAAATCATTCATATCAGCCAAGAGTACAGTGGTTTTCACAACTGCAAGAGAAAAAAAAAAATCAGTGACTGAAATGAGTCAATACATAGTCATTGTTTTAATATCTTACCATTTTCATAACCACATCCTGCAGCTTTGAGTATTTCTCCCATGTTGACAAGAGCCTATAGAAAGTAAACAATATATTTTTGGGAAAGGAACAAAAAAAAAAAAAAAAAAAAAGCCAAATGCATTAACAGTCTTAGCAAATTATTTAACTTGATCACAGTTTTGTGTGATAATTACTGCACAATAGTAATTTATCAATTAAGTTGCTTGTTTACCTGTCTAGTTTGAGCTTGGACACCACCTTCGACCAGCTGACCGCTCACAGGGTCCATGCCAAGCTGTCCTGAGATATACATGGTCCGGTCCACAATCACTGCTTGACTAAAGAAGATCTAAAATGAGTTGCCAACCACCTCGGGTAATTTCATATTTCATTTGCATGTTTAACACCGTATGGGCTACATCTAGTCAATAGGCATAACTTGTGATGTCATATGAAAAGACCAGCTGCTTTATCTCTTGTCTCCAGATGTTCTAGGCTATGCTTGTTCAGATAATTCAGTAGTCAGTACTCACTGCCTCAGACAAGTTTATTATTATTGTGAGCCTACAGTTTAAAGTTCAAACCCAGACCTCTCATGCACTGTCCATAAAGGACCACATAACTTTCACTTATTAACCGCTGTTTTACATTTCAAGCATGCAGATACAAACTGAAATGTTGGTTAGGAACATGTGAACTTTATTACCATGTGCTTTGCTGTCATCCACTACATCCACTATAATTTGTCTATCAAGACCTACCTGTACGGCCCAATGGCAGCAGGAGCTTTGGTTGTACTAATAATTCTTCTAATTAATGCAGACATTATACTGAGTAACAATTTAAATATGTTAACTATAGCGTATTTTTTGTGGTCAGAAGAGACTACTCTTCAAGTGCAATGGCTGGATTCATGGGACACAAAAATAAGCACGGTGGGAGTTGGCTGACGTTTCAGCTACTTGACCGTAATATACAAAATACATGCGCAAGATAATGTTTAAATTTTACCAGAAAAAAACTAGTATCCTTTGACCTCTTAGTGTGTAATAAAATAATTAACTATAATGCCATTATATATTTTAAAAATAACATTATGCTGTATAAGATATTTATTCAGAATCTTTTGGTGCGCATGTACACTATTGCACACGGACACCGGAAGCTAGCAGCGCGTGGAACTCATGGCAGTATGGCAGTGTTGGTGTTTCATGCGTTATTGACAATAGTGGCGATAATCTGAAATGTTATGTTTGTTTAACTTAATCAGCAACACTGGAGGGTAAAACGGTAAGCTACAAATGAAAAAGATCGCTTGGTGATAATGGAGGAGTCATATTACTATAAATTAAGTGGAAATTTAATTCGAGAACAAGCTAGCAGTGGTGGCTAAAGTGGACATGTACTAATGTTGTGGTCTATTTGAAATTAGAAAATGTCTGATGCTAAAACGAGGAGGAGAGAGATTAAGCTGAAAAACCAGCCTTCGAATGTACAGTATCCTGCCAGTGAAGACATGTCGCACTTCACGGGTAAGCAGTATCTTGCAATTATTATCGCAAACCTTGGATCGTTAGTTTGCAAGCACGTGCCCTATATGAAATACTGTTACTACTACATCTACATTGTTCTAATGAACTTTTGTGTATTATAGGTAATGGCGGTCAAACGCAGAAAGGTGCTGGTTCACGTCATGGTTGGGTTAGGGGACATCAAAAAGATGGAGGAGGTTATGGCAAAGAGATGCCCAAGTACCTCAATGGTAAGTTTGCAAATGGCAGCCTTTGCATATGCCAGGAGTAAAAGATTGAGATACACTTTTTCTCTTACAGCGGGCTCCTTTGCCCGGGCCAGAGCAGCAGAGGTGAAGGCAATGATCAAAGCTGTAAGAAGGAAATCTGCCAGCTGTCATCTGTTCTCTGCTCTACCAAAACACATGAGAAGACGAGCTATGAGCCACAACACCAAACGTCTTCCACGCAGACTCCAAGAGATGGCTATGAAACTGGTGAGTTTCTCAAGCAGTAATGCCGACATTGACAAAAGTGACTGAAAATTTATATTTACATATTTTGATTCTTGTACGTAGAGAGAAAAAAGTCTACAAGGAGCCAAAAAGAAGAAAGAGTCAAAAAAGAAGAGTCGTAAAGCTCGCCGGAGACATGGAAATCTCTTACTTGAGTTTAATCGCAGACAAAGGAAGAACATTTGGCTGGAAACGCACATTTGGCATGCCAAGCGATTCCACATGGTCAAAAAATGGGGCTACTGCCTCGGAGATAGACCCACATACAAATGTTACAGGCCCTGCTACAGGGCAATGAGCACCCACTGTCTACTTCAGGTTAACATGAAAACAAACTTATACTTTTTAAAATAAAACTTTAGTGCTATTTAATAGATTTAATTTTAATATCTAGTTGTGTCTCTTTAGGACCTTTCTTATTATTGTTGCATAGAACTCCTTGGAGAGGAAGACAAACTTCTGGCAGCGCTTTCACAGCTAACCAACAAAGATACGGGTAACTATTTCTTTCTGCTTTACACTACTTGGCATTTTATTTGATAGTATATTAGTGTTGAGATGTGCTCTCATTTTGTCCTAATTTGCCTATAAATCTCAATTTTTGTTATTGTTTTCAGTCAGTGTTTATGAATGTTATCATGCGAACGGACCACAATTACAAAATTTGCTTGTGTTTTTCAGGCCCTTCCTTTGCTGCAGGAGTTTGTCTTTCGGGCCGTAGACAAGGCAGTGTGATGGTGTACAGAGCTGGACAATACCCCTCACAGCCCCTTGGGCCTGTTACCTTCCTGTGGAGACCCCACACACAGGGCTTAAATCAGAGACAACTGTGGATTTGGGCCCACCCTATTCTGAAACAGGTAGCACTAGAATAGTCATAGTTTTGAACACAATCCTTAAGAAGAATGAACATTTTTTTTTTGTTCATAGGAACTTCTCACAGAGTTACAGTATGTATGTGAGTGCTCTGAACCTGTTATTCCTGCGGTTGTGCCTGTGGCACTGCCATCTGAGGTCTCTCAAAGTGAAGAAACAATGGAATTGCCAAAACCAGGCTCTGTCATCACAAAAAATTCTGGAACCAAGAGAAAGAGAAGCTGTCTGGATCAGAGTGGACCACCAGCCAAAAAAATCCTAGGAGATGGAACTAGATCTCCCACCACGCCTGTTACGTGGAAGTCCAGCACATCAACAACAGTCATCCAGTCAGTTCAAATACTTGCACATCTTTTAATTTAGGGATTAGGCTTAAAAGTCTATCTTGTGTTGAGTAGATCCATCTGTAATGGTTTCTTCTGTTTTATTAGTGATCTTACCATGGAGATAGTTCGCTACCGGCTTATTGGTCCACTGTCCCATACTGTGTTGACTGAAACGCTAGAAACTGCTACAAGTTGTAAGGTATCCATAAACACAATTAGAATAAAAGAATATTGGTTTCTAGTGATAATAGTATTTTACTTTTGTAAGAATGTGGACAGCTCTGTGCAGTCTTCCCTCTGGTGGCCTGAACACTGTAGAGATGAGGACATGATGAACCTCCATAAGGAACAATCTGAAATCTTTGAGCTTCTCAAAGGTAATATCAGTGCTGTGTGTTGTTTGTTTTTTTTTTTAAATTTCTCAAATCATGTATATTTTGTCATCCATACAGGTGTTTATTCCACTGGAGAGATTCCACCAGGGACAGTATTGGGTTTGAATGTAGATGACCCAAGAGTGAGCTTACCAATAAAGAAGGTTAAGGCTTTGCCAAGTATAAAGCAAGGCCAAGGTAATATCTAACCCCTCAGACAAAAAAAAGGCTTGGCATGAAGTCCAAATCGTTTATCATACTGTAGTTTGAGCTGAAACATGATGTAATTTCACACCAAATATAGCTGATTTGGATATTGTTTTTAGACCAGTTTAGCTTAGATGCAGTCTTGTTTGTGGTCCTGGAGCTGTTCTGAGTGCACATCTGGTCTTGGGCTCCTGGGGGCCTCTGCTACTCCATGCAGATGTTCCAGGTTCGAATCCTGGCGGGACCCTGTACTCAAACAGGAATTCAGTGACCCACAAGTACTGGTTCACCATTTGTTTGTAGTGGAAGTTTAGTGCAGTTTATGTAGTGACCAAATACGTTTTTGTTTTGTTGCATTCATGCGATAAAAGTAAAAGAATTTATTTATGATATCAGATTTTGTTAGAAAACATTAGCTTTAACATTTAAATGTTAACATTCAGGGGTATCCCACATTTGCTGTTTTTCCAGAGGTGGATGAGAAGGTTAAGCAGCTCATGCTGAATGGGGTGTCAGAGCGCTGCTGCCAAAGCTTTTTGTGGGACCGCACAATTCGGGACAATGTAACTGAAAACAAGATACCAGAGCAGGTACTTTGGTGGTGATTATCGCAGCATAAAAAATAGTGCCAGCATATCCAGTTGACCTATAATCTATGTTATGACCTCTTGAGCTACATGCTTATTTTAAAGGAGTTGAACCGTATGAAGCGTGACATGCTGGTTCCTGGCTCTAGACTTTGGCCCATGCCTCTTCAGGGCCGTGTCCCTGTCCTGTTGGTGCACCAGCCTGGGAAACAGGTTGGACATGAGATGAACACCTGGGGGGCTGGATGGGACATTCTACTGCCGAAGGGCTGGGGCATGGCCTTTTGGGTGCCACTGGTAGGTAATATGATGTCAGCTGGGTCAAAAATCAGTACACACAAAATAGACAATATGGCTTATGGCAAGGAAACTGTTGCAGTGTGGCACAGTTGTCATAATTTACATGTTGATAAGAACTTGTGTGGCAGGTGTACAGAGGAATACGTGAAGGAGGGCTTCATATGACTCTGAAACATTCTCAGAATAAAAGTTCCCCAAACTTCCCCCATGATTTCCCAGACTGTCCAGCTGGAGATCGATTTCAGGAGGAGCAGGAGGCAGAGCTTCTGGACAAGTTCAAACGGTAAGACCAGCTAATCATATCGAATAAATTGCAAAACGGGATACTAATTTTATTCAAAATACAAAATACAGTGTTTAATATGTATGCATTTATTTATAATCTCACAAACACATCAAAATACTTTTTTAAACCATGGCTGTGATTTTGATATTGTGCAGGTCTATTGCTTAATTTATGAGGTAGTCATGCATTACTTTATGTCCTTTATGTTATTACGAAGTTTTGCCTTAAATGCTAAATTTGTTTTAGAATTCACTAGTTTCAGTGCCTTCAAGCCTTGTTTTGGTAAAGGTCAGTTGTCTAAAATGCTAACCTCATCATCATTTTCATTATGCTAATCACATGGCTATGTTGGGTAAGGTGGTAAGACATTCGCTGCAGTCACAAAGTGTTATACTCATGGAAGTATAAGATCTTTTTTATTATTATTAAAGATCCATTGTTATACTGTAAACTCATTGTAAACTGTAAACTCTAAGTCAAAGTGTTTGTCAAAAACTTGACCTTTGACCTCACCTGTAGGCGTCCCCCTGCCAAACGGACCAATTATATTAAACTCGGGTGTCTGGCTCCATTCCGTTGCCCATGGAAACAGTTGGCAGAAGAGTGGGAGGTGATCTCAGCTGAGGAGAGCAAAGAGACAAAGAGCACAGATACTGACACGGTGATAGAGGAGAGGGCGACCTTGCACCAAGATGTCCCCTCTACAATGCCCCAGAGATTCACTGTGCTCAGGTAAAACCTTAATACATGGGCCTTACATGATAGATTAATGAATAAAAATAGAGCATTTGCAATATCTTCTAACTTATGTTATGGCAATAATAGCGTATGTATATGTATGTCCATGTTTGTATGTAATGCATGTCCAGCCTTGCTATCCTTTCGTAATGCAGAGAAGCAAATGGAGCTTGAGTATTCCCCAGGTTTATCTTTTCAGACAATTAGGACCTAGACACCTTTTTATATTCCCCATAATGCTGCTGACTTTATAGGTATTCCGGGACCGCCCGCCCCTGTTGAGTTTTGAGATAGTTATGTTTTTATAAAAAGGCAGTGCAGAGGGCTTGACAGGCTGATGCATGAGGCTTTTGCTGTAAACTGCCTTTTCATCCTAATGTTCTTGATGAGAAAACCCAAACTACATCCAGCTCTAAATTGCAGTCATACATCACACAGATTAGTAGTAGGAGTTGCAGCATTTATCCACATGAAGCCATCACATAAGCTTTGACTCATGGATGATTTTTGTGAAGGAAAAACTAAGGACCATTGTTATTTTGCTGCTGTGTTGGTTCTAATTTTATTGGTTTTGAAATGTATCAATAAATCGTTTAAATCTCTATTTTAAATAACTCCTTTTTACACTCTGTCCACACAAGAAATTGAATATTTTTCAACATTTGTAAATGTCAAACCTACTTGCAGTTTTGTTCATTCTCACCTTTTATATTTTTCTATTTTATTTTTTTTAATTAATATTTAAGTCTTTTTTTTTTTTTTTTTTAGGAACAGGAAATCGTTGCGGCTTCTGTCTGGTTGGTGCAGGCCGACCACATCCAGAGGTCAAAGGGCGTATCGTCTGGCTCAGTTTCCGTCTCTCAGCCAATCAGCTGTGAACTCCTTCCTCAGTGCCCATAGTATGTGTTTAGTGTGGGTCCGTCTGTCGCTCTTGTCCAAAGGAAAACCAGAGCTACATGGAATGATTTGTGTCCCAACCCCTGAAGATTTGAAATTACTGCAAGACCCACAGTGCAGTGGACCTCTTGAGCCAACACACAAGGACCACTTTAAAAGTAAATTGAAACGACCAAAGAAGTCAGAGAAGGCTACAAGTACTGGTCAAGTGCAAGATGTAACACCAGTCACTTCAAAATCTTCCTCCTCCACTTCGAACTCTGTTTTGGGGTTATGGCCGGACCCCCTGCCCAGCGTCACGTCTCACTGTTCACGGGTCACTCTTGGCTGGGTAACTCAAGGGGACTTCTCCCTCACAGCTGGATGTGGTGAAGCGTTGGGGTTTGTCAGTGTTTCTGGTCTCGTCAATACCCTCCTGAAGCAGCCGATGGAGCACAGAGGGCTGTTACTGCTGAGAAACCCCACTTCTCTTCACTATCGCTTTGTGAAGGCTAACATAGAGGTCTGAGCTATTGCCTTATGTCTTTACCTTCATAAGAGATTTAACGCTGTTTAACTCAAATTAATGCAGTGCCTTCCTTGGAGTGTTGAATGCTTTGAAAAAAAATATAGTGGTTATGTATTTTCAAAGTTTAATTGTTCATTTATCTTAGGGTTATTAGAAACTCCATCAAATCTGTAATATTTTTTTTAGGTTAAAAAGCCGTGTTTATGTTCTTCATTGCAATAAATGGAATCAATCTAACCTATTGTTTCTCTTGTTCACGTCCTGTATGACGTATACTTTGCTTAACATGCTTTAAACATTGATTTATGCTTTAAGTGCATAAACCAAATTATACTTAAACACTCATTCTTTCACCCAGGCTTCGTGCGCCCTCAGCTTTCCCACAGATCCCAAACTGAGTGGGAAGAAAAGTGTGTTGCTTAGCAACACTAAAGTTTGGCAGTTGACTTTTGGTTTATTTAAGGTAAACCTCAGCCAACTAAACTAAACAAATGGCCATTGTAAGTGGCCTAAATAGTAGCCCTTTAGTTAATATTGAAAATATGTAATCTGGTAGCGTATATGTAATACTTTACTTCTGTGGAATGAGACAGAGTTCACCTATCCATTTTAATTGTTTATTTTGCCACAACAGGATCTCGTACTTCTCAAGTCTATTAGGCAATGTACTGTCCCTACCATTAGAGGGCAGCAGAATGCCTTTTCACTGAAACACCCTCAATGACACAAGGGGCCATTGTCCATCAGTGAATCAAATCGCCCATAATCCCATTTTCTCTGATGCCCTACTGATTTCCTTCAGTTATTGCTTAAGACTATGATGATTCACTTGTCAGTGAGTGTGCATTTGATAAACCGTATACAGTCCCTGACAAAAGTCTTGTCGCTTATCCATTTTGTAGAAACAAAAGCTTATAACCTGACTTTAATCGATTGGTTTTAGAAATGTCTCGTATGAAAGCTAAAACACCTCCCAAATTATGCTCAATATACTAAAATAAATTTGCTTCACTGAAGAAAGATTGATCATTTAATGAACACAGGTCAGATTTTGGCAAGACAAAAGTTTTGTCGCCTACAGAAAATTGAACAAATAATTTACTTCAAATACAAAAATATGTTGCATAACATCAATGAATTAAGTAGTGGTGCTGTGAGATCCATATTTAATATCTTGTATGACTTCCATGAGCTTGAAGGACTGCATCCATGCGGTTCGACAATGATTCATACAATTTGTTGATGAAGTCATCAGGAATAGCAAAGAAAGCGTCTTACATGCCTCCCAGAGTTCATCAAGATTCTTTGGTTTTGCCTTCCATGATTCCTCTTTCATTCTACCCCAGACATGCTCAATGATGTTCATGTCTGGTGACTGGGCTGGCCAGTCCTGGAGCACCTTGATCTTCTTCGCCTTGAGAAACTTTGATGTAGAGATAGAAGTATGCGATGGAGCACCATCCTGCTGCAAAATTTGACCCCTTTTATGGTTGGGAATGTAAGAGGTAGCTAATACTTCTTGATATTTTAGGCTATTGATATTGCCTTCCACCCTGCAAATGTCTCGCACAGCCCCCATACTGGATGTAACCCCAGACCATGATTTTTCCGCCACCAAACTTAACTGTTTTCTGGGTGAATCTTGGATCCATGTAGGCTCCAGTAGGTCTCCTGCAATATTTGCGGCGGCTGTGATGTAATTCAACCGAGGATTCATCTGAGAAATCCACCTTCTGCCACTTTTCCAGTGTCCATCCTTTTAGCAGGCTGTGGGCCTTGGCAAATGCCACACGTTTTTTTAATTGCCTTTTGTTTAGTGCTGGTTTCTGTGCACTGATTCGACCATGGAGGCCATTTCGAGACAGAATTCTACAAACTGTTCTGGTTGACACAGGGACTTGAGGTGACCAGGCCTGGTGGAGCTCTGCTGCAGTGGAAAAGGGGCTGGCCTTGGATTTTCGAATCAACAAACGGTCCTCCTGAGCAGTTGTCTTGCGGGGTCTGCTGGACCTGGGCTTGTCAAAAACATCTCCAGTCATTGCAGATCTTTTTCTTATTCTTTGTACTTGACGCTGAGACACATTGAAGGTGTCAGCCACCTCAGCAGTGGATCTGGTCTTCAGCCTCTTGATAATTAACGCTTTGGTCTCAGGGTGGATCTTAGGCATGTTGTCAGAGGTCAAGTTGCAGTTGATGTGAAGGTCTGGTGTGCTGGGGTTCTTTTTATACACACCCACTAATTGACTGATCAGTAACTGATCACAGGTGAGACTGTAATCTAGGATTGGGTGCATCATATGACAAGGCGACAAGACTTTTGTCTTGCCAAAATCTGATATTTCTGTGTTCATTAAATGATCAATCTTTCTTCAGTGAAGCAAATCTATTTTAGTATATTGAGCATAATTTGGAAGGGTTTTAGCTTTCATATGAGACATTTCTAAAACCAATCAATTAATTTAAAGTCAGGTTATAAGCTTTTGTTTCTACAAAATGGATAAGCGACAAGACTTTTGTCAGGGACTGTATACAGGTACCATGCATGCCTGTGTACTGTCTTTTTAATCAGTTTCAATTAATTAAATTGTATTAAATTTATGGGAAATCTGGTACTTTAGACAAAATTTATCCATTGTGCATTTGGGCTTTTTAGCAACACTGCCATTTCCTGTTTAATTCTCCTTTACAACTTCTATGCAGTGCCTGGTTAGAGCCCTAGTGCACCCATAGTTGCACAGATGGAGTGGGTATTATGAATCGTCAGACGGGCCTGGTCTGTTGCACATAAGTTTGTCTGCCAGTGATCCGTATGGCAGCGCACTCGCCTCGGGCTGCACTTTGGTGATGTGCCTTCTCCCTGTGAACATGGACAGCACAGCTCATTAGAGAGAAGAGACCAGGCTGACACTGCTCCCATGTCCCACAGTGTTTAATTGAGATATGGGCAGACAAGATGTTTATTGGTAATCTGAAAATTTACTGGGGTGGCTGAGTAAATAGCTGGATAATAGACATCATTTACCAAGTTCAACTTTTACTGATTTTCCTTTTACATAATATTTTGAAAATACCATATAATTGCTTAATACTAGGTTATGCCCCATGTGACATCAGTTTACAATCTGAGTGTGTCAATTTGGGTACAGTATTTACTGCATATGTTTCAAGTTAGAGCTCACCAGGAATAGTTTCCATTGGAATAAAATTTCCAGTTTCTTGCTTTATCTTTGGTCTGTTTCGAGCAATTAGGTAGACTCCAACAAAGGACAGAAGACAACTGTAACAAAGTTATGAAATTATGTTTTGCATAAAATATTTTCCTATATGGTAATCTTTAATTACATTAACTACAATGTACTTACCCAAATACAAACATTAAGATGTTGATCATAGCCAGGTCTTCAAACTCTTGATAGAATACAATACCTGCAAAATGTACACACTAAATATTAAATCTAACTATGAATAATAATGACCTACATATAATATGTGTAAGATCTAATTTTCCACATATTGAAGGGACATGGGTGCTACTGCTACAAAATTGCAACCACCACTGGGTAGGAGGAAACCTGATGTGTTTTTCATTACACTCAATAATTGTGTGTTATCTGTGTGTGGGAGAGGATAAGATCTGAGCAAAGGTAAAATATACTCCACATTTGATGGGTGTCAGTGTGTTATTAAAGTACAGAGGTGCAGTGCTGAGCCATTTGTTTGACAAATCAGACAGAGAAAGATGATGTTTACTGTTGTTGGTTGAGACAGCAGACAAAGTTCAGCTTCTGTAGCTCACCAAGAGTGTGATCACACCACATCAAAACTGGTACTAAACCAGGACCAAAATCACATATGTAGTATATGATCACGTCTATAGGACTCAGCCAGTGTTAAACCAGGGCCAAAACAGTGTGAATGCATCAAGTCAGTACTGGAGATGCCTTTACTGACCACTGACTGTTGGGTAGGTAAAGGTAAATTCCAAAATCAATATTGTACAATAATGACAAAAATATGAATCCAAGTGGTAGATTGTCCTCATTTGATAAGATAAGACAGGAAAACCATCATTAAAACAGAGGACAAGGCGGAGTGATCCACATTGAGATTAAAAAAGCAAAAGCGTAGTATAAAAGGAAAACTGAATACAAATTAAATCAGGCTGACCTCAAATCAGTGTGTAGAGGAATGAAATCTATGACCGACTGGGAGGAGAAAAGGTAACACATTTTCTTCAATGGCTTCAACTCTAACTTAGACTTGGCAAATTAATTGAACAGTTTTATCTGAGATTTGATTCAAATGATTTTTGTGACAAAACTAGCAATTTATGGGAGCGAGTGGGAGCTCTTTCTTCACTATTGAATGTCCTGATGTGGAAAAACTTTTTAAACAGAGTAAAATAAACAAGAGCCCTGGTCCTGACAATATCTTGGGTCATGTGCTCAAGTCTTGTGCTTTGCAATTAAGTGGTATTTTTCAGAAGATATTTACCCAGTCTCTTGCTCTTCAGATTGTGCCTGATGTATGGAAACATTCCACTGTTGTTCTGGTGGCCAAATGCATCTACCCTAAGGTTTTTAATGACTTAAGACCAGTGGCACTCACCTCACTGGTGAAATGAAAACCTTTGAAAAGTTGGTGAAGCAGCAGATTTTGAACAAGGTGTATAATAAAATAGACCCAATGCAATTCGCATATAGAACAAATTGAGGTGTTGAAGATGCCACATTGACCTTGTTGAAGCTACTCATGAGGCATCTGGAAGCCCCCAAAAACCATGCTCAGCTTCTGTTCTTAGACTTCTCATCAGCCTTCAATACTATCCAGCCTTATCTGCTTGCTAAGAAACTGCAATCTCAATCGAAAACTCCCTTTTCGATTGAGATTTTAACCTTGTTGGCTGGATTGTGGATATTTTATCATGCAGGACAGGGTGTTAAAAGTAAATGGTATCATGTCCTTGAGACTGTATTTTTCCACTGGATCGCCACAGGGTTGCGTGTTATTGTCCTTGCTTTTTATTTGTATACCAATAACTGCATAACTGCATAACTGTATAAGCATAACTGCATTTTGTATTGTCGGTATTGTTGGACCCCTCCTTGAACCGTCACCTTATCGTGGTGGAGGGGTTTGAGTGCCCGAATGATCCCAGGAGCTATGTTGTCGGGGGCTTCATGCCCCTGGTAGGGTCACCCAAGGCAAACAGGTTCGGGGGGACGGGTCAGACAAAGAACGGTTCAGAAGCCCTGTATGACAAGTGTACCAACGAGGCCAGTTACGTCGCCCGGATTGGCATCACTGGGGCCCCACCCTGGAGCCAGGCCTGGGGTGGGTGCTCACCAGCGAGCGCCTGGTGGCCGGGCCTTCCCTCACGGGGCCCGGCCGGGCTCAGCCCGAAGGAGCGACGTGGGGCCGTCCTCACGTGGGCCCACCACCCGCGGGAGGATCCATATGGGGCTGGTGCAGAGAGATCTGGGCGGCAGTCGACGGCGGGGGCCTCGGCGACCGGATCTCCGGACATGGAGACTAGCTCTGGGGTGCAGCTTCGGCAGTGATACGGTCGCTGTATCGGACCGTTGTGGTGAAGCGGGAGCTGAGCCGAAAGGCGAAGCTCTCGATTTACCGGTCAGTCTTCGTTCCTACTCTCACCTATGGTCATGAGCTCTGGGTAGTGACCGAAAGGACAATATTGCGGATACAAACGCTCGAAATGAGTGTCCTCCGCAGGTTGGCTGGGCACTCCCTTAGAGATAGGGTGAGGAGCTCAGTCACACGGGAGGAGCTCGGAGTAGAGCCGCTGCTCTTCCACGTCGAGAGGAGCCAGCTGAGGTGGCTCGGGCATCTGTTCCGGATGCCTCCTGGGCGCCTCCCTCGGGAGGTGTTGCGGGCATGTCCCACTGGGAGGAGGCCCCGGGGAAGACCCAGGACACGCTGGAGGGACTATGTCTTTCGGCTGGCCTGGGAATGTCTCGGGTTTCCCCCGGAGGAGCTGGAGGACGTGTCTGGGGTGAGGGAAGTCTGGGAGTCCCTGCTTAGGCTGCTGCCCCCGCGACCCGGCCCCGGATAAGCGGACGAAAATGGATGGATGGACGGTATTGTTGGTTGGGTGCCCTCTCTATGTTTACTAGAAATTATCTGGCTTGGTTGGTCAAAGTGGCAGGTAAGCCACTTACAGTAGTCCCAGCTGGAAGACATCTACAACCGAAGGGTGATTTGCAAGATCCAACAAATAATGGAGAGCACTGACCACACTCTTTGAGGAGTTTAACCTCCTTCTTTCTGGGCAGTGTCTGAAAATCCCCCTGATCAGAACTCAGAGAGCTTGGACTTCCTTTATTTCTAAAGCCATAATAGGATGAATAGTCTATTATAGCTTGGATCAGTTGTGGTGAAATGTGATTACATACATATTCTTTTTTTGCCTATTTTTAAGGTCGTGTATGTCTGCATTGTTGAGCTAAGCTTAAACTGTGGTTTAAAGTATTATTGAATTGTATTGTATGTCTGACACTGCTGCACAACAATTTCCCTCTGGGACAGTAAAAAAGTTGAAAGTGGAAAGTTTGTACATGTAATGAAATGTTATCACTAAGACTGACCAAAATAAAACTAGTGTTACTTCAGCTTCAGTTTCTTCATGATTTTCCAAAAAAAAAGAGAGACATTTTATTTCAGTCTATTGTGCTATACCTGCTACAATGGCGCTGGTGGTGAAAAACACATAGTTGATTGGCACCACTTCAGTTGCATCAAACATTTTCATGGCCTGGTTCAGAAATCTGTGGGGACAAAAGTGAATGAAGTGAGTACCATTAAAACAGCAGAGAGCTGATATACTGTCTATACCTGTAACGCTTTATACAGTTCTCTGAAAGTAAACAACCTCTCACTTTTCTGATGAAGCTCAAAGAACTGGACTCACTTGATCTGGAAGGCACAGGAGGCGACCATGACCACAAACATGACATAGAAGATGGGGTAAACGAGCTGCAGGCTTCCCTTTATGGTCTCAGTGAGCATCCCTGATACGGCTTTAACTGAGATCACTGTTACAGAGGCTGTGAAGGTAACAACGATATTTAGATTCAAAATGAGATTTTGATCTGTCACCATGCACAGCCAAAAATAAAGAGTAAAGTAAGACACAGACAGTTAATTTTACCTAACATGAAATTACAGTATTCATCCTCATCCATATAACAATACAACAGTAGGTTGTCGATTTCAGAAGGAGGTAGACATATAGTATAGGATGAATTGGCCAAACTTGCCTAAATTTAAAGGTACACTACATACGTTTTCTTGTGCTAAAATTTTGAAACATTGACTTAAAAACTCAAGTGCAATCTTAAAGGATGAAGGTTTAGTAACTAATCTATGTTGCTATTATAACAAAAAAGAAAAAAAGCTGCGCATCTGTGCAAGCTGTGCATTAATGCATTATTTAGTAAATGAACTAACCCTACCCCTTTCACAAAAACAACTAGATACTTGATGAAGTAATTACATGTTTTTCTGACATCCAAAACATTTATTTAGTTTGATTCTTTACCTAATAAGGCCACCAGGAGCATCACAATCACGATGTGCTTTATTTTCTTTATCTTGTACAGAAACAGAAGCAAGGCAAATAGTAAGATCTCAATGACCTGCAGAAAGAAAAAAAACAAACAAACATGCATTTTCTTTTGCAATCATCTGAGATGAGTTACAGTGAAGTCACAATCTGAATGTTGTAACTGAAACAAATGACTGTAAAGAAATTAAATAAATTGTGGCTTAATAAATGAGAAAGGCTCAGGGCTACACTGTGTTCAGTCGTATTCAGCTGTTCAAGAGGCTCTGATGTAACATCATAGAGAGGGAGGACAGAGCCTGAATGGAGAGAACATAGAATGAGTACACAATGAGGGCTTAGAAGGTCATTCTAACCTTTGAATGTTGATTTATTATTATTATTATTATTATTATTATTTAATTTTCATTAATTTAATTTGTGTGTTTTAAATCCAGTTAAAATTGCAGTAGATCAGTCATTCAGTATTCCAGAGGTGCTTATAAACATATTAATTAAAGGCAGTATTTTGACTCTGGGATTTATTCTTTATCCTGATAATTTTAGTATCCGTTTCAGTTTAATGTAGACAAGTCAATGCACAGCTCATAAACTCTTCATTATTATTATTATTATTATTATTATTATTATTATTAGTCCTATACATAAATATATTGCTTATAGTACAAATATTTTCTTTTTCAAGTAAAACATATATTTTCTCTTCAATACATGCTTATATGAGCATAATTACCTTCATTAAATATTGAAAAAACACTTCAACATTAAAGGGCCCATATTATGCTATTTTCTGATTTATGCTGTAATGTTGTTTCCTCATCAAAAACATGCCCGGAGTTGTGCTTTGTTTTATTCACACATTATTTAACACTCAAACCCTGCAGAAACACTCTGTTCTGCCCTGTGATGACATGCGGTGATACAGGAAGTGCTCTGCTCCTCTGTGCTCCATACACCTTCAGTGTATATAATTTCAGTTCTGTAATTTCCAATTTCTACTGAACTAAAAAAAAGTAAAAGACAGCTCAAAAACTACTGCTTCATGACATGGAACAGAGCATTTTGAGCTTTCGAGATGTAGAAAGAATAATTATACAGTTTTACTCAAACATTTGAATGAAACAATACACAAGTCCAGGTATGTTTTTGAGGTAACAACATTGTGAAACAGGTAAAAGCTCAGTCAAAAGTTAATTTGGCATAATATAAGACCTTTAAGCCCCTATGTCAATGACAGTAAAGTTTTTGACAGCATAGTTTTATCAGTGAGCAGATGAAATTATGTGGTAACAGTTTGTCCTTTGGAAATATTCAGACGTTGATGGATTTTTCATTGTACTTGGATTAATTAGTTCCCGGCGCTCCACGCTCAGGTCTGTCTTGAATTAGAAGCTAATGCATCAATCATGGGAGCCAATCACGTCAAGGTCGACTCCATCTGAAGACATCCACTTAACATTTTACCCCCACTAGATTCCTCCTTAATATTCACTGTGATTCATTTGCATTGAAAAAAGTAATCTTTGTATTATGATAATATTGTTAGGCCTGTTGTGATCACAAATTTTGAAGTGCGATATATTGTTGTAAAGTAAATATAGACAATAAACAATTATATTGACACCAATACATAAAGCAGAATTATTCATAAAAAAAGTATTTTAAATGTACATAATTAGCTTGTATCTGTAATGAGTCATAGAAGTTCATAATTATACCTTGTACAACTCAATTCTCATGTACATGTACATGTATTAATATAAAGAAAAAGTACTCCTGAAAAAGTATTCATGATAAATATCTATCCCTAAAAATTATTGTTACATTACCATGTATTAAACGATAAGTCGATATAGTAATTATCGTGACAGGCCTAAATATTGCGTATGTCTATCTTTCAGAGACACCAAGTATGTTTTGCTTGTTAAGACTGACAGTTTGATAAATATATAGTTGTGAATTATGTCAGAAATGGACATCAAACATGGATACTAAAACTTAAGCAAGTACAGAGTGCATGTCTTCTCTTCATTTTCCCTCTTTTATACTTGTGCTGAGAATTGGAGGGTCTCTCATAGTTCGATATGGTACTCAATACATGGTTCACAATACGATATTCCAAATCAAAATTGTAGCGCTGTCACAAAATAACTAAGCAAAATATACCAAAAATACTTGATATATATCGATACAGCAGCCCACAATAAGGACACTTTGTAAGGACAAATTTGCTATCATGGTGTACCAGCAAGTTTACACAACCTTATTTTATGGTCACTGACAGTTTTGGGCATGTTGCTTATACTTGTTTTTTTTTTTAGTTGTTTTTTTTATTATCACTTTATAACATGGATCCTACCTGGACGACTGGGGGATTACACAGGTAGTACAATTTGATATTTATAGTCAGGTGCATGTAAGATTTGAGAGGCAAAATTGCACATAGTCACTTTGTATGTTGACCACAGGCAGTAGTAGCAAACCTTGAGAATCTTTTAATCTTTCATGTTTTCTGGGGCAAACCTGTGAAACATACATGAGCCATGTACTTGTGTTTCAGTAATGAGCATGTTTTTGAAGACGCTTTTTGCATCAGTTTTCTCACTATGGTAACAGTGATGATGTTTATGCCATTGGTACGAGTGTAAGAGTGGAGAGTCCCTGGAGCAGAGTAGTAAATGGGGCAGGGCTAATGCGGTGCACGGCCCTGAGGTGAGAGCTGTCTCTGAATACAAGATCTGGGATCATTTAGGCTGTATGGGTAAGAGGCATTATACTGTTGTGGATACACAGCATAAACATAACTTGCTCTTAGTTACATCCCAGTTAGTGAACAGCCTGTAAAGGTCAGTAAAGAACAAAGTTACATTGTGTGCTGGGAATTATATACATTTTTTCCAAGGAATTATACTTTGTCATGAAGTTTCATAAAGTAATGCAAAGTGTAGGCCTGTCATGATAACAAATTTTGAAGCCTGATATATATTGCTACAGAGATATATAAGATAGATAAATGATAGTATTGAAACTATTTTAGCCCACATTTTTAAATAAACAGAGTCATTAAAAGCTGGGCTGCAACAGATAAGTAACAGAATGAACCAATAAAGAGCCATAGAAATCACTTGTTTAAACTTGTACAGCTCAATTTGTTTGTATTAAATCAAAAATACCCCAAATCTACCCACTTTTAAAAATAAATTGTACACATGATAAATACTGTGCCCCAAAATATATTGTTCCAGCTTTGATTTATTGAACCTTAAGTTGATATAGTAATTATCATGACAGGCCTAGCCAAGAAAGATGAACTGACCTGACTTCCTTCTCTCTAGGACTGAAGCAGCAGTGTTTTAATCTTGTTTCATATTATTATTATTATTATTATTATGGATATAAACATTGAAACACCTACTATGTAAACCAGGAAGTACCAGCTGATGAAGTAGTAATGGACCATTTGAGCTGTTACCAAGGAGATGTTGTGGGGGGCAAAGGTCACCAGAAGATAGGTTCCTGTGATTGCCAGAGTCCCGCCTGTTATAAAAGAAAAGTCAATACCATTTAGCATAAAATATAAACTGCAACGGATTTACTTTCTTGCTAGTGCCTGCCATGCTTTTATTCTGTTTATTGGTCACTGGGGATTGTGTGTTTAATTTACAATGTTTATTTAACTGCTTTAGAATCTTTCTCGTGACAAATCGTGTGTTAATCAAATCCAATTTGTTTAAACGGGTAATTATGCCAAATAAATAACAACTGCACATGTTTTGACATTTGCATACAGGATAATTACCTAGACAATATTGACTCAGCTTTGTTTCCCCCCTAACATGGCATTATTCCAGTACATTGTGACAGACTTGCACATATCTGTGAATTATGTGCCTAATATTATGTAGAAACCACTGCGTATTTTAACACTGTTCTTTCAAACCAGCACTGACTTCATCCTGTATTGGTTTTCAGATTCTATAATGTGTCTCCCATACTCCCAGATGTGGGGCAACAGCCAGATTTGACTATTGATTACAATGTATCTTGCCATGAAATATCCAAAAGGTAAATTCACAAATGTTGAACCTGTTTTTTTCCCCCAGTTATTGTCTATAAACCCAAGAACTCACTGTATTACAACATAATTTTGCATTTTGACAATATTAGACCCACTGAGACCCACTGTGTTCCACCACACAGGTCCCATTGTGCATCACCTATAAGTGGTTCGCCAGTGTTTCTTGCCTGGACCACTTTAGAGACACCCCACTCACTTGGAAAGGCTCTGATCATGTTATCTAGCCAAGACACATTTTCCTTTGAGAATATATATATATATATATATATATATATATTATATTATATATATATATATATATTATATATTATATATATATATATATATTATATATATATATATATATGTGCTATATTATGCAAAACTGACTATTGTGAGCTTTTAACCATGTTAAAATGTTGTTACCTCATCAAAAACATATCTGGAGTTGAGCTTTGTTTTATTTACACATGTTTGAGTAACCTGCATTATTAGTCTCTCTATATCTCCAAAGCTCAAAATGCTCTGTTCCACCTTGTAATGCCATGTAGTGGTCGTTTTCACACTAAGAAATTCTGCCTTTAGTTCAGTGGAAATCAGCAATTCCAATCATACAAATGATTGTACTGAAGGTGAAGCACTTCCTGTATTATCACATGTCATGACATCACAACATGGAACCAAGCGTTTTCAGTCTGAGAGAAGAACTCACATACACAAGCATGTGTGAATGAAACAAAACACAACTTAAGGTATGTTTTAAATGAGGCAACAACATTATAACATAGTAGATGAAAAATATAATATGGTCCTTTAACTTTACCTTTGAGTGGTCATGCTCTCATACCCAATCAATCGCTCTGTAATTTTTTCTGTACACTTGTTCCCAATGGGAGGTTGATGATTCAAACAATTGTGCAAGTGCATAAATACAGAAGGAAGTTATCGCTGTGTGGTGCTGATACGACAGCCACTTCTCACACTGTCAAAATCATTATTGTGAATGTGAACACCATTACAATCATGTCATTTAACAGCTGAATCTAAATTGTAATGACAAACAAATGGCTCATCACAACAGATAGGAACAGACTGTGCAAATGACTCAGAAATGGGGCTAAGATTTGTGATGATCTCATTCAGAAATGTTTTTCCACAGACCATCAGCGTGTTGCTTTCTAAATATGAAGTGCAATCTGCAGGTGTCAGCAGTGTTTTATTACCCAGTATGTCTGAGGCGCGAATCGTCTCCTTCAGGAAAACAACAGATATGACGGCGCTGGCTGTGAAATTGAAAACACAGAATTAAAATCACTTTAAAGGTCCTATATTGTGCAAAAATTGGCTCTTATGAGCTTTTAGTCATGTTAGAATGCTGTTACTTCCTCAAAAACATACTCAAATTGTGTTTTGTTTCATTCACACATGTACCGGTAATACTTTATTATTAGTCTGTCTATAGCTTCAAAACTCAAAATGCTCTGTTCCACCTTGTGATGTCATCATAGTGTAGTTCATGTCTACCATTTACCATTAGTTCAGTAGAGATGAGCAATTCCAGTGCTGATTCAGCAAATGATTCTAGTGAAGGTGTATGAATTTAAAACACAGTGGTGCACTTTCAGTATTCCACATGACATCACAAGGTGGAACACAGTGTTTTCTGTTTGAGAAAAGAACTCTAAATATGCAGGGTCTGTGTGTTAAACATGTGGGAATGAAACAAAACCCTAATGAGGAAATATTATAACATATCAGAAAATAAATAATATGAGCCCTTTAAAAACAAATCATGTCTAGACATAATTTAGACAACAGTATTACACTGTTCTTTGGAATTATACAACTATTTTGTATGAATTGCTTATTTTCTCTGCTGTTTTGGTGCAACATGATGAGCAAGGTCAGGGTGAATTTTGGTTTTACATCACATGGTGCTTGAGGAATACAAATGACCACAGCCAAAGAAGGGCTAATAAATGTCAAAATGTTTTTAAGGATTATGGTTTCTGCTGTGTGTCCTCGTCCCTCACTTTGGGGTGGCACTGTTGCATATGTCTAGTTCACAGATGGAGATCCAGACAGAGAGAGAGACTGGACCAAAGACCATCTGTGTTCTTGGACCCCCACAGCCTCCTGACACTACAGTGATGTACACTGCTGTCACTGAGGTCAGTATGGTTGTTCTGGAAGTGACTGTTTATCAACAAGTACCTTCTGTCTTCAATCATGATTTAGTTGTAGCTTAGTTTATTTTCTTCAGTCAGCTGGCACAATCATGAATCATATTACAATGATTCATGAATAACACAAATAAATTAACACATAACAACCGAAGGGGTTTAGGCTGAAGTTTATTTTGCCTAACCCTTTGAACAAAGAGAACATAAGATGGCAGAAAATATATTTACACACACACACATACGCAAACACACAAAATCATGTATTTGAGTGTAGTAAAGAAGACCTATAACTATATATATTTAGTCTACATACATGCACATATGTACACAGTGTATTAAGTATTTATTTATTTAGAGTTAGGGTTATATTTTCAGTTACATGCATCTTAGATAGGACTGCGTATTCCTTAAAACTACCAGTACAGAAAAAGGGAAGGTTCAACTGGTACCAAAAAGTTGTGATGTCTGGTTGTTCCTGGGAGAGTACAAGATAGTGTGACCAGAGATCAATAATAATAATAATAATAATAATAATAATAATAATAATAAGAAGAAGAAGAAGAAGAAGAAGAAGAAGAAGAAATAATTTTTTTCTAAAGAAATCACATTTATGAGTATTATCCTAAATCTCTTTTGTTATTCTAGATAATGATTAGTTCATGAAAAGGTACTGGGAAAAATTACAATTCCTGTCCTGGATCTGAAATTAATTTGGAAGGTACCCAGCTCTAATTTTATACAAATAAACTTAAAAGAAACAGTTTTCAAAAGCATCTGCTTGTGTGCACAAACAATACCTCAAAATAAATCCTTGCTTGCCTATTCACCATAATTGGCCCCACATATAAACATATCATTATATCTTCATGTATAATGCATGCAAGTGTAGAAATCTATACGACGCAATCTCCATATGATTAAGAACTGTCACCCCTCTCTGATAAATGCTCCTCATTAGAGCTTTATAACAATGTAGAATCATACCAAGATGCTCTTATGTGCACTACAACTTTCCCAAAACCATCCATCACCATCAGAAGAGCCATGTGCGTGAAAAAAGCAATCAGTTTCACACAAGCTTAGTCTCAGATTAGTCTTCTTAACGTTTCCCCAGACGACACGCTTGAAAAGAGACCACAGATTTTGCATTGACAGGCAGCCATGTGCATTATGTTCAAGCACACATAATGGTGAGACAGGAGCCAGGCTGAAGGAATGAGAGGGAGAGACAAGCAGTGGATGGATGTGTAAAAAAAGCGGTAGTGTTTTGTATTGTTCTGAGGTGAAGGGGGAAGGCTAATTTTGGAAGAGTTGCCATTCTGGCCAAGTGGATATGCACAAAGACAGAAAATAATACATGAACACAAATGTTACAGACAATGTTGACCAATTGTGGGCATGCCTCTTTGTCGTACTCTGACCCAAACTTAAATTCATATTGTAAATGGTCATGATCACATTTTTATATAGCATTTCTTCACCTTCAAGGTATGCTTTACATCAAAGAAACACTCACACATTCACACACATGTACGCAAACACTGGGGACGAGGTGGGTTAAGTGTCTTGCTCAAGACCACAACAGCAGTATTCATCTGTGGGAGCTGGAATTACACTGCCAACCTGTGGGTTAGTGGATCTGACTGCTCAATCAACTGAGCTGAATTAGCACAGTAATTATACTAATACGTAATCAGAATTCATTTGGCAGGACATTTATCATATAGTTTTTCTGTTTTCATTATTAGAACCACATGTTGCTTCAAAAGTGCAACATGTTGTTCTAAGAGAGGATCCAGGAATGACAAAAAATTAGGGATGCAAACCGATCCAATATTGGTATTTGATATCGGCACCGATACTGAAAAAGATGAATCAGATATCAGCTTCCAAATATCGATTCAGCCGAAATTCTGGTTGGGCAAATAAATGGATGTAATACGATTTACTAGTTGTAGTTGGTCCACAAAGTGTTTGAACTTTTCATTATTGGTGGAATAAGTAACAACTACATAACACACTGGATCAGTTGTGTCTTATTTTATAATAGTTTTAGGAAATAAAAGCTATTTTTAGTCTCTGATATTGGTTGGTATCGGCAGACACTTTTACCCAAAGTATTGGTATCGGAATTGAAAAAGCTGGATCATTGCCTCCCCACAAAAAATGTGGTCTGATATACTTCTCAGTCTTAGTGATCCCAGAACTATTTCCTCTTATCTTTTTTTCCAGACTTATCAATCTCACTTTGTATGGAGTTGCTATAGTAACTGTCAGATCCAGTTGGTCCCAGTGGTGAAGTCCTAAATGTGAACGTGATCATGGCCAGGCTATGGAATATTTAACAGTCCATTTCATTGCACTGGATGAAACTGGCTTTTGAAGAGGAAATTGTATCTATCCTTATTCTTATTGCAATACAATAAATATAAAGAAACAATATAAAGAACAAGCAACAATATACAATATAGTTTTCTTTTAAATCACTGCATTAGTGCCAATTAATGCAGATTATATAAGGTACTATCATTTGAAATAGTCTTTTGTTCTGAATTGACTTTGATTAAACCAATAGACAGTCATTATATATTTAAGCCCCAGCTGATTGACAGTTAAAAGAAGTCCTCTAAATGTCCTTGTTGCTTTGTGTTCCACTCCCACAGGATGACCTCGTGTTTTATCTTGGTGGTGAGAGTCTAGGTTTTCTATCTCGTTTTATTGTTTCCTTTCAAAATATCATCTTCAAATATCCACACTGGAACTTTGCAGTGCTTAAATACCATCTCTGATTTGTGTGATATGAATCAGTATTTGGGGTTTAGGCTACATGTTGTTGGTAAAACATGTTGGACAAAGCTGTACTCCCCTATAGACCACTGTTTATCCATAACATACTGCTCTGTTGAAGCATGTCTCTATGATGCAGGCACAGCACAAATAAACTCACATAATTTAGTGTGTGCAATTGACCAAAAGCAGACACAGGGCTGCCTCCAAGGGCTCTGCAGGCTGTAAATAAAAAAAGATCTGTGGCAATTCAAGCACTCCATCATAGCGAGAACAAGTACAAATACATAGATACAGTACCTTATTCATTTATTGTTAAAACTGATAGAATGATTTGGCGTAATCTCTCTATTGTATTTATATGTTTTACAACTCTCTGTTATTATGCATATTTATTATTGGTAAATCCAAGCAAAAGTAATTTTTTTCTCATTTTAGGTGCACTAAATGTAACTTTGATGTTTAAAGCTCTGTCACATACTTTCTCCATGGAGATATTACTTCATTGTCTGAAATGTTCAATAGTATGGCATTAAATTTATCCATCTCCATGGAGACAAATGTGTGATGCCACCAGGCCAGCAGGTCAGAACTGTGGCGAGATGAGCGAGTGTGGAGAGAAGTTTTTCAAGGTATATTATATAGTATCATAAAGATATTATATATAGCTATGGAACATGGCTAAGCAGTAACATCTCCATGGGGACAACAGTTGTTTTTCACTGTCATATACATAAACTATGCAGTTCATTCAAATTTTTCGACTATTTTTTACTACATGCCCATCTATACATTTGAGGTAGGACTAAACCACTAAAACTAAGTGCTACTAGTGTTGTCACAATAATAAATCTTTATTTCAATACTAAGAAACTAGAACTATTTCTAATACACATCAAGACTCAGGAAATGTCAAACTTTGTCCTATTTATGTAAAAAAAAAAGCAATATATCTGCACTGTAAAAAGCTGGAGTGAAAATGTGGCATATTCTGTGAAGAAAACAGGATTTATTATTTGTTTTGTTGATGATAAAAATGTAAGAAACAACAAGCGCCTGATTGTCATAGAATACTCCATCTGCTCCATCTGCGCACTACAGATTTTACACATGTTGTACAGTGCTGCAGGGCTAAACTCAGTCATGACGCATACTTTATAACAGGAATGGGACAATAACAAAATTATCATTTATTGTGATAACAAGTGTAGATAGTAATCATTTGTGGGACATAATATAATTACCAGAATGTTCAGAAAAAAGCTACGTATCAATGATGGTCTATTCACTGTTGTTTTCACAAATAAAATTGTGCAATACTAGAACAGTTTTAATATGGAACCTATTCATAATATTAAAATTTTACATATTAATATCCATAACATGTCAGCAACTTTAATAATTATCATGATATAAATGTTAATTGCAGTTATTTTGACCATGATAATCGTGACACCAAATTTCAATATCGTGCCATGCATATTTAGTACATTTTCTGTCTATTGCATTACAAGGTGTCTAACAGTAGAAGCAGCGAACAGTAGTAATTGCTTAGAGACAAAACTCCTCTTCTCGTCTCCACAGCCGCCATCTGCAGCTCAGCTTGGTGTCGCACTATTTTCAAATCATCATTTTCATCCCATGGTTTAGATCCACCAGTTTTTTACTCACCAAAATACTTCCTCCTCCCACCCAGTTTTACTAGTTCAACTTTTAATGATAACAGCACTTACAGTAGTGGTAGCAATTAGATCTTAAAATCTTTATCAGCTTTTTATTCAACTACTAAGTGCTGTAAGCAGAACAGATCACAAAGATTAAATTCTTTATAATTTTCTCAAAAGGATTAATAAATATCTAATCTAATTCAACAATTCATGCTATTGGACAGTGAGAGTGACTTAGAGAGTATCTACAATTACACAGCCAAGACAGTATTGGCACTGAATCTACAAAGTGGTGGAAAATGCACGCCCCTTCAGTAAAAGTACAGTTATATGAATTATAATTAATGAGAACTGCAAGTACTGCAGCCAAATTTGTACTGAAATGCATGAAAATAGTAAATTTTGTATGCAATTTTAGTAGCATTTTAGATCAGCCTTTTATCAAGTGTTATTAATTCAACAGTTTAAAGCTGAATTAAGTGGTTTTGAACCATGATAAACATATTCTCTAAGCTCCCATTAATCAGAGCAAGAATTTGTGTTATGTGTGTTTTTGTACCAAGTGTAAACAACAGTGACAACAGTGAGACAGTCGTGCATTGAGACAACTGGATTTCGTGCCATATCCAGTAACTTCTGAGATTTTAAAGGTCCTATATTACACAAAATTGATTCTTGTGAGGTTTAAGTCATATTATAATGTTGTTACCTCATCAAAAACATACATGCATACGTATTTTATTTCATTCACACATGGTTGAGTAATCCTTTAATATTAGTTTGTCTAAATTGCCAAAGCTCAAAATGCACTGTTCCACCTTGTGATGTCATGTAGTGACAAGGGCTCTTACCTTTTGTTCAGTCATCGCCATGAAATCATCACCAAATGATTCCAATGAAGTATGAAGTATGAAGTCTAAAAACACAGTGGAGCACTTCCTGTATTACCACACATCACAAGGAGGAACAGAGCATTTTCCTTTTGGGAGAAGAACACTAAACTTTAAGAACCCTATATAATGTGCAGCGTTTGTGTGTAAAACATGTGTGAATGAATCAAAACACAACTCCAGGTATATTTGTGATGAGGAGTAAGGGCCCTTTAGGTGTAGCTAGCTTCAACTGCAGGGGTAGAATTATACTCAGTTATAGGGAGAAGAATTTGTTCTAAAAAGCTACAATTACCTGAAAAATCTAGTCTATTACAGTATATATATAATTACTCATTATTTTCCTGTTCTACCCCTGCCAGTAACCTCTTTGCAGAGTGGCACGGTGCTCATGACATTTTGTGCCCCAAGTCAAAATATTCAGCCTGACATTGCTTCATTATTGGCTCATTACACATTGGAAACACTTAAAATACAACTGTCAAACTCCTGTTCTCGTGGCACAAGCTCTTACTCAAACATAATTGCAGGGAACAGGGGTTGGTGCTGCTTTAACAAGATTTGTAGTTTTGCTCTGTGCTTAACTCCAACCATTCATCCCCTGGCGAGACGTGCCTGTAGGAAAATCATTTGAAGCTTTGTGGTAATAGGTGTCATTAATATCAGTGAGTCAGAAGCACCTCCAGCTCTGAGTGATGGAGGCAGCCTCACTCCCATTCAATATTTAACCTAGGTTTTTAGAGTGTTTGTATTGAGCAGCTGACAGGTGCAGCAGTGGAGAGCCTTTGTTTTGATTGGCTAATGATTCAGGCTTACTCCAGTTCACACCATGCTGTTTCTGCAGAGGATTTACAATGTTAAGACTCATTGGTTAGTCAATTGGGGATACAACTTCAGCAAATTTATGTGAAATATGAATATAGAGTTAAGTATTGGAATAAAAAGTACATATTCTTAGGGGTAAGTCAAATTCCCTGATGAAAGAATATTATGTCCAAAATTTTTTATGCTTAAAATGTATTTGAGCTACATACAAACTTTATATTACTTATATACAAACTTTGTTGACAGTTGTATCATGCAAATACCTTACCTAGGACAGACACACAGCCCAGTGGAGCGATGAGTGATGCAGGGGCAAATCCATAAGCAGCGAAGTTCCCCAGTTCACCCACTCCCATCAGGATCACCCCCATCCACCAGAGGGCAGATGTGTAGTAGGGCTTAGAGCCACGCTGGACCTGTCTCACATGGGTGTATTTCTAACAGCATAGATGAAACAGAACCCAAAGTGTTAAGTCAAGAGACGATGGCATAATATAGCAAATTTTGGCATTTCTTAACTGTAACCTACTGTAGAATAAATTTTTCTCTACTCATCCATTGTTCTTTTCAGTTTTTACACCTATTCAGTATAGCGCTATTATCACAGTTAATACATTGATTCACTAGATAGGCTTCAATGGTAGCCCACTTCTTTTCAGTCTGATTATAGCCCTTTAATAGTCTTTATTTCAAGCTATGTCAGAACAAACAGAAAATGGTACAGAGATTAATGCAATCTATACTATTTGAGTCTAAGATTGACTCATACAAATGAAAGGTTGATGCTTGAACTTGAGCGGGAAGAAGTAACAATATAACCAAGTAACTTTCTTCTAAACATGTGAGCTTCAATAAATGGAGCATGATCCACCACAACACTGATTCTCAGAGATCCACAGTTCCTCACAATACACATTCAAAGTTTTAACAACTCATCGACTAAATGTCCTAAATTATACATCTCTTTTGCTCTTGTTTTTGATTAGCTCAAGGATTCATCAGCTGCTTCAAAGTTGTTATTCAAAATAGAAAAACTGTTATATCAGATCAAAGAAGACATACTACTGATTAGCAGCAGCCCAGAGAGCTCAGAGGGGTTCCTGATTTGATTATGATTGCTATTGTGTATTTATAAGATAATTATCCAAATCAAGCACCAAAACCAAACCAAACATATATGTATATATAGAGACATTCTTCTCTGGTACAAAAGCACTACTGAATATTGTTACGGATTTAGCTAACATAATATAATAAACATAATTATAGCATCATAAACTGTCTGAACTGTCTAGTAAGAATATGATTACCAAAATATGCAAAACATTAACAATATTTTTTATTTGGTTATTGTTACTACTATTACTATTACTACTACTACTACTACTACTACTACTACTACTACTACTTTACAATAGTTTTCAAACTTGATTTTTGTACTAAGGTACAAGCTTGATCAGTATCAATTTGGACACCACAATAAGGACAAAAATGCATTTTTAGGACTATAAAATAAAATTACTACAGAGTTTCTATAAAATTAGTAGGTGGTCTTCTGACTTGTGGTGATCTCATCTAGTTATTTAGTAACGGTTTTATCATTTTAGTGTGTATACTCAACTCTACTTGCTTGTGTATGAAGATGAATTATTTAATCAATTGACAAGCTCATCTTATACATTTTCTATTTTGTAAACTATATCTCATAAACAGGCATTTGTTTAGTAATGTGTTTGGAAAAGCTTTTCATACTCATTCTTGTCAAAAGTTTGAATAAGAAAATTAAATATTTGGAGATGGTAATATAAATGTATCAATTTCTAAAACTATTGTTCCCACAGTAAACTCAGTGTAAACAAGTTTCTGCAGCCACCTGCAGAGACACCCTCCCTGCTGCTGTATTGTCAGACAGCTTTGGCTTGTACCTGTATGTTGAGGGAGATGCTGATGAGCACGTTCCCACAGATGGAGACAATGATTCCCAGAAGATAAGCCTGCGGAGAAACAACACAAAACATGAGAATCAGGAGTTGTGCAGATTGTCACACAAAATAATGCAAACACAACATAATACAGAAAATAATGCAAACACAATATAATACTCTGTAAGATTCAACTATCACCTCCCTGAGAGATCAGAGTTTTAGAAATGTTTTAGGAATCAAGATATTACTTTTGCGCTGTGGTCAGGTCATGGTACTTTTCTGGCTGGAAGTTTTCTCCATATGAAAGTTGCATTTATTTCAATTACAATGGTTGTCGTTTTAATGCTGTAAAATATTTTTTATTGTTGTCTAGTTTGTGTATTTTAATGTTTCATCAATAGCAGCTATGCAGCATTTTGCCTCCTGAAATTGATCCTATTCCAGTGTTTTTATTGCTACATGCAAATCAAAATATACACGTTCTTACTGTGAACCAGCTGGACAGTTATATTTTATATTCAAATCCTGAAAAAAAAAAAAACATTGAATGAGAGGGTGTGTCCAAAGCTTTTACTGGTGCTGTTTAAACATAAACACTACCGGTCAAAAGTTTGGACACACCATCTCATTCAATGTTTTTCTTTATTTTTAGTAATTTACATTTTAGATGCATACAGAAGACATCCAATATATGAAGCAACATGTATGGAATTATGTAGCAGAGAAAAAATGTTAAATAACTAAATATTTTTCAGCAAGGCAAAGGTTGACCACTTGGAATTGTCTTCTGTGTATATATATATATGTGTGTCCAAACTTTTGACTGGTAGTGTCTGAGTTTAATCCAAATTCCAACTCCACATAAGATACTGAACTTGGCTTATTCAAGTGAACCAGTACATCTTAAATTGTCTGTCTATGTGAAAAGGGAAAATGTTTGACTTTACTTATAGTGTTTATTCGAATGTTCATTCTATCCTTCCAAAAGCTTTTCGGAGACGAAGTCGGGTGCACTGCCACATTTCCTGAGAAAATTAATGCCAAAGGGAAATTTAATTTTAGGTCATAAACATTCACCAGTGTCTGTGGGTGGGAAGAGTTTATAACAAAATGAAAGTGTGCTGTGAGGCTGAGAGCAGATGATGAAAAACCGGTATAAAGTAACTCAAATATGACCTTGTAAAGTAGGAAATATCAGTCAGTAACAGCTGAGCTAAAACTATTAAAGCAAATGAGTATACATTATTGTATTTAACTTCAGTACCGATAACAAGTAAAATTATACCCTAAAGGAAGGTACCGTAAATGTTCATATTTTTTGTTCAATTCTGTACTAGAGAATTAAAAATTAATTGTGTAACTTTTCAGCTGGAGGATTCGTCACTTTCTTGTCTCCATAGTGATGTACCTAGAATGTTCCACAGTATGACTATAAATTTGAATGAATCTCCATGGACACTTGCAAGTCAAATTACAGGTTAGATTTGTGGAGAAGCGACCCCACTCACCATATAAATGTATAATGTTTTAGATATTTTTTTTGCAATAAATCACACCTCTAGTTGAATAAATGCAAGACACATTTGTTCAAAACCATACTGTGGACAACTTAAACCAAAGAATTTACATCTCCACGGAGACAAACAGGTTGCTGACCCCCTCCAGAAAAGTCACACAGCACACCTTTAAAATATTTGTACATACATTTGTATCTTTAAATTCTGTACTGGTTTTCTATGATAAGGTTGTGTAGATTACATAAATTAAATTTCCTCTGATTTTGCAATGGAAGAAATCAGCTCATAACTCCAGGATGATTTTCCTTTTACTGAAACTATATTTCCCACTGTTAATATGCTGTATTGACCACCTCTCTGGTTCAAGCTCCAGACTACATTAAAATTTGATGAGCCGTGGTCCAGAGTCGATAAGATGAAGTGGACCCAACAAGCAGTATGGCCTTTGCTCTTTGAATATGCCAGGAAAAGGTGAGTCTAATAATGATGTACATATTGTTCACATCTAACTGTTTATTAACCTTTGGAAATAACTCATTCTTCTCACTCACTGTGGACAAGGTTCCAAATGAAAACGAATAAAGGTGATTTGCTGCACAGATGAAACACTGTGGGTGAAATATAGTATTTGTCAGTAATGATTAAAAGCATTCACAGCTAAACCACAAGTATCTTATTAATACTATAAGGATAGGCCTGTTATGACAACAAATTTCAAAGCGAGATATATTGCTACAGAGAATGTAGCAATACAGAACAGTGTACAGAAGTTAGTTATTCAACCCTCTACAGCTCAAATCTTATTGTACTACAAGAAAAAAATACCCTAAAGAAAATGTGCACATGATAAATACTGAGCCCCAAAATATACTGTTCCAACTTTCATATTTTGAATTGTAAATTGATATAGTAATTATTGTGACAGGCCTATCTAATGATGTGTTCATCAGTTAAATCTTGTTATTATTTCCTTATACATATATATATATATATATATATATATATATATATATATATATATATATATTATATATATATATATATATATATATATATATATATATATATATATTATATTTATTTATATATATTATATATTATAAAACCAATCCAGCTTTAATCACAAACTCACAAGCCAAACTCATCATCTCCTATGAAGTTCATAAGCCCAGTGGATTTGTGGGTAATTTCAGATTCAGCCCAGCACTCAGCCCTCTCCACAGTGAGTATTAACCAAACTTTTCAGCTCATACTGTACGAGTGCTCTCCTTCAGACTAGAGCGAGTGTACTGACAGGCAAACATAACCACCAGGGCAAACAGGATTTAGACTTTACTTTTGTTTGCGGTGTCTGAAAAAAATCACAGGATAAACCGTGTACATTTGGAAAGAACATCTTGTGTTACTGAATGGTGAATGAAAATGCCTCAATTCATTAAAAAAACTTTTTCAATAGAAAAGTTATTTCCACTGCTGCTGTATAACCATTACATAACACTATAGAAATTCTAAAAACAGTCAACCGAGAAATGGGAATCAGAATTGAACATCATAAAAAGCCTGATCTTGTCTAAGCTAAGCAAGGCTGGGCCTCATTAGTACTTGGAAGGGACACTGCTGACAATATCAGACGCTGCAGTGGGTGCAGTCTGTCCTGAGGCAAGACACTTCACTCACATTGTCTTCAAGGCAGAAAGCAGATTGGCAGCCTCATTTCTGTCAATCTGCCTGAGGGCAGCAGTGGCTACAGCTGTCGCTTACCACCACCGAGGAGTGAATGCCTGATATTGTTATGTGTCTTTGAGCGAAAATAATATGTAACATTAATATAAATTCTGCCATCTTTGCTGCAAGCATTGGCCTAGCCTTCCATATACAATTGTAAAAAAATAAACTAAAGAGATATGGATCACTCCACTGGAGCACTAATGTTGAATGCAGTGTCAGAATACATTTGTGTCAACACTAACTCCAGTAAAATGTCTTAAATGTCTATTATACTAATCTACAGTATGCTTTCAGTCGATGTGAGACGATAAAACCCTGAACTGTAAATGACACATATTATATTGTTATTCAGTATTGGAGCAGTTTTTAATAAATACATGTTTAATGACCTTCTTGTAAGAACAGTTTTGTCCATGACCGCCGTGTTGAGAATCTAAGCCCTGTTCAGCTCACACATCTGCACACATCAGGTAGCGAGACACAGCAGACTACATGTTATTTCAAAGACTAGCCGTTTCAATGGTCAGCATGGAAACAGAAAAACAGAACTGGGTCAGACAGGAACACACTCACAGTGGACAATAGTGAGAGGAGAAGGAGGACAGACTGTCTGACAAAAATTCAAAGTGTGAGGTGTGCTACATCTCACCTTTGAATGGACCTATATCTTATATCAGACCCACACAGAATGCTGGCCTTGTGCATTGTTTGTTTGTGTGAAATTAGAGCGTATGTATTTGGCAGCTCACAGCGGGTGCGAAGTGTCAGTGCCAAATGAGGCAGAAGGCTGTGGACTGAGGAGAGAGAAGAGGAGGGAGAGGAGAGAACAGGCCTGAATAAATTTGAGAAAAATCAATTGGACTCCATTTCTCAGAATTTTCACAACCAATTTTGTGATGCCATTGCTTGTTCTAGCCAACAGAATAGAGAATATAAATTAACTAATGTATCTGTGAGGTCACTGTAGACTGCACATGTATTTTAATGACATTTTGAGCATCTATGCTATCAACCTTAATCATAAAGCTCTTTAAACATGCATTATAATGGAGTAATAGTCTATCCAATCCACTTTCTTTAAATAGCACATTTCATAAACAAAACCGTTTCCAAAGTGCTGCACAATACAGATTATATAAATTGTAATTTAATAAAAGGTAGAGTTGTTTAATGTCATAATGTGGAGAGCAGTGACAAATCCACAGAAACAAGCAGGTGATGAACCCCCAACCAAAAAAGTTACAGAGTGCACCTTTACTAGGACTATAAATATATATATATATATATATATATATATATATATATATATATATATATATATATATATATATATATATAATAGACTATAAAACTAGTAAAATCTAATAAGAGCAAAAATACCAAGGTAAAAAACATGAAAATAAATGGTCTAAAATATGCAGTTTATATATGAAAGTCCAGACAGTGAAGTTGTGTATAATGATAGAAAGAGCAAACACAGCAGTGGGTGTGCCTCAGAGGTCATCTTACTTAGCAAACAGTTCACACTCTATTCAAACCAGTAACAGACTTGTATCTACTGAGAGTTACAATAGACTGACATACAATGACTTGGGATATGATAGAAAAGTTTGTGTGAATACTGCTTTGAAAAATATACCGTATTACAGTACAAATGTGGGGATACCATCAATCTGAGTCCATTGACTTCACAGCTACTGAAATAATCTTCCATTTCCATAATTGGTTAATGGTGATTAAACTATTAGTAATCATCATCATTCAATAAAAGCCTAATTTATTTTGGACCTGCTGTTTTGTTTTTGTGTGTTGCAGCAATTGCAGAAGGCAGACATCACTTGTTAGATTAAAATGTTTTGACATTGAATTCTCCCTAGGACCTTGTATTACAGAAATATCTAAAGCTGATATATTAAGATCTTTCAATTGTCTTGGTAAGCATGTTTTATTACTGACATTTTAAAATTGATTTATTCAAGTGTACTGCAAATAATACAATTATGTATTTAGTGCTTTCTAAAAGGTTTTCAATCATTGTGTCAACTTTAATAGTTACTTTAATTCCCCTCCTGTTTAGTGTGACTGCAAATAGTCAATAGAGACTTTTAGAGGTTTTATAAAGGTGCTCAGCCTGAACAGTCCAAAAACTGTAATATCCCAAATGACCTTCTTTATTATTCACTAGAGGGCTCATATTATGTTATTTCAGATTTGTGTTTTAATGATGTACAAATACAAACCTGGACTTGTGTTTTCTTTAATTCACAAATGTTTAACACACAAACCCTGCATATTTAGGCTAAAATCTTCTCTCCACCTTGTTCCACCTTGTGATGTAGTAATACAGGAAGTGCTCCACTGTGTTTTTAAACTCCATACACCTTCACTAGTATCATTTGGATACTTTCAATCCTGGAATTTCCCATCTTTACAGAACAAAAGGTAAAAAGGTAGCTGTTAACTTGAAAACTACTGCTTCATGACATCACAGGGTGCACAGAGCATTTTAAGCCTTAGAAAGGCAGACAGATGTAATAATAAGGATTACATAAGGATTAATAAGGATTACATAAACATGTGTGAATGAAACAAAACACAACTCCTCGTATGTTTTTGAGGAGGTAACAACATTATAACATGGCTAAAAGCTCACAGTTTAGTTTCACTCCAAACTAATCAACACAATGTATCTTTGTTATCTAAGATTTTACAAAGATCTATAGTCCAGTTGCACCCTTTTTCATTTCAGTTTCACTTCATGGTTTAGTGAAGTCTGTAGTTGTAAGTTTCTCCACAGCAGTCCAGAAGCTGATTAAACTCTCAAACTTTCATTTTACAAAGCCAAAAGTTAATTTGGAACAAAAAGCTGGACAAAGAGACCAAATAAAAGAGATGGAAATAAACTGCATTTTGCTTAATAGTTAAACACAAAACATCTTTTATTCCAGTAATTTTAAATGAGTGTTATTGAAATAGCCTGATAAAACACTAAATCAGCCTTCTAAGGTTTGTCTGCAAATATATGAAAAAGCAAACAAATAAACCAAACCTTAATAATTAAAAAATTACACTAAAATATTGAATTCATAAAGCACATTTTAATGTCCTGTAGCATACAAGAATCCCATCCATTTCAAACTCCGTGGAGGTTAGTTAATATTAAATTTGGTAATTGTGACCATTGACTATTTTGAATCATCTTGTAATCCTATTGGCCATTTTGGCAGTTAGTTATGTTGGATATTGCCAGTCCTTTAATACTTAATACTTATGACTAGGCGATAATTACTGTATCAACTTATCATTCAATATGAGTATATATATTTTTTGCAATATTGGGGATTTTTGTTACTATTAGGTTTACTGTCTGTTAAGGATAGGGTATAATAACTATTGCTTAATTATGTTATTTATCTGTTGCTGCTCATGGCTTTTAATGATATTGTCTAGTGAAAATTGGTTTATCTTGTTTTACTGTTGTTGTGTAAGTGGGATAAAGTAGTTTCAATATTATCGTATATCGCAATATATCTCTGTAGCAACATATCGTATATACATATTTGAAGGCAGACATACATATCACAATAAACTAGCAATATATTATACTGCAGATTCATATCTAAATAGCAGCTAACGTCTGACTGCATTTGACCCGGAACACTACACCCTTTATGTCCTGGGACAATAGGCATCTGTCTCACTCTGGAATGGGCTGATGTGTGGATGGAGCCTCCACTGAGAAGGTGGGTGCGGGAAGGCAAAAACATAACATTCAAGTTGTGCAATATCAAAAAAAATATGGAAATGGCTGTTTTATTGTTGAGGATAAAGGCAAATTGTAACAGCTTTCTCTTCTTGGTAATGAGTTTTACATTGAATTGCGGAAAGCACTTACCATTTTTATTGTCTTGCTAACAGGTCATACGCAGGCATTTTGTAATACAAGGATAAAACCTTCATTTTTTAGAATAGCGATTTTAAATACAATGGTTATGGTCCTCATCACTGTTATTATGATGTCCCCTTCCCATGCACAAACGCTTGTGTAACTAGCAAGTGTAATGTAGCCCTTTGCTCTCCCACTCTTATGCAGATTCAAATTCCCTTCATGTTTATCTGTAAGTCATTGTTGATCTGTTTTGGTATGACTATGTTTTTTCAGGCTATTACATAGAGAGAGAGTGACAGATCAAGACAGAAAAGGCCACAAAATGAATGAAAGGCGTCTGACAATAGGTCTTGTGTAAAGGGCCTAAACACTTGTATATTGTTCTAAATATCATAGCTTTTTATTTGTTTTTTGTTCATTTTAAATGTGTTCTGTGTAAGTTTTGGTGGAGTATAAGTCACATGCTTGGAAATTTGCACAGAATGTTCCACAGGTTTTCTCTTTAAGAGAAGACCTCAGCCTCAGCCTTGGTTTGTGTGCTAGACATGTATGAAATAAACCAAACACAACAGGTATGTTTGTGATAAGAAAACAACATTATTACACAGATCCAAAAACAGCGTAATATGGACCCTTTAATGTACTAGTATATGTAAACCCCATGTAATAACTCTATAACTTCTAGCATCTTCTCTAACTTTGGTATCCCACTAAATTGAAATGAAATGCATATATATTCAGAACACATGCACAAGGGGTGAAATCTGCTGCAAACTGTCTGAGAAGTCCTACTTTATGGGTTAGGCTCCTATAGGAGGTGAAGGAGGCGGGTGATGGAAGACAGTTCAGCTAAAAATATCTGCAAGAAGAATCTATCTATTGAAGGCACTGAGTTAAGTTATGGAAGCCCCAAGGAAGAAGAGAATCAACCTGCAAGTCACTAACACAGGGACATCAGCAGTTGGTTATCTGTTGGGAATCAGCAATCAGCAATGATTTTGTTAGGGTCACTTTAAAAAACACAACAGGTGGCAACCCCAGTACATCTACAGCCTGTTTTCTTTTAAATTTTAGGGACTAAAGGCTTCTCAAACATGAAAGACAGAGCAAATTATAACATTTTCATTGCTCACAGTTTTTTTTAAAGATGCACAATATAACTTTTTGGTTGGGGTCCATCACCTGCTTGTTTCTATGGATATATCACTGCTCTGCTTTGAATGTTTCACAATATGGCATTAAACACAGATCTACCTTACATTTATCCAATTGCAGATGGTTCTATAGCCCAAAAGTACTTTGAAAAACAAGCATTCTGACTGTGAGAGGAATTGCCTCTCCACAGATCTGATTTGGTCTCAATGAAGATAGAAAGGTTTAATACCATACTTCACTCCAGATAAATCCAGATAAAGCAATAAGATCTCCAAGAAGAAAAGCATTTAACGGACCCTCCACCAGAAAAGTTACACAATACACCTTTAACTCTTAATTAATTCTCAACCAGCTGTCTTTGTTATGGGCCTTTTTTTGCCAAAGAACTAAAACCAAATTTATACAGAGAGCTTGGAGTACAAGGTAAAACTTAAATCTATTTAGGTCTACTTAGTTTTTGCAAAATTAGACAGAAACAGGTCAAACACGCTTTATATAAGCTCTGTCAAAACAAAACAAAACAAACAAAGACATTAAGATATAGGATATCCAACGCTGGTAAGTATAAACACATTGAATGTCGGAATAGCCTGTTACACCCTTTGCCAGGCCTACCTGAAGTGGGTTTTGCAGGATCTCGCCACTGAACGCATCAGCTTTCATACTCGCAGACGAATTTGAGGTGTTCATGTTTTTTTTTCCAAACCAACGAGGACCATAAAAACCTCGAGACTAAAATCGTCTCTTCCGCTGTCCTCTTTATCCCATTCCGCTCGGCCCACGTCTGTCCTCTTCAATGGGAATAAACTGGGAGAAAAAGTTCAGCGGAGACGCGCGTGTGGACCGCGCTGTGGCGGAGCAGCACGTGACGTGCTAAAGCAACCAATCAGATGTGAGGCACTGTGTAGCACGTAACAACCTGTTATGTTATGTCCGACACATACACTTCTATCATGACAGTACGAATATTTAACATAACCTTCATGTCGCATGCAACCATCAAAAGTAGGTTATAATAAATAATAAGCAAATGTAAAGCGCTATGGATGCATCACGTGGACTACAGGTGTTTCCAGAGATGCGCATGAAGCGACACAAATTAACATAGATTAATTACATTAAACGATTTCTATTTAAATCCGTAAAATTACTCCAATAAATGTTAACATCAATGTAATGCCCCTTATACACAAACAAATATAACCTTACCCTACTAATGTGTTATTTTATGTCAAAAAGCTCTTGTATTGTGTAAGAGCCGGTGCGTTTCAGACCTTCTATCACTTATACCAAACATACTAAGGTGCTTAAAGGGTCTTGTCAATCACAAAACGAGCCAACATGAATAAACTTCTCAAAGAACCTCTTGATTCAAGAGGCGTTGCCTCCTGCTGGACATGAGGACAACTACAGCCAATGTAGTTTGTGCTTGGGCAGGAGCCATTTGAGCGTGAGGAGCTGGTCAGACTGAAGCTCTCACAGCAGCAGGTGTTTCATTGTATGTTGTTATTATGTGTTTTCATCTATTTGCTTTTACACAGCTTTTGAATAGAGATATGAAATGGAAATGCTGTAGATCAACATAACTAGTAATATGCAAACCAGGCACGCCACAGCAGAGACACAAGCAGGTTGGTTTGAAGGGTGAATTCATGCTGTTTTGGTGTAGTGTATCTCATAAACAGTGATGGAAGGAATACTGCTCAGATAATGCTGCTTCCTGCTGTTCTAAGACTATGAAAAGGTGCCTTTATTGATGAGAAAAATAAATCTTCAGTTCCCAAATAAAAGGGAGGCTAAAACAAAGGTCACTATAGTCAGATCCAGAGGTCCTCTTTGCCCCATGGACCATGGCTCAGATCGCACAGACAACAGGTTCGAGGGCAAAGTTAGTGTAGAACAATTTCCCTTTTATGTTGGTTATATGGTTACCTTATTTAAAGCACTTGAGTCTCCTGTTAAGTTAAGCCAAGCTACTGGTTTGATAATTAAAAATGCACATAAGGCCACATACATCTGTTATGGTATTTTAAAGTGTCAAAAGCTTCAATGTGCACATGTGTATTCCCTTAGAGTCTGCTCTCAGCATCAGCCCCTGTCGTAATCACCATCAGCGCTTATTCTGTGATTACTGCAGAGGGAGGCGACTTTGCTTCAACATCCTGTACCATTCCCTGTGCAACACTTTACACATGGCTTTATGAGTTTGTTGTACGTGATGTTCACTGTCTTTGCTTGATTGCACATTATTCTGCCCGGAGTTGTCCATTATTTTCTTTTCTCTTCTTTTCTAAAAGAACTTTCAATCTGTGTTTAAAAAGTCACTTATTACACACTACATGCAGAGGCATTTTTGTTCATCTCATTCAAAGTGATAATTTAGGAAAACCTTTTTAGTCTGATTAATTCAAGTTAATAAGTGAGAAGTTTTTGTGTGCTCACTGAACCTACTAAACCTAATGGAGGTGGTAACTACAGAATAGTAGAATAATTATTAGGGTTGAAGAAGACCATAGCATACACTGTACATGCAATATTAGTGCAAATTTTAATATTTGTATCTATGTTGACATTATATCAACCACTTGGTGTCCCATTTCATTTTGTAGCCCTTCCATAACTTTTTGTATATTTCCCTACAGTAGGACTGCAATTTGAAAAATAAAGAAAACTTGATTTATTATTATTATTATTTTTTTCTTCAGAGATTTGTTTAGTGAACATGTAGTTGTCATGTAGAACACAATAATTGAGTGGCTGACAATTTTGCTTTCTCGGTGCAGCGAGATGCAGGTTAAATGGTCAGTAGGCCAGACTGAACTACATATTGGGAGCTGTCCTAATTTGTGATATTTTAATTTGAGGTATGTAGGTGATGGAAATTGTTGGACTCATTCCTAAATCAATTTTAGAATAACAAACAGTATATTTTAATTAATGACATTAGTAAAACTGAAGTCTAATGCATATATGGTCAGTGGACAAATAGCTTCAACAGTCCTATTTATATTTATTATCACAAACAGGCTTCTCATCCACTTGTGTAAACAAATACTTGCTTCATTTATGAGAGAATGAAGCAAGTTGGTATTGTTTCTACAAAATAATTCTTGGTAAAATGATGAATTGGTACAGATAAATCTTGAAAATACTGTGTTCCTGTCAAAATGTCATTTAAATTGAAACACTTGAGAATTCCCAAGTCCTGATAGCTGTGACAGCTTTTTCAATAATTAAACTGATGATGCGTGTTGAGAAGGGATATGTGATGTGCGTTATTGAGCCTATTGTTTGAGGAGAAGCGTTTATTTTTCACTGGATCAACACCACAATCCTCCCAATACTATCACATGTGAATGCCAACCAAACAGCTAGAAAATATATGAACTGACAAATGCTGCAAGACTCACATATGTATCTCAGGGCTTTTATTGTGTTCAGGTTTAGGTTAATAGACTAAGTAGGATTATGATTCATGTTTTCCCAGAGATAAATCCATCCAGTGAGAGGCGTTTATATAAAGCTGTCTATATGACTCCAATAGGAGTACATGCATTCAAGGCCGGGGATAAGCAGCTCAAATCCAGGCTTACTTGACATGGTGAAGAATGGAAGCACTATAGTTTCAAAAGTAGTTTTCTGACAAAAGACAAAAATATGGCACAAAACTCAACTACCATCCGAAAGTATTGGGATACTAGTCTACTATGTATTGTTTCATATTGATTAGCTTCAATACTGTTTTAATTTTTGAATAGTAAAGGTTCCTTTTATTCACATCAGATATATTTTTATTTACATAAAATGTGATTTTTAAGATAAAACCACCATAATTTGCTGCAATAGATGTAGAATCAGCTTAGTTAAAGGAAAAAATGCAATACTTTGAGGGTAGTTATTTTCATTTACCTGTGTTATTATGCAGTGCAGTACTTCTAGAGACATCAAAAAGCATTTCAACTCAGCTGTTGCTTGATACTCCTGTGTAAAGAAAATAGTGCTGCTGTTTAGCATAAAACACCTTAAGTCTGAGTATGTGCAAGCACAAAATGTATATTACAAACTCAAGCACCTTTCCAATCATTGACAAATCAATTTAGAAGGTTCATGATAGGTGGTTTTCCCAGGATCAAATCATAAATAGATGCTACATTATTTATTACAATAAAAAATAATATTTTAAAAAAAGAACTTCATATAACATACTCAGCAACTATTATCAACAAACTCAAGACAGAATAAGATTAAATATTTCGTGTCATTATTACTAGGCAGTTATTAATTGCTGTTCTAATATAACCAGCCCAATACAAACAACTCCACCATGACTCTTCATGTGTTAAAATATCTTACCTTCAGTCTCTAAAAGGCCACCGGGGGAGAGCGTGCCCACTGCTGTTATCTGTGAGTGAAACAGGCAATAGCACCTCCTGGGCCTCTTCACTCCTGTCCAGCTTCAATTGTTGGAAAAACCTGGTGAAATATTAATGGACTGCTGCCTTGGAGGTAGAAACCCATTAAGAAGTAAACAGTGCTTTTGGCCCATGGTTATGTTTCCAAACAAGTGTTACCGTACAGTTTGTCAAATATAAAACACATTTAGAGCTGTTTATTGGTTTAGTGGACTACTGGCCCTAAGTTTGATTCAGTGTTTAAATGTCAGGAGAAATGCTGTTCTCACATATTGGCTCACTCTGAACGCAGTGATGTAGCTATAACTTTGGATAATGAGCAGCTAAATGTGGCTGTGTCCTCTAATGTTCCTATGGAGCCTTTTAGTGTTTATAGAATGGCTGCAATCCAAAGGTGGTGCCATAAATTTAGCAGGCCATAATTAATTTCATATAGAGGAATTAGAATTAGGCATAAAATATTATAAGTGAATAACAATGCACGATGGATTGAGACAACTCAGAACAAACTCATCTAAGTCAAAAACCAAAACAAACGAACTGAGAAAGAAGATTTTTTTTAAATTTTATTTTATAAGCCTGTTTCTGTGTCTGTTGGAGAGTTATCTAATTGTAAAATAGCACAAACATAAACTCATAGGATTTGTGTAGGGCACTTTCATCTGTTAAAGCAGCAGACAGGTCTATTAGTGATAGAGTGATAAAAGGGGCCGATGCTGATGAGGTGGACACATCTGAAAGCACGTGCTTTTACTTGTTTGAGCCTTTGATTCACTAAAATATAGAGCCCCGTAGTGAACGTTTGTCATGAAGAGGTGGTTATTGGCAGTGATCCGATCTAATCAATGAATCACTGTGCTCTTGAATATAGACGTGGCTCAGTAAAGAGTACAGAACAAAATCCAAAGTGTCTAATGTTTTACATAAAACTGTGCGCCAGCAGAGCGTCAAAGATTAATGAAGCCCTTAAAACTTTTGGTTAAAACTCAACATTATTGTAAGCGTAATTCTGGTCTGTCAGAGCTGAGCGTGAGTGACCCAAATAACAAAATCTCCAGCATTAAGAATTATCATTCCAACAATCTATGCCATGTATTTCCTCATCTTCTTTAGAAATGTTTCTAATGACAAAAAAAACGGCTCACCATGAATGAGCACAATGTCAACACATTCTTCTTTACGCATCCCTGTTCTTCCTTCTCTTCCTGTTTTGATTCAGGTAATAGTCCTAATGGCTACAGGTGTCATTGGAGCTTCGCCTGAGTGAGGACGCACTTTGCTTTTGATTGGAGAGACTCTCCGCATCCTCACGATCAGCGCTGCGCCTCGCCCTCGGCTCCGCGTGAAGCTCGTGGTGAGCTCGAGGGCGGTGCACGCGAGCTACGTGTTGCTGCGCAGCAACAGATAGAGGAGAGACAGAGAGGAATTCCCTCGCAGTCCGCTGCCAGGGCGTGTATATCTCTGATCCATACGGACTGTGCTTAGCGTGGCGGTACATGTAGCCGCGGGAGGCACACGGAAACCATGTGAGGTCAAGACAACAGTGAAGAAGCGCGGCTGTTTGGAGGAAATCGTCAGATCCTCGGAGATACGAGTTGTGATCTGTCTGCTCTCAACTGCACAAAGGTCTGTGCTTCACAGATGCAACTTCTCCATGCAAATGATGGCACCGCTCGAGCTGAGCCGCGTCTAACTGAAGGGGTCTGGCCACGCTGAAGTGAGTACCGCTCTGCTGTCGTGCGTTTGGAAATTGGCACATGGTTAAAGAATAGAACAATCGTGTATAATGGTGCGTGGAAAAGCTTTGCTTAGTGGCCTAATTGGTCAGATTGAATGGAATTACACAGAACACAATGGCAGTAATTTTAAGACTGTCCAAAAATCCTCGTGGGTTTGTAAGACAGGCTTTGTCTTTCCTGCCCACCATAACGTTCAACTCTTTCAGTTCAGGTTCACAGTTATCTACGAACAATAGGCTTTATATGATTTGCTTTATACTCAAGTAGATAATTTAATATCGTAGAAAACAAAAAGGAAATAACATGTAGACAAACACCTTGTTATTTTGATTTAAATATCTAGGCTACCACACAAGAGAGTGAATTTTAAAGCATAATGACAATAGCATATAATAGCCCATGGTATTCTTTTGACCAAACTCCCATCTTTTGTCTCCTTTAGTGACCACCTGTTTTTCCTGACCTCTCCTTCTCTCTGATAGACATGACGGGGCACATCCTGGCTGAACCAGTCCACGGCTCTCGAGGTGAAGACACCTCTGCCATTCGCATCAACGTGGGAGGTTTTAAGAAACGTCTTCAATCTGACACTTTATCCCGCTTCCCCGAGACCCGACTGGCCCGCCTCCTTCAATGCCGTTCCAAAGAATCCATCCTGGAGCTCTGTGATGACTATGACGATACTGAAAAGGAGTTTTACTTTGACCGTAACCCGGCTTTATTCCCTTATGTCCTCAATTTTTACAACACTGGCCGGCTGCACGTCATGGCTGAACTTTGCATCTTCTCCTTCAGTCAAGAGATCGAATACTGGGGCATCAATGAGTTTTTTATTGATTCTTGTTGCAGTAGCGCTTACCACTGTAGGAAAATGGACCAGGATAGGGCCGATTGGGAGGACAGAAGCGATGAAGGCAGCACTACTTCGTCTTTTGACGATTTATTAGAGTTTTATAATGACGCATCAAAGTTTGACAAGCAGATTTTGGGGAGTGCGAGGAGGCGAGTCTGGCTTATGCTAGATAATCCAGGTTACTCTGTGGCCAGCAGAATCATCAGCATACTGTCTATACTGGTCGTGATTGGATCCATCGCAACTATGTGTATGAACAGCATGAGTGAGTTCAGCCTATTGGACAGTGAGGGACAACCCAAAGAAGACCCCCGGTTTGAAACTGTTGAACATTTTGGGATTGGCTGGTTCACTTTGGAGCTCGTAGCCCGCTTTGTTGTTGCTCCAGACCTCTTGCAATTCTTCAATCATCCTTTAAATGTTATCGATCTCATCTCGATACTACCATTTTACCTCACGCTGCTTATCAACCTCGTCATGGAAAGCACCCCAGCTCTGGCTAATTTAGGACGAGTGGCGCAGGTTTTACGTCTCATGAGGATATTTCGGATCTTGAAATTGGCACGCCACTCTACCGGACTCAGATCTCTAGGTGCCACATTAAGAAACAGTTACAAAGAAGTGGGTTTGTTGCTGTTATATCTGGCAGTTGGGGTGTCTTTCTTCTCCGTCATGGCTTACACAGTTGAAAAAGAGGACAGTGAAGATCTGTCTACCATCCCTGCTTGTTGGTGGTGGGCAACTGTCAGCATGACCACAGTAGGATACGGAGATGTCGTGCCAGTTTCCATAGTGGGCAAACTCACGGCCTCAGCATGCATCCTGGCTGGCATCCTGGTTGTAGTGCTTCCCATTACACTGATTTTCAACAAATTCTCACTCTTCTACAAAAGACAAAAACAGCTGGAGATCGCTATGAGGAGTTGTGATTTTGATGAAGGAATCAAAGAAGTGCCATCTGTGAATCTGAGGAACTATTATGCACACAAAGTCAAGTCACTCATGGCTAGTTTGTCCAATATGAGCCGGAGTTCGCCCAGTGAGCACAGCCTGAATGAATCCATACATTGAAATAGACCGAGGAGCTGTCCAGAGTGCTGAACCTGAAAATCCACACTTCCACCACTGTCTCTGTCATTGAGTGCAATAATGTGTCCATCTAATGTATGTGTGTCACTATGGGAGTAAATGAGACTGAATATTTCACTGTGCTTTATCTATAATGGCTTTTGAGCAACACACTGTTACAAATTGTTAAAATGCTAAATGACTTATGTAGTTGTTTTTACTGTCCCTCAAAGCCAAAGTGGAGTGAAAATTTTGTTTTGTCTAATTCTCATTTCCTCCACAGTCTATCAAAGCCTTTCTGTTTTATTTCAGACTTAAATATTTTCATGATTTTCTCCTTGAGCAGGTAAATTTGACAAAAAGCTGATTTCAAGCACATTTGTTGTAAATGGGAATAAAAAGACTACATGACAACAATGTGGACAAGAAATAACCTATAAAAAGCAATTTTTGTACATATTTTATACTTATAATCAGAGCTCTCTGCATAATCAGGAACTTAACCAACTTTGTTAAAATGCCAAAAAAAAAATCATACACGATAATGCTTAGTTTTTGTAAGTAGTTATCTCTTCAATATTATTATTATGTTTTGTTTATTTGGCTTTGTGGGGCAGTCCAGTCCTAGACCGTGTCACTATGTAGTCCACTCGGCTCTTACTTGTTGTGGTCAAGTGTGTGTTTTCCGAGTGATGTGTATTTGTGATGTTGCAACAAGTTTTTCCAAGCGTGTGGCTAACCTATATCAACAGAGCCCATGAATGTTTATTGTTCAGAAGAGAGAGGCATTCACTGTCTTCCTAATATTGATTGAGATGTACTAGTGTTAGCCCTGGGGAGTGTTTATGCATTGACTGACAACAGATCTGACCCGGTGTGACAGGCGCAGCAACAGGCAGCCGGAGATGACAAGACCAATAAAGTTATACTCTGAGGACTCCATGTTTTATTGGTGTAAGTAATTGAACAGAAACAGTTTGCAATAACTCAATATGTTTCAGTGATAAACTGCATTATGGGATATTTTTGGTGTAAAAGTCCACGTTTTATGGGAGTGTCTGTAATGGGGAGCACACCAAGACCAAATTAATGCTCAGAATCAGTTGTTCTTTTAGTAACTGAAGTTAGTCTAAAGGCACATATACCATGTGGTTCTTGGCTGATTACTGACTTGAACAATTATGCTTTAACAAATTACTCTTTACAGTTAACAGCACGCTGGAACTCTGCCTTTTGACCAGCATTAAAATAGATTTATAACTCAATGAAAGTTTCTCACTCAATTTGAAAGGGCATTGACACGAATCAGTAGCTGTGAAGAGCACTCTGTTCTTTTGTAATTGCATTTAAACTAGGCAAATGTGAAATTTTTAGACTCAAATCAAGAATACAATAAAATCTGTAATTATTTGTTTTCCTCCAATATAAAAGGTTGTGATAAAAAATACTTTACTATTAATTACTTTGATTACTAATGTTTTGTGTAGAATAACCTACAATAACATTTAGAATAAATAAGACCCTTACCTATCTAAAGTTTCCATAAGTGCAAATCATTTATGCACATTTCAGTAACACTGCTCCAGTGGAGATTTCATTTAAATTCTGTGTTTACACATTAATATGCAGATACACAGGTAACATCACTGGACATGAATATAATTAGCTTCAGTCAAAGCAGACTGGCTCTCACCTGTCGACTAGAGCCTCCCATGGGATTTGACAGTGAGTCCCTGGATAAACTAATTTCAAATGGAGGTGTATGTTTTGACAGAAATTTAGATATTTTTGCATGAAATGATTCAATGTACTGCTCTGCTAAAGGCATATCTTTAAGAATGGACAACAAGTAAAAGGGATAGACAGACTCACTTAAACAAATCCCATAGTTTTAAAGTATTAAGTTCTTGGCCCATTACTGGCTTCAGAAAAATACTGCTCTGTACTATAAAAACATCAAAATGTCTTCTAGTGGTGTATATATTTTTCTCAACAACTGTGCGTTACATCATTCTCCTCTTGTTTACCCTGAATCTTGAGGCTAAGGCTCTTGGGAGCACATCCAGGATGCCTCTGTCCCAGAGGAGTTGTGTGGAAATGAGTTCACAGCAGTATACAGGTGACATTTGGACAAATCAACAGCTGTGAGGCAAAAGAAACAAGAGTTATACATCTCCAGGAGTCACATGAAAAGATGAAGACAGATAATGACAAAAGCCAAAGGGTAAATTCATTTTAGTTATATCATAGGAACTAGAGCTGTGAAATATGCAACTGTGCAAGGAAATACCCAGTATTTGTCTCCAGAAATAGACCTGTCATGATATCAACAACAAATTTTGAGGTGTGATATATTAAGAAAATATGAAAATATAGATGATAAATAATAATACTGAAACTTACTTATGCCACTTATGAAGATTTAAACCACAAAGACTAAATTTACAATATTGTTAAAAAAAATAAAATAAAATAAAAAAACATGAGAAGGCATAAATAAACAGCAGAATGAAAAACGTTATTACTTATATTGTATCATATTGCCACATTTCCCAGTAGTGCAAAAAATCTGTACAAACATAAATACTGACTCTAAGAAAATATTCCATGTTCCATTTGCCATATATTGAACAATAAGTCAATATAGTAATTATTGTGACATGCCTATTCAGAAGTGATTATTTGTCAACTACTATTATTATGATTACAACTCAATACTTCTAAATTACGTGTTTCATTGCTCATATTTAGTCCCATGTGGCTCTAGAGATACAAGCTGAAGATGGTTGTGCTTCAGTTACAGAAAGCCAGTCTGTATCTTGGAGTCTCTGACCTGAACAGATGGATATGAGACACACAGGTCTCTCTTCAGACAGCTGTGAACAGACAGAGGTCATCGGAGCAGAGGCCTTGGCTTCATGTCTTCACACCATTAACTGGTCAGGACTAGAACTGGACAAGTCATATCTGAGCTTTCACTACCAGATCATTGTTGCTAGGGTAACACTTTTTATAACAATCTATAAGTTAAAAGTAACAGCAGTAAGCATGCTACATTTCTTTTTGTTTAATTATTTGTATCTTCTCACATTATTTATAAAAAAATATCTTCTTTGTCAACATTATAAAAAGTACAGTTTGGATACAACATACATACAATGGTAGAATCATGCTCCTTGATGTTATTGTGTTACCTGCAATGTTCCACAGTATGGTAATAAAAGTATCTCCATATAGAGACAAGCAGGTGACACCACCAGTTGAATAACATGAGATAAATTAGTTTAATGCCATACTGTGGAAGATTACGGGCAAGACAATCTCCGAGGAGACCAGCAGGTAGTGTACCATCCACCACAAAATGTACATAGTGCAACTTAAAGGTTCTATATTACACACAATTTACTCTTGTGACCTTTTATGCCATGCTGTAATGTTGTTACCTCCTCAAAAACATACTGAACACATTTGCATAACCCTTTATTATTAGTCTGTCTACATCTCCAAAGCTCGAAATGCTCTGTTTCATCTTCTTATGTCATGTAGCAGTAATTTTCACATTAACCTTTTATCTTTAGTTCAGTAGAGATTGGGAATTCCAGGGTTGAAAACATCTAAATGATTCTAGTGAAAGTGTCTGGAGTTTAAAAACACAGTGGAGCACATCCTGTATTATCACATGAGTGTTTTCTTTTGAGAGAACTCAGCCTAAATATGCAGGGTTTGTGATATGGTTTGTTTGTGATGAGGAAATCACATTATAACACAGATAATAAAAAAAATTGAACATCGACCAACCTCATAAGAGAAAAGGATTTTTGTAATTATAAGCTTAAATCACCAAATTGTCAGCCCTAAATCAAAAACACTAGTCATAATGAAGACTATCTAGAGGCTGCTTTCATTTAAAACAATGACTTTTGGCTGACAAGTCAAACGAGCTTGTGTTTACTTGGTTCGTTTTCATGTTTACTCCAGAGAAAACAAAGATAATAAAAGCGGCACAGAGCAAAGGAAGCTGAATATACAATTCTTATTAGTGCATTCTGTGTGTATGTATTTCTCTGTGACTGTGCGTCCTTTGTGTGTTTGTATTGGCGTATGAATGAGTCCAACATGCATGAGTGTAGCAGACAGTGTGCCTAATGGGGAACTTATTGAAACTGGCAGCAACGTGTGGTCCCAGCGCGCAGTGTTGGAGATATAAAGTGTGTTACTAAGCAAGCATCGTGTTGTGGCACGTTACCATCTGCTACACTGTCTAAGCTTAAATAAGCGTGGGAAGATCGGGAGGCTTTTGTCTGCTTGTTTGCTATCACTGTCCCCTTTTGCCAATTTCATCATGTCGCATTTGTGAATATCTGAAATGAACGTTAAAGAGGCACAAGTCTGACATAAAACAACATAGACCAAAGAGGAGCATGTGTGGTATTATTGATTCAAACTGAGGATCTTGTTGTGCAGTTCAAATATGAATTAATCTATTAAATAAATGTTCAAAATCAAAATAGAGTCAATTTGTTACTATACTTACCTCTTGTAGCTAGACTTTGCAAATATTAAAAAAGAAAGTGGAAATAACTGAAGACCCAACACAAAATTGCAGAGGTATGTTTTTTTAAATGATCTTGGGGGCTTGGATTTTATATTGAACATGAATAAATGAACCCTTTTAGCAGAGTAGCATTATGATGGACTGAGGAACACTAGTGTGCCTTCAGGTATTACCAGAAGTATTAGGTATTTGGAAAACAAAAAAATAAAAAAAAATAAATAATAATCTTATTGTGCATGTTTTGGGTTAATGGGAAAAAGTGCCCAGAAGAAACCCACCCAAACCTAGAACCTTCTTGTTGTGAGGTGAGGTGTTGGCCACTCAGCCACCATGCCACTAAATGTTCCACAGTATTGCATTAAATAAGTTTTGTTTCATTATGGGTGTGTTACATACACCCTAAAATTGTGATAAGAAAAGAAACGAAAAGAGAGTAGAAAAGTATTAT